ATTTTAAAATATATAAAGTTTAAAATTTTAACTTTAGGTTGTGTGAAATGGTTAACTCTCATCTCAGCTCACAATGTGCTCTTCTCTTCTCTTCTCAGACAGGACACGACCCCTGACCATGTAAAGGAATAAAACTAGTATTGCACTTTTTAGTTGCGCCCTCTGGTGGCAAAGATAATTGCAATGTGACAACTTACCCATGTGACAACAAGCCCTGGTCTCCCCTAGATATCTATTACTTTCATCTCAAATTTGAGGATTGAGGATTTACTCTTGTGAAATAAACTTCTTTCCATTATTCAAATAATGTTTCACTCACCATGAATATTTTCAGAGAAAGTAAAATTGTAAAAGTAAGCTGTTTCATAAATTGTCTAATCAGATTTCTACCCTCTCAGGTAAAAGTAACAAACAAAGAAATTGTCAGTATTGTTACTGCCAGTCTGGTTTGTTTATTTTAGTCATAAAGAGACATCAATATTGATTTCTGTTTCATAAGCAGCTTAAACCTCTTCAGAAGAACTTTATGTAAATATCTGATCAGTTTCTTTCAAGGTTTTGTTCACTTAGACCAGAAAATTTGTTGTGGACAGATTTAAAAACGCCTCCATTGTCTATCAAAAGAAATATTGTTTTAGAGTGTTTAAATTATCCTTTTTTGACTGTGACGTTAATCACAAATAATTGTCCCCTCACCTCTTAAATCTAAAGTCTAAAGTCTTTTCTGGATAAAGACTCGGGACACCACACTGCTTCTTTATGGTTAGGGCCTAAACTCATGCCACCAGACTCTTGGAAAAATGATTAACCTGGCTCAGGTTAATAATTTGACAGGCAGGAAATAAAAGAAAAACATGAATGAAGGACTGGAGAAACATAGCTGATGCAGAACTTTTACACACACAGAGCATTAAGGGTCATTGTTAGATGAAAATTAATCGAGCTATTTAAAACTTGTTCCTGTGGAAATGATCTACAGAATGGATCAACAGGTAGTCAGCTGTTTTGGTTAGAAAATTAATGTTGTTTGTTCCTTTTGTTTCATATTTTTTGTCAGATCTGTTGGTAATGAGTCAGAAAACACATTTTGTCAGTTCAGGTGAAGCAAACAAGTTTCTTTTTTGTTGTTGTTTTTGTTGAAATAACACCTGCACAATCAAACACAGTCCCTGTTATCTTCCAGCTACTGTGCAGAGCAGCTGTTAAACCCTACTAATAAGAAAGATAATCTGTTAATGATAGAGACCCTCATGTGTCTGTTTTTCTCTGTTTTTCTCACTACACAGGTGAATATCACATCAACAGCAGCTCCCTCTGCTGTGACCACCAAAGGCCCCCCAAAACAAACACCCACATACAGCGATTTTGAATAAATAACAAGGGCCTCCAGAGGAAAGATAAAAACACTGTGATTTCTTACATCCAGTTGATCTCTAACAAAGACACACACAGTGAAATCCCCATGTGCACTGATTGAATCCCATGTGGAGATTACACCGCAGTAAAGGTGGACACGGTCTCTGGTTATTTGCTGACTTTATTTGCAGCACAGTGCAGGTTCGTTCTGCTGCTTTAGGAGTTTGTGTTTGTCCCACAGGTCAGCTCACACGTGCCGTCTGTCCAGACATGTAGTGATAACACAGAGGAAGATAGTGTTGTTAAAAAAATGTTTTATCTCTACGGTCCTTCATTGAGCTTTATAACGGACTAAACATAGCACCTGCGCTATTGAAAGTACACCAGTTTGGCATCTCACAGGGCAATAAATATCAAATTAGACTGCTGAACGTGTAGATCTGCCACAAAGATTTGCAATCTGTGTAATAATTCACTCCTTTATATGTAGACATTGAACAGTAATTCCAGTTTATTAAGAAGCTGATACACAAGCTAGCGTGGGACCCAGACAGAGAGGTGTGTTTACCTGTCTGTAGTGCAATGACCAGATAGTTATCAAGCTGAGCTCAGGGAATAAACTCGGTACTGATAAGACTGATTAGGTATCACACGCTCTCTCACAGCGCCAGTAAGAGCTTTGGCGACTGGGCTGCGCTCAAAACAAGGGTCGAAGGAGTGTGGATGAATTTCATTCATGATATCAATCCAGAGAAGCTCACTGCACCGTTCATTAGGAGTGATATGGGATGATGCAGGCCAAAGCTATTAGACGGTGAAGTGTGTAGAGGGGCTGTAGTTCAACAGCAGAGAGACAGGAGAAATAGAGTCATGCATAACTATTTATTATCTGAATATTGTTTGCTTGTTATCTATCTCTGCCAAGTGAAACTTTTAAATAATATTTCACAAATCAGATTATTTGAACGAGATTAAGAAGAACAAAAACAGTGAAATTAAAGGGTTTAGGTACATACTTAAAGTTTACAAGAAAGATAAACAGATGACTCCAGTGCGAGGAGCAAGAGTGAGAGATCACAACTTCATCTCACTCCAGGTGTGGCCAGCTTGGGTCTACCACCTACTCTATTATTCAACTTTATATAACAGGGGAGTCATAAGTTTACTATAAAAAAGGTTGGAAAATTTCTGCAGGTTGGGCCAAAGTACATGTCAAGCATTTAGAGATGTTTCAAGATGAGCAGGGCTGACATAATCTCAGATCTAGGAAAGTTAGAGAAGTCAATATGAAAACACATGACAAACACAAACAATGTAATAAAATAAATAAAAATACAGATACCAAACCCCACCCACCCTCCCAACCCCCATTCAACACATACAGCACTCACACACTCACACACACACACCAATGCATACACAAAAGACCAGGTGAAGACTCTTCAACTTGCCACAGATGACTGAGGAAACGCTAGCTTGAGTTAAAAAAGATGATAAGACACTGGATCTAGGACTAAAACGATAAAACCATGATAAAATATAATAAAGGTGATAAAACGTTAAAAGTTGATTGAATAAAAGTCTTAAAATCAAACAATAAAAGAGATTAAATTAAAAAAAGAGGTAATAAAACACAAAATAATTATTCTAGGACTAAAATAGTGTAACATCACATAATTCAGATCAAAAGATTAAAAGAAAATTCAGCTAAAAGCCAGACTAAAAAGGTAGGTCTTGAGTTTACTTCTAAAAATATGAACAGTAGGTGTCGCTCTCAGGTCTGCAGGTAGGCTGTCCCACAGATGGGGACCGTAATATTGGAACGATGATTCACCGTATGTTTTAATTTTTACTTTGGTAACAATGAAAAGACTACTATGTGAAGACCTGAGGGATCTACTAGGTTCATACAGCAAAAGCAAATCAGACAAATAAGAAGGACCAAGACCATTTAGAGCTTTAAAAACTAATAAAAGAACCTTAAAATCAACTCTAAAAGACACAGGTAACCAATGCAGAGATTTTAAAACTGGTCTGATGTGGGCTCTCTTCCTGGTTTTTGTCAGCATGCGTGCAGCTGAATTTTGAAGAAGCTAAAGCTGTTATGAAAGTGTTAGTAGTCTTAGTTTAGAGTCAAGTATTCATAATTGATTTATTGATGTACATGAATCCAGCTCTTATAATGTCAGTCTTTTCAATGGTGTTCAGAAAATGCAAAGTGGCTAACCGAACAAAGTTAATATTATTTTGAATTGAATGTGTTTTGTTTGTGCTCTGTCATGTTTTTTTCATGTAGATCAGTTTCAAGGTTTATGAACACAAGTTTATGGATTCATGACCTTATGACCACAAGACTGTGTTGAGTCAGGGAAAAAACTGGGCAATTCTGTTTCATTTTATCAGTGTGGAGCGCCTCACTGCCGACCTCTCGACTGGAGAGCATGTCTGCTTATGTTAACACATTTAAAAATGCATTTCCTGACCAGGATGGATACATCACCTGCATGAAATCTATAAAAAGTCTTTGTTTGTGTCTTTTTCTAAAGTAAGCAGAGCCCAAAGTGTAAATTTGTTATATATTATCAATCTTTACATGAAGTAAAAGGATTTAAAGTAAGGGAAAATAACTCAAAAGCAAAATGTTAAGAAGTTGTTGATGCATTTATAAATACAAATGGTCTAAAAATGTGAATGTTACAAAGTTTAACAGCCCTGTCTTTAAGAATACATTATCACTCACTGACAGTATCACAGACATTATTATTTTTAATACATCATGAATCAAAGGTTGTATTTTCTAGTATCAGAACGGCAGAAAGAAGTTCGTCAGAGAATAATTGTTCTCTCATAAAGGTGCACTGTGGTCAGATGCAGCACTAAAAAAAAATCATTATTCTGTGTCGGTTTCAGTCAAATCAAACAAATGAAACACGTCAAATTTATGAAGTTGTGTGTATAAATTTAGTTCTGTTTAATGAGTTACATTTTACAGCAGTGAGTTGAAGTGACAGCAGTTTATTTTGTGAAAACAGTGAAATCTCTTTGGCACAAATGCAGGTTATTTCTATCTTACACAGCTTTAATTAAGAACCTCTGACCTCAATCTTTTTTTCTTCTTTTGAATTCAACAGACAGGAGAAACATCATCTGCCAAATTTGTACAGAAAATAATTCACAAACCTCGTGATCATGCTGGTTTTAGAAAATCTTGAGAGCTAGAGTCCACACTGCTTTATTTTTTGAGTTAAATGGGTCATTGCTTGTCATGATATCAACAATCAACACTATCAATTGTTGTTTGTTTTGTTTTTGTCAGCCTTATCTCAGTCATCTCTCTGACCTTGGATTCAAACTGTGTTAATATACAACCCAGTAGTCCGGGACATCCCAGCCAGTGCCCATCCCAGCGTCTAAAGAGGAAAAGACATTTCCACACACTCACACTTTCCACTGCAGCCACATTTGTAAGATGCAAACTGTGTACAAGGATTTTGTTTTGTTTGGTAGGGTTTAAATGTCTCAGCTCAGGACTCCTAAACTAATTCCTGTCTAACTTATGTGTCACACAGGCCAGTGACAGTTTGTTCTTCTTTCAGAGGACAGGACAGAGAGGACAGAAAGCACCCAGAGAAATAAGTTTCATGATGGCTACAAAGAAGCAGCTGTGCTCTCTGGCCCGTATGATCCTGCCTGCTGCTGGGTTTGGGATGGTCTGTCTTGGGTCTTTCCTGGTGTCCCAACAGATGACGGACGGGCTCCTTTGGAGTTCTATCCCTGCCTACATTTTGATGTTTCTTGGATTTCTGGCTGTGCTGAGCGGAGTCTTCTGGGCCATCTGTCACAGCATGGGGAGCAAACTGTACCGGGGAAGTGGACAAGGACAGGAACGACAAGTCCAGGTTTATGCCATTGAAAGGTGAGAGACACGGAGTACAGAGAAATCTACAGAAAGTATGTTTGGTTTTAGTTCTGAGTTTCAGCTGGTTTCCAAAATTTCCTTTCATTTGTTTTTATGCCTTGAGAGTCAAATATAAAATCTGTCCCATCAAATCTTTTTATGTTTTAAAGTTCTTTGATAAAGTTCATACTGGTCAAATAAATGATTAAAACTAAAACTAAACCACCAGTGAATATTGTTTGTCCTCTCATCTACAGGCCAAGCTCCTTCCCTCCATCATATGAGGAGTCCCAGAACAGCCAGCTGTCTCCCGAAACTGTCTCTGAGTTTGCGGTGGAGGTTGATGGAGTAGATGTGGTAATCAGCCTCGCTCCTCCTCTGTACAGCCCGGACAGCTCGGAGGCTCCAGACTGCAGGTGGAGCTGGGAGCGACCACCACGGTACAGTCAGGTGGAAAATAGGCAACAGGGAGAGGAGAGGCAGATGGAAGTCCGGTCTGGACAATGAAGGACTTCTTTTCCTAACTGGGTCTAAAGGTGATTTCTTTCTACCTGAGCTTTAAAAAAACTGTTCAATTATGGATGAAGTCTCTGAACCAGTTTGGATGGCTCTGTTACAAAAGGATGGACTCCTGAGTGTGGATCAACCTCTGAACTATTATGTCTGTGCTGCATGGAAGTGGAAAAGCCTGTGTCAGCACAGAGCTCCTTAAATAGTAACAAGCAGTTGGGTTAAACTTTGGTTTGAAGTTAATACAGTATCAGTGTGTTCCTCTTGGGTCTCCCAAAGCAAGGCTGCAGTTGATGCATACTTGCAGAAGCTCTGATGGGTGTGAGAACTGATCCTTTAGGATGTCTGAGTTGGCATACAGTACTTTCCATGGCCTGCACTTTAACTCCAACATCTGCACAACTGAAATCAGACACACACTGCTACCTGATTTATGTTTGAGAATAAAGTGAGTCACGAGAGTTGATCCATTTTATCATGCTGCACTGTGAGTGACTAATGTGTTCAAACTGTTGAAGACGTTTCACAGCAACACAAGTAAAGTTTCAAAGTTCTTACGAGGCAGTCTGAGATGAGTAAAAGTTTTTGGACAATGAGCAGGTTATTTTTTGGTCAAATACAATGCATGAGAAAGTAAAAGAAAGTGTCTGTATATGTATATAAATGAATGTTACCCATCTGACGTGACCCATGCAGATGAGGTTTACAGAGAGTATCTTAATGAAACTGTACATATGGCTTTTAAATGGGCAAGTCCTATTGTAAAATCTATAGTTAAGACAGGCTGGGATGAATAATGAAATGAAATAATCATAGAACATACAGAACAATATAAAAAGAGCTAAACTAGAACTTCATTTACAGGATGATTTTAATGGCTTGAGGAAAAGACAGACTTTCTTTCTTCTCCCTGAAGTTGAGGACAGAAAAAATAATATTTTTTAACCAAATTTTTGTCCTTAGATGGATAAAACCTGTGCAGGTGTAAGTGAAAGGGTTAAGCAAATTACTGTAGCATGTTAGTGATTTTTTTGCCAGAAAAATCAGTTATTTCCAGCTGTTTTGTCTTTGCATTGAGAGTTTACTTCGTTGATTATCTGTTGTTGACATTTAAAAATCTCAGAACGATGTACAGTATATGAATTGTTGGGGAAGGATTTTGTTTCTGTCTTTCTGTGGTGACTTTGCACTTTTATTTGCATATGTCACTAAAACATGCCCTAAATCTGTTTTAATAGATTGTTGGCTCACTCTGAAGCACACTTTGCTCAGTTGAAAAGTTCACCTCAATAAAAAACACTGCTGGAGCAACAAGGTCCTGCAACTTTGCAGCTTGTTTATCTTCACACGCATGACACTGCAAAACCGTTGGGCACTGTTTCAGTTTCAAAGTACTGAAACAGCACCTGCTCGTCTAAACATAAAGATTAGACACCTGTCTGAGACACCTGAATTTCAGCTTAAACACAAACCATCCTCTAACAGCAAATTCAAGGATGATACAGGGATTGATCTTTGTCCAAACTGAGAAATAACCCCTGACATTATAAAGCAGTAGGATGGGGCAATAACCTGTTACGGCTGACAGGTAATGTCGGGCTGACTGAGTGAACACATCCTTGCGGATATCCACTGGCATATCCTCAACTCATAATGACGGCAATCAGCGTGTTTATGAGTTCCTTCTCTCTGCATTTCATTCACACTGTATAAAGATCAACCCTCTTCTGTCTTATCTCCACACAACAGCTTCAACCCATTTCACACTCAGGTAATGTGCAAGGATGTTCCATCACTGCATAATTTAATATCTGCTATAGATCATGGAATATAGATTTCATTATAACCTGAAAAAGCTGCAGAGCAGAATAAATCACATTGATGTCATTTTAAATGCGACCGTTTGATTGAAAAAAAAAAAAAAAAAGGCAAAGTCACACAAAAACAGTTTATTTGGATTTAAAAAAGGCCAATATTTTCAAGCCGGGTTACAAGGCCTACACTAGCGAAACAATGAAAAGGCTGGATGAGCAAACCTCTTTAAAAAGATGTATTTATATGAATTGCCTCTGAATTCATTTACATTTTTGTTTGACTTTATTTTTTTCCTTTGGTCAGACAACTTTTATCCATTTTTGGACATAAACAAACAATTATTTTATATCAGCCAAATACTTAGTAGTGATGCAAAGCCTATTTTATTTCACACTTAGACAACAGTTGAAAAATGTCTTCATTCAAAAAGCTTTAAAAAAACAAAAATATGAGATATAACTGACAAGACAGGTAGAAGCAGTATGGTGAAACATTACAGGCACAATATTCCACTGACATTTACAAATGTCTGCTCCTTCTTTGACACATGTTTGCTTTTTAGATATTTCCTCAGTTCTGCTTAAATTGTAATAAGAACAGCAACATTTAATTAGACTCCTATTCTTTGATATATATATATTTACTTTAACTGCTACAAGATGAAGTGGTCTTTACAAAATTGTCTGAAAAGTGGGCAACATAAACTCTGGCACGGTCTGTTTAGTCATCAGTGTGAAAGAAAACATTAGGATAGAGCTACAGAGAGAGGATTTTGAAGTCTGTCTGTCTGTGTGTGTTTGCTGGAAAATGCATGTGTGTGCTTTCGTGTGTGTTTCCCCGGCTGCTTATGTGATAACATTGGGACCACGGCGTCCTGTCCTTTCGTGGATGTTTGAGATCTTCAGGGCGATGGCGATGAGAGGACCCAGCACCACCTGCAGCGGGAGACACACCACAGAATAATAATAACAATTCACCAGCTGATGGGGATAGTAAATCACTGCTGATCCACTAAAACAGATTAAAAACCTTCACAGATTCTGTCATCAGCTTGTGACAGGGAGGATGGTAAGTTTGGGAAGAGGAAGAGCAACTACGTTTATTGATTGTAACCATTGCCTTGTGTGTTTTATATGTATTATTTTGCAACTTTAATCACCCTTTTCTGTGAGAATAACAAATTTGAATCTATTTAATCAAATGATGTAGTATCTCGATTGCTCAGTTTTGCTTTTATTTAACTCATACTACAAAACTTAACCATTCTCCTGTGTTAGCTTCTACTACGCACCCACCCTGTTAAGGGTCAGTTTCAACCCGTGTCTTAAATCACTAAAAACAATCCTCTATCATCTAATTTGGTTCTCATCTCTAGGTTACCTTGTTAGGCTTCAATATCCATGAAAATATTACTTATATTATTTGTTGTGGTCCTCTGGGCCTTTCTTTGTCAGTATACCCCTCACACAGACATCTATACTGAATTGATCTTACATGTCTCCACATGCCTGACGTTGTTTTTTGTGCAGGGAAAAAAATGACAAAATGGGAATTACAAAAATTCCTAAATCTTTCAGTTTTTCCTCTAATTATTAGATATTGATCTAACCGGGTCAACAGCGACCCTAACACAACAAGTGCCATAATTTTAATAAGAGCATTTTATAATTTAGTCAATTTATTTTTTTTATTTTGCTGAAATAGAGGTTCCTGACAAAGTCATTGATTGAGTCAGTCTTGATGCAAAAAAGCGAATTTAATAGGTTCTTTTCAGCAAAAACAGGTCTGTGCAGTCCCTAACACAGGAGGAGGGTTAAACAAGTTAAAAATGATAAACAGAGCTGTGAAAAGATTCTTGGTGTTACAAGTACTCCCAAACAGCTCAATAACTACATACAGACACTGTGAGCACTTTCATCTTAATACTGAGACTCAAACTAAATCTCAGCATCTCACTAAATCTAAATTTAGATACTAAGATTCAACACACTGCCTCAGTATGGATGTCTTCAACTCATTCATCAGGCGTCAGACAACTTTATTGTCCAGTTTTTCCTACTTGTCTAAAATAAATTGATCATGAAATGTGATGTGAACAGTAAAGTTGAGGATCAGTACCTATCATGAAACATTTAAGGCTGTGTTTTAGTGTTTCTGGGTGGACTATGAGACTATAGAGATTTCCTCTTTTTTGTTTTTGTTCCCATAAAAATTTTACGATTAAACCGACTACTTATCCTTAACTGTGAAACTTGATGTCACTTTTCTGATTCTGTAAACCGCAGAATTTGTTCATTGTTTTTCACTTGCTGGTATTTGAATGGAAAGTCAATGACATTGTTCTTAAATGAAGTAAAAACAGTCACTGTTTGTCAGACAAAACTGCACGGTTAGCTGGCCAAACAGTAGATGAGGTTGTCTGGCCATGGTGACTTCACCTTTACAATCTCTGAGAATGGTTAAAGTACACTTCATTTACACGCCAACATTTCATGATCATGACATGGCATTGTACTGTCTTACCCTAGGTTACCATGACTACTGCGGCAGCTGAAACACACAGTTTTTTCTCCTTGAGGTTCAATTCAGTACAAAGAAAAGATAAAAAAGAAGTGAAATTGGCGACCTGTGGGTGGTAACAACACAGGAGAACTTGTGGTGGAGAGAGACATCCTGAGTCTTATAGAGGTGATGGGGCCTTAATGCACCAAATAGGACCTTGGAAGTTAACCGGCACAAAAGTTACTGCATGGTAATGTGTGGGAGTTCAAAATCTCATGTTTCTAGGGAATACTAATGGCTCTCTAGAGAGACGGGAATGTGCAGATGTTGTATTTATCGTGTAAACTATATTGAATCAGTGTATTCTGTGGAATATCTGTAACCTGAAAGGAGCAATATCTAATCATAAATCATTTACTTCTGCTCCTGCATGTTATGAGCCAATAAAGATTTGTTATCAACCGTTTTATTGAGACTAAAGGCAGCATGTAAATGTCAGTTTCTGATATCCAGATTGAATTTATTGACAAGTAACAAACAAACAAATAAAATCTCTGCCACACACAAACAAACACACGTGCAAACACAATCTCGCAATACCTGTGTCTCTCTGTTGTGTCTTTCAGGGTCTCTCTCAAAGCTTTCAGCATAAATGCGGATGGTGGACCCCATCCCTCCACCGCTCCCGCTCATCCGAAACACCAGGCGGGATGCATCGTGGAAGACGATCCTCAAACCCTGCAAACAAACCAAACAATGTTTTCCTCATATGCTGATTCACTTTTTGTAAAAACATGTTTTTGAGTTTCACACTTACAGCCACAAACAGCTCAAACAAACAAAGACAGAATAAATAATCAATTTTTTTATTTTCTGATCAAAGGAACAGGCATTGATACACAAAGGTCAGTATAAAGTCAGTAAAAAGAGAATTCTCTGGTAAGCAATGTCCACAAATATCCACTAGATGTCCCTCTTATTGTGCATTTTGAAAGGACTGTGTGTTCCAAGAGGTTTTACTGATAATATTTACATTAATTTGTACCACACTTTTCAAAATGCTTCAAAAAGCTTTCAAAAAACAGTGAAGCCAAAAAAATTATAAAAACAAAAAAATTAAATCATGAATTAAAACATAACACATAAGACCAGAAAAAATAGGATAAATATTTTCATGATATGATTTACCCATTTTTACCAATTTGGCAAGGAAACACCATTTAGAGACTTCCTGCAAGTCTGTTTTGATATGTAGGTTTTAATATGTGAATTTTAAAAAGACTGCTGAGTCCTGTTAGCCCATCAGGGTTGGACAAACTAAATACATTCACAATTAACGTATTACACTTAAACATGTATCAGTTGCATCCATTTCTCCTGATAAAATCTGCCAGTGAGGGGCAATTCTACAGGAAAAGCAGAGTAAAACATCAAATCTAGGATGTCACTTGTTGTGTCAATGGTCGCCGGTAAAACTTCAACTCAGCAGTTTTGAGGAAAAACAGGATATTGTTGCGCTCGCCGTAACTGTTGCTGGTTGACGTAGGCGGAAGATAAGAGTGTTTGACAAATGCATGTGTGATGACTCTTATCTGTCCTGAATTCCACAGAGCCTCTTCTCTTATCCCATTAGAGTGAAAGTCAAGCTCAGAGGGAGAGACAGCAACATCCACGAGGAAGAAGACTCACAAATAAAGCACCTTTAAGCTGCTTTTCGAAGCTTTGTGTGGCACTTAAATTCACCTTCTTATACCCCATTATTGACAACACAACTCAATATCAACAAATGATATTTTTATACATATAAAGAAGCTTATAGGTGAGTTGGTTCATTGACTTGTGACGACAAAACCCGTTCTTATAATGCTGCTAACCTCTAAAACTGTGACTCAGCCCCAACTTTTATAAAAGTAAGACTTGCCTGCTCACCTCGCACCCCAAATATAGGTATTCTAGTTTACAAACTTAACATGTCAGAGTCCCCCTGAGGAGAGAAAGCGATATTAAAACATGTCCATCCCTCTGTCTATCTGTCTTTTTAGTGAGTGTGTGTCAGCACATCTCTAACAATAGAGAAAGTAGTTATCAGGGGGCTGCTAAAGAACAATGTCTGCCACAGAGCTCAGATGCCTGAGTGGAGCACATACCAGCCCCAGTGAGTCTGTCCCTGTCTATCTTAGCTATGCCAAACACTCTGAGTGTGTTAACAGTATGTGTTAATTAATTTAATAATTAATGCAAAGGGCATATCAAAAGATAAAGTAATACAGGAAACAAAAAGGTGCAATAAAGCCAATTTGTAGGCTAGAGGATATGACTCGCATCTACAGGATATCTTTCTGTCTGAGTTATGCACACAATGCTGAATAAATGCAGTAGATGGCTACAAAAGGCTGCCACACCACTGCTGTGTAAATCCCCCTCTGCTCTGGTCTGTGTGTTAACGCGTTGGTGTCTATGTGCCAGCTTTTCTCCCCCTTCAAACACACTTGCGATGGAGAGACGACAAGACGACAGCTGATATAATTCTGTCCTGGGAGGAATGTGTGCTGTAATAACACACACTGGAGCGACTGGGATGCTGAGGATTTTCCAGTGAGGCTGAATCACATTTTAGGGTGACTGACTAACTAGCTGTGAAGCTGGGTCACCATACACATTGTATATTAAACTGAACATATTATTTCTGCAAAGGTAAAATGAAAACAAACTGTTGCCAGAAAACAACAGGATGACCACATGTAAGCCAAGCTAGAGTGTGTTCACACTTACATAAAGGGACTGGTGGACTGTACAGGCACCAAAATGAACAGTGTGTGTTTGCGGTATGCGGTATTAAGGTGGGGCTAAGAAGTGTTGACGCCAGGAATGAGTTTCCACACAGTTCTGGAAAGACCAGAGGGAGTCAGCTGGGTAAACTTCAGAGAGACCGACTTGGAGGAAAGGAGAGGACATGGAGGGTAAACCGACCCACAGAGTTATCAGTGTGTGTTAGGATATGTGCTGTATGAACATGTTTATGGATCGAAAAAGATAGACTGCCGTGTCAAAACATGGAACCTCTCGAAAGGGACAACACTGTAGTGAAGTGGGTGGTCCAGCTTGCAACAGGCTGTTGAGTGACTGCATGTGTATGAAAGAGAGAACATAGAGGTGTCAGCATGTGTGAATGTGCAAGATGTTTTAAGGCAGGCCTGACCCACTGATAACCCAGAGACCTGACGTGAACCACACGCTGTGATCGTGTTCATTTTTCAGAAAACTACAGTCCACAATGAGTTTATATGAACAACACACCCATCTAAAGTCTGATCATCAAAAATATGGAGCAACACAACACCCACGGGTTAGCCAGTGGAATCGCAGAATCAGTGGATGGTTGTTCCTCCTACGGCCAAGGGGGGCACCACTGAGCCCAATACAAACTCTAAAAAACCATCTTCTTTCAATGCTTTTCAAACAACCTTTCCCATCTCTTACTCAAAGTGAAGTGTTTGGTTTCAACCTCTGTTGTTAACCTAAGAATTTGAAACAAAAGCTTTAAGTCCAATTCATGTGAGGGCAGATTCTTGCCAACATTTATCTTTGCCCAGTAGTTAAAGGGATATTCCGGCGTAAATTGATTTAGGGTCAAACACACCATAACACCAAGTTAGACACCCCCTCGAGAGATAAATGTTGCCGACCGCTTGCTTTTCTAGTTATACCAACTTAAGTATTGGCCGCAAGACAGCAATACACAGCGGTCTGAGGAGCCATAAACAAACCTCAAACAAAAAGCCACTTTATAGCCACAAATAATGCTCAGAACAGCACCTAACTTCATCAATAGTACATACAGGGTCCCAGCCATAGTACTAGCCACCAAACATCTTTTTAACTTTGCCTCATTTCTTTAGCAAAGAGACTAAACACAACTCACCTACTCTCTTCCAGCAGCCGTTTGTCTGTACAGAGACCTCAGACCAGTCCATTACGAACTGCAGCGGGGTGACGCAGCTCAAGGAAGAACATTTATAATCATGTGTATTGCTATCCTGCGGTTGTTACTGAAGTTGGTTTAACTAGAGAAGCAACCGGTCAGCAACATTCATCTCCCGAGGGGGTGTCTAACTCGGTGTTGCGGTGTGTTTGACCCTAAATAAAATTTACACTGGAATATCCCTTTAAAATGACCGTCCTAAAGTCCCTGTGAAAAGTTTTCAGCAGCCTATGAAAAGACTAACGATTCCTGTGTTGTGATTTTTAATGTATTTGCTGGCCAAACAAAACAAACATCAACAGAAGGCAAGCTGCAACAAGTGCACACAGGACATATGACCAGGCAGGCACAGGCAGGCACATGCAGTCTGTGACAGGCAGAGCGACAAGTTGGCGAAGTCAACGTCAGTGATTTTGCATTTCCTTTTGAAAGCACTTGAAATGTGTGACTGTTCAGTAGAGAGCCCTTATACTGAAGGAGCTAGAGTGGAATCAATGTGCATGTATGTCATCGATAGAGTAACTGAGTATCACCGCCTGTATAAATCCAGGAACAATTCATTCATTAAGATTCGGATAAATATTTGGAGAGTGTTGGGGGTAAGGAGAAGAGGAAGGCTGAAGCAGAGAGAGAGACAGGGCGGAAAAAAGCTCTTGCAGAGGATGCAGCCAAATGTGGAAATATCAGTGAAATGTTTTCCTGCATGGCACCACCAGGTGGATCAGTGATAAACCAAAGGGAAGCTCTTTTGGATGCTTTTGCCAGTATTTTCTAACCTGAATGATTGCTCCAGTCCAGCCCTGTCTGTAACCACTCTAAAGGGGTAGGTACCACCTTTGACAATCTCAAAATCTATAGTCAAGATATTTTTAGTAATATTACCAAGCTCATTTATACCCCTTCAACGGACCAATACAGCCAGGAACCCAAATGAACAGAACAAAAAAAAAAAACATACATGAACTCCCTCACTTGACCATGACTGACCTGATTTCGAGCTACTGATCCATCCACAGGGTCGATGTACTCAAAGTTGTCGGCCCTCTCCACGCTGTATAAGTGATCTCCTACGGCGAACTTCTGGCTGGTGAACGCTTTGTCTGAAATGACTGCCTCCAGATCCCTCATCAAGTAAAAAGCTGCACGTGGATCCAGGCCTTCGTAGTCAAATCTGACAATCAGCAATACACAAAGACATATAAACACATATACAATTAACTTGTTTAATTTTACTCCAATTAATTCTTGGTAGGGATGCACGATATTTATCGGACCGATAGAATATCGGCCGATTTGGGGGGGAAAATTACGTCATTTTTTATCGGTCCGATAGGTGCATTTTTCCGATAGAAAGATCCGATATATTAATGAAATTACGAGTAACGTTTGCAGGCGGAGTAGCCGCCCGACGCGCCTTACTCGCAGGTCCCAAGCCTGACCCCTGTCACTACCTGACTGATAATAAAATTTCTTCACCAGCATGGTCGTTTTTCTCAGTGGCAGAAGATGACAACAGCTGCTATATGCAAAACCTGTTCAGCGAGGATTCCGAGAGGCGGAATGAAGACGTCAAGTTTTAACACAACGAATCTGATAGCTCATCTGAAAAGTCGCCATCGCGGCGAAGCGGTATTAAAAGACTATGAGACAGCCGCCGAAGCTGCTAGCGGTACTAAAGCTAAGACAACAACACTACGGAGGATCGATGTCCCCATTCAGCAGGCGTTTGAAAACTGCAAAAGCTTCTCAAGAGACAGCGAAAAGGCTAAAGCCATTAACGACAAAGTGATGGAATTCATAGCGGTCGACGACCAGCCTTTTTCCGTCGTTGAGAACCCGGGTTTTCGTAAGTTAATAGCACACTTGGAGCCACGTTACACTCTCCCAAGCCGCCGCTTCTTCTCGGATGTGTCCCTTCCTGCACTCTATGATATTGTCGCCACTTACATTTACAACCTGATCGACAGGAACGGACTACACGTGAGTTTTACCACAGACATATGGACGTCAGATGTTAGTCCGGTCAGCATGCTAATCCTAACGTCTCATAATAGCTCCTTTACAGTCTACAGTTCTGTTGAACAGTTCAGGGGATGCACTGTTTTGGTCAAACGAAGTTCTGCTTTTTGCTCTGTTATTGTTATTTATAGCTAATGACCACATATTTTTGTGATGACATGGAAAAAATAAACATTTGAAGAGCCAAAAACTTTAGTTTGTTGTTCTAGATAGGCCAGAGCAACAAAAATATCAGTTTTCAATCACTGCATCCTGCACAAACTGCAGATTATATGAAGATTATAATAAATGTAAAAATATGAATTTATCGGTTATCGGTATCGGTATCTGCCATGAGAAGAAGAAAATTATCGGTTATCGGTATCGGTTGAAATTTTTCATATCGTGCATCACTAATTCTTGGGCAAATTAAAAAAGGAGTTGTGTACTTAATTAAGTCTAAAGCTGCTTTAAGACAAGATTTTGACTGATGGGATTTCCTCTCATAATGGCAGATGTTTTAGTTTCAAGGCTTCTTTAGGGCCTGATCTTTGACTGGTGCTGAATGTCCTCTTCATTTACATGCTGTGGGAAAACTGAATCCGATTAGGAAAGCTCTCTATGGGAACATATAAAGCTGCACCAACTGTCAGTGGGAACATTTACTGCTGTAACTATCTCTGCCTATCACAGGGGAGAAGTTAAAAATAAGAACAAGTGACAACCAATGAGGAGCAGTGGAAGAGAAATGGATGAAGGTGAAGGCCTGGGAGACATATTTGGCTTTGAGGGGGTCCAAGGGATTGAGACTTCTGGGAAAAGAGGATCATCACGTCAATCCTAGGAGAACTTGTAGATTTAAATAGACTCAAGATATAATGTGAAAGTCTGGAAAAAGCTTCTAAAACTAAAGAAACCCTATTAATTGTTAAGATTTAATTTATCCAGAGAGATTATTTAGTCAATTACCTGCAGAAGTAGTTTCGTCCGAACTTGGCCCAGTGTTCTCTGACGATCTGTTGCACTCCTTGTTTTCTGGCAGCCATGATGGATAACCACATCAACACAGACCAAAGACCATCCTTCTCTCGGATGTGGTCAGAACCTGGGAGGTAAAAAAAAAAAAAAAAAAAGTTAAAAGCCTTCATACTGTATACTTCTTAAACTTTCTCTCAAGAGAGATATGTGGTCTCAACAAAATTCAGCCATAAATTTAAAGCTCCTGGGAACTTTTGGTTTGGGCCCATTTTGGCTTTCACTATAGCTGAGGATGTATTTGCTTATTTTGTTTGTTACATGCTTATGTGGTGTCTTTTGGGAAAAAAAAAACAAAAAAAAACCTTCTGCTGCAAGTTTTGGCATTTAAATGTACACTTTTCTATGGAGTTCAAAGGCGTAACTAAAAAAACAGGACTCTCTCTGTTTTCGGGCCTTTAAAATGCCAAGATTGAAGAGTCAAACTATCTGCTGATGGTCTTGTTTGCTGTCATAGGTTATAAATATGCATTAAACTTAATTAATTTCAGTCTGTTTTATAACCAGCAAAACATAAATAAATAAAAAAATAAAAACCTCTTAAACCTCTTACAGGAGCTTTGAGAAGATTGAGTAAATAGCAGTGAGTATGCTAGCATAGCTTAGCATGGAGATGAAAAACAAAGGGGCATAAGGAATTTTTCTTTCCTAAATAACACTAGCAAAATAAAAATGCCATTACAGGATAGTTTATGGACATTAAAGGTGCTGTTTTGTGATATGTACTGTGTAAAAATATATTTTTTTTAATCTCTGGACACCGCAAGCTAGTTATTTCCTCTCATTTCACATCCTTTATACTTAGCTAATCTAACTTTATCCTTACTTCAGCTCTACATCCAAAAAGAAGATATGAGATTTATGTTGTCATGCAAAATAACACAATACTTCTTGCTTGCAGAACTGCCTGAAGACCCTGGAGTGACATTAGCCTGTGAACCAGATGAATCTGCAAGCTAATGTTTGTCTTTTTCTGGCAAACACTTCTGCTTTTCCCGTCACACAGATTCCCAACAAGAAATCAAGATGGTATGTGGAGTATTAGTCATGTCTTACAAATCTAAATCATACCATACCAGAACAAACTTGATTTATATTTACCTAAAAGCAACTTAAGATTAAAACTAGCTATTATACTTCTGTATTTAACTCTGCTGTATTTGACAGGAGGTCAGGGAAAGTGCTCGGGCTTGGAGATGAACCCAATATCCCCACACAAATAATGTTTCCAGCTCCCAATACAAACACACACACAAACAGAGACGTTCACACCCTTGATCACTGGGGAGCAATCAATCTGTCCTCGAAAACAGCTGCATGGCAAAGGTATCTGTTAAGGGGACACTTTGACATTTTAGAGGACTGAATACGGAGATGCTTTAACGGCAGAGTTTGGTGAAGAGAGTGGGAAAAATGGTTAGGTATCAGTTTAATACATAGAAGAGCCACATAGTTTAACTAAAAACTGTCATTTTAATACCCGTCCTTGTCATGGTTTGTTCGGTGACTGATTTAAGTACTTCAAAGGAAATGTTGATAAGAGAATGATCAGCAAAAAACATCTATAAACGTTTTTTACCTGATGCTTTTTTTAGTTTTTGAAAGGCACTCAACTAACCAACTCCAGCGTTCTCCATTCTCTCAGCAGTTTAATCAAGAAACAACAATAAAACCTACAAAGTTTGAAAAGTTATGTTTGACAGAACTGGCAAGATTAATAAGTCGAAGAGTACATGCTGTGTGTGTCTGAGAGTTAGTGAGGAGCAGGAGTGGTGTACAGCTCTAATGATTTACTACCCTGGGCTCTCTCAGAGCTTTTGGCCTTACATGGATAGACAACGAGTAAGCTCCCGTAGTCCTCTGTGCTCCCTGCATCTCTCCTCCATTTCTCCACTCTTCCTCAATACACTCTTCATCCACAAGTTTTTAGTCTCCACGTGAAATTTCCTCTTTTTTATGGAGTTTTTAAATCTCTGTCTCTACTTAAAGTTGGACATTGTTTAAAATGAAGATAATCAGTCCAAGAGAGGGGAAAAATCAGTGAAAGAAAAATGAAATAAAAGTAGCTAAAAGATGTAAGAAGATTAACAGAAATGGAGAGACACAACCACTCAAAAAAGAGAGAGGTGCACAGGGGATGTAGTGAGGCAGATTTCGAGGGAGGGCGCACATTGTTTACATTTTCTGACCATGTATGCGTTTGTGTGTGTCTGCATTCATCGAAAAAAAAAGACAGTGGAGGCATGTGTGCATGTTGCAGCATTTCAGGGAGCCCCTGTCTCCTTTTATAGCAGAAGAATGGGGATTATTTACACATGCAGTCTGGGTCACAGCTCTCACATCTATTACACATCTCTGACTGCAGCTACAGGCTGTCAGGATGCACTGCTTACAACTCCAGACTCTCAGAAGAAAGGAAAATAAAGCCATTATCGTAGAAAAAATGTCACTTCTGAAGGGATTACTTGTTTCATCAACACGTGTACGCATATGATTCTCCATGTAATGTCTGATTACAACTACTGTAAGTTTTTGTGTTTTGATAGTATTAGCATTGTATAAAAGACACGATCTCCCATTTATTTCAGTGGAGCTGTCAAAAAAACAACAAACCGATGTATAAATGGGCTTCTGCAAATCATGAGGAACAAAATATGGGTGAAAGAATCAAAAATCAATAAACATTTTTTGTAATGAAATGCAATGTTTGCCCCCGTTCCCAAAGGATATTATTGTGTCAAAGCCAACAATGCAGCCTCGTGGCAAAACGGAGTACAGTTGAGGTTAGGTGACTCCCTTATTGATCTGGATGCCTGAGCTGTTTTCGCTTGTTGCCCCTGGTAGCACATTGTTCGAAGATCTATAAAAATATATTACTGGGTATAGTTTTTTTCACAACCTAAAATTTAAAGTTTAAAGCTTAAATAAATAAGACAATAAATGTGAAAAACATTCTTTTTAATTTGGCGTGAGGGTGACAGAACAGATTTGGTTCAACAAGGTCTCAGTATATTTACAGTTAGCAGCAGCTGGTCAGGGCAGCTTCTACTGGTGGTCTTGATTGCAGACACCTCAACAACTGTTGCCACTGAGAAAGTCTACCATCCACAAACTCACATTTTCCAAACAAGTCAAGTGATAAAAGCCATCAAATTTCACTTAAAATTTGTCTTACTTGATATCTTTTTAATCCAATCTCTGTATTGGTCTGTATTCTGCATTCTTAAACACTCTGTTATAGGTGAAGTCCCCCATTGGGTATGTATGTTCCAAGTGTGTTAAAGAATAACATATTGTACCTGTTCCAAAGCTCTCCTCTCCACAGAGGGAACAACGCCCAGAATCCATCAGGTTCCCAAAGTACCTCCAGCCTGTGGGAGTCTCGTACAGTGCCAGTTTCATGGCTTTTGCAACCCTGAAAAACAAAAAAGCAAAAGGTTTAAAAAAATACACTCATATCTTACACCAACAATTCAAAGTTTTGACATTGGAATAAGAATGCGAACAATCTCCTGACCGAAGCAAACCTAATGTTTTATGACGAGTATAATCAGCCCAAAGCTCATCCAATACCTTAATAAGGCAAAGGCAGCAAGCATAAAGTGAGTTAACCTTTTAGCTGATGTTTGCTTGAACCCGAGCCAGACACTTGCAAGAAAGGTAGTAGGGTGTCTTTTTATGAGTGCAAATATATGTTTTAAGAATATGTACATAATAATAAACATATGTTCCTGGCGAGGGTTTATGGTGCAGAGAGTACAAGATGTGAAGTGAAGAGAGTAGAGGCAGGAGAGAGGAAGCAGACATTTAATTTAACAGATACAAGAACTTTATTGATCCCCAAAGGGAAATTTATTATGTGAAATGAAAAACCCCTGACATATTTGGGAAAGAAATTCAATCAAAAAACAAAAAGCAATGTGATGCTAAGTAACAAAAAATCAGCAAGAAGTTAAAAAAAAAAACGGTTGCTTTTAAGCATTTTTACTGGCTGGCCAAGTCTCTGCTTCTCTTCAGCTACCGTCTCTGTCCCAACAACACTGACTGAAAAGCTGTTTGTGTAAATTACCAATCATAATCTTTATGGTTTACACGTGACAATTAACAAAAACAGACACAGCTTCAGGGGGAAGAGAAACAATTTACAAAGGACATCACTTGTGCAAACCCGAGGCTTAAAGAAAACACACTCTACTACTGTACATGTACTAAGACTACAGGATTGGTTCATTTGGTTTTCAAGTTTTGCAAAGCAGTACTTTCACAGGCATTTAAATTATATCATAATTAATTATATAAATTAAAAAATATACATATATGATGTTTCTATAATAACCTAGGAAATGAAAGGAGGCTCATCGCAGTAGCCCCAGTCTCTTGTGCTGTGCACCAAGAGACTGAGGCTGTGCAACCTAGAGACAAATATTTAGCTGTAGGAGCTGGTGAAGGCCTGATCAAAGATATTAAGATGAGAATCTATTCGTTAGGTGCTAAATTAACTCTTCATTAATATTCAAGTACTTAAGGTTTACCAAACGAACTCATGAACTGATGTGCAAAGTTGATAGATTTTGCCACTAAACTTCAGTTGAGCATTTTAAATACAACGAAGGCCCCCTCAGAACACTATTACTTTGGTATAGCAATGAAAACCAATAATTGTGTGAAATCCAGTATTGATTACACAGATTTGTTTCTTTTTTTTTTTCAAAGAAAGACAAAATACACCTGCAATATAAGTAAGCCATGTCTGCCTGAACAGATACCAAGTTTGAGAGAAATATGCTGCACAGTACACACAGTGTCCTCTTCCCACAGATCACTCCTCAGCAACATCATCCACAGCCACTAGATGTTAACATACTTGCAAGAACTCAAAGTTTTAGGACAAAGCAGTCCAAGCTACCAAATATTTGCTGCTCTGACAGAAAAAAAAGTACAAATCTGAAATACTTGAGCTGTAGCCCGCTGTGGGAATTCCCAGTGTATTACATGTGGATGTGGGCTGGGTTCAAGTGGTGTTGCACGTCCACACAGTCATCATACACATAAATAAACCCCACAGTGCCCAGCACGGTTGTTTACAAGAAGATGGGATAAATTACCAAATAAGACTAACTAGCTTAACTCCCCTCTGGGGAAGCAAGAGCTGGAACGGAAAGCCTGGCATTCCTCACAGAAATCAGAAACTCTGGCCTTCAGACAAGCTTTTGACGTCTTTAATGGCACATCTATGGCCAATATAAGCACTGAAACTGCCCCTAGAAGTGCTCCGCTTCAAATACTGTTGCAAAAATGTTGACAAGAAACTGTGTGTGAATAAGGACAATCATATTTCCAAGCATGATGATTTTTACCAGATGAGTGTTAACTGAAAAAACAGCATTAAAACGCAGAAGGAAACAAGCACGTCTTTTTGTAGCCTTTCAGTAAACAGAATCAGGGGAAAAAAGCACAATCAACAAATATGCTCAGCACTGAGGATGTGTCTTCACTCAAAAAGAAAAAAACCCCAAAGTTTTTAAATTATATAATCTGTAGCTCAAGTGCCACGTCATACTATGGAGGTACTGTAAATATATACAATAGCAAAGAAATATTTGTGTTAGTGAACAGAAGCAGGCCTCATCAAGAAGAAAAATGCTGGCAGTATGAAAGGAGTACAGAGGCACCAACAGCTGATCACCAGATCACAGACTCTGTGGGTAACTGGTTTACCAAGTTTGGCTAACTCTAGCAGATCTAGCACCACCAACCCAGGTTACATGCTGTTTAAGCAAACACGCTGTATGCACAACAACTATAAGACATGCCAAAATCATGCTATATATGTTCCATCCTCCATACAACTTGGGATATCCTTCATACTAAATGTGGCATATCGATAAGGCTCAGACAGAATAGATTTCACACTTCAAATCTTCCCTTAGATTATCTTGCCTGTTACCCATATATCCTGTAAGATAGTTCATTTATGTGTAAAACAAGAGAACAAGAGGACTTTGTGTCCCGTTGGTCAGATAATATGGTGATGCAGTATCTCTATATCTCTATATCTCCATGAGGTAAAGATAATGCAGATATTAGACCATCTCCTTCGATGTGACTCAAACTTTTAAATACAGGATTACAAATAACCACTTTACAGACAAATGCACATAAATACACTCACAATATCTCCTCTGTTTCCTCCATGTCTCTGTATTTGCCTGTCTCTCTTACAGATCGGTAAATACTCACCATTACTGTAAGAAATGAAGACCCTCTGCAGTGAAATATTGCCAGCTTTTGGCCTTGGATTGATATTTGACCAAACATAGATTCCAGTGGCCTCTCTCCTCACCTCCCCCCCTGACGAGAGCTCAACCTGGACTTAGAAGCTTTACACTGGCATTAAGACAAAAAGTACAGCATGCTGGAGCTTAACTTGGCTTTAAAACGGGGGTTACTTTTCACCCAAACCAAGAACCTTTACTGGACAAAATGAGAGAGGACCAAACTGGAATATATGAAATTTGATAAGTTTGTTTACAGTCAAAATTATTTCTTTAAATGGTCATAGATGTAAGAGGAATCAGTATTCAATCAGCTCTCTGACATTGTTTTGAGAAATTTTCTGGTCTATTTAAAGCCATGTCAGAATCTATTTATTAAGAAATGAAATTATTTCAGAGGTAAAGTGTGCTTTGTGTCAATATTTAACTTGGCTCCCTCCAGCATCATGCTTCCTAACAAAATATTGGAGTATGAGACAACCTTTACACATGTTAACAACCTTAATGTGAAAGAATTAACATGAAAGTACAAGTCTAGTCTTTAACCAAAACTGGTCTGATGTTTAGTTCAAACAGGTGGGTGCCATTAAGTCCATTCCAGAGGATCCAAACCCTGGAGTCTGTGTAGTCCATCTGCAGTTATCTAAAGGAAATCTGCAAATCTGTGGTTTAAAAACCATAAAGACAAAAACAGTCAAGAGAGAGCAGGTAGTCTTCTCTGTGTTTCACTCAACTTTCTCATTCCACTGAAACATCATGGCAAAATTATACAAACATCACAATACTAGAGGGCCATGTTTTGTAGGAGTGGGAGAAAAAAAATCGATTCACATAAGTATTGCGATTTTTTTTTTTTGTTTTATAATTTTTAAATCAATTTTTTTGTAAAAAAATTATTATTTTTATTTTTTTCAAATTTAAGAATAAATCTTAGAAACTGACCGACATGTGATATGTATTTTGGGGAAATATGGTTCCTGGAATAGTCAGTAGACAATCATAATCATTCAGTTGTTTCACTGGTGTTAAAAATCGAGAAAATGGACAATATAGTAGAATCACAATTTAAATGGAATCGGCATCCAAAATATCGTAGAAGAATCGAATTGGGAGAAAAGCATATCGTCCCAGCCCAAATGTTTTGCTCAAAGTATTAGCATTGGCAGTTGTGAGAGGAAATACATCTAATTGCCATGGTCATCCTGGTAACCAGCACAACAGTCCCTTAAAACAATCACACAGGGGAAAATAGTTAGCCTGAAAACAATTCGTTTAACACTTTCACCTTCCGCTTTATTTCCAATCAACTTCTTAATCCAAGAACAAGAACTACATCCTGATAACAGCCGTGCCAAGAGCTCAGTCCACATTTCAACCTACATCCTCCCATCTCAGAAATGGTTACAGAACAGGCAGATGTTTCCTTTTCCAAAATTTCCCTCCCACTTTCTCTTCCTCTGGCCCCTCCCTCTCTCCCCAGACAAGCTACAGTATGTGCACTAAGAAGCTGATGCGCACAACTCATAAGTCTGTGCCCAGGAATAACAGATTTAACACCCCTCACTTTGGTCCATCTGATCCCAAATCAGTTTCCTGCACCGCAAAACATCCTCTTTCCATCTAAACACCAGAGCTGTCTCTTTTCTCTTCCTTCTACCCTCTGGACACAAACAACTACGCACAGTTTATCATCTTATATGTACACCGTCACATTTATCAAGGCTTTAATAACACAGTTTGTCTCACTGTGCATAAACACACAGCCGTGAGTTTGCTCAGTATAAACACTTGGAACACACACACACACACAGTCCACACACTCTCCAAAAAAGGCTCACACTTGATCCATCTCCAAGGTCCAACACCCCACTACAAATTACGCCAACACTTCCCACATGTAGATAAGAACATTACACAACCAGAAGTGGCGCTGTTGCACAAAGGCGGTATATTAAGTTTGTGAAGCTTTAAATCGATAAAGTAATTTTGTCCTAAAGTGTACCAACAGCCTGTAGAGAAGGTGTGTGTGTGTGCTTTGTCTGCAGTAAGGCCACATTTCTCTGTGAAAATGTAATCAGCAGAGGAAAAGTTGAACATGTGTAGCTCTTGATAAAGCCTGGAGCATGATTTAATCTATAATTATCAATAACAGACATCATACTTCTCAGGAGATTGCACAACCAAGTTAGAGTTTCCAGGATATTTAATTTATACTTTCAGCCGTGCAAAGCTGGAACATGATGGGAATCAGACAGAGAGTGTGTGAGAGCTGTAAGGAAGGTGCAAAGCTTCGGGTCATAGTAAAACATGTGGCATTTGTGTCTCAGGACAAAGTCAGTGCGAGTGTGTGTGTGTGACACAACGATGGCATGACCAATAGTTTGAGAAAAACCTTCAAACAGCTGTTTCAGGGTGATTATTACTGGTCAGCATCATCAGACACAGCCTGGGGCAAGGAAGAGAGCAGTGTCCGAATGATAAGTGCGTGACTGTGTGCGCGGACGCATGTGTGTGTGCGTGTGTTAGCACTGGCAGGCACTGAGGAAATGACCTCACTGCCAATCCTGATCTCTGTGGGTTTCACAGTTATAAAGGAAAAGTTATGATCAGATATGTGAAGAGTTACATCACAGAATTCTTTGATGGACACACGCACGCACGCACGCACGCACACACACACACACACTATCACTCACAAACACCTCAGTATCTGCACAGAGATTGGACACTCTGACACTCTGTCGATGGCCTCAGGTTCATTTCCGCCCTTTGGCCTCTTTACTGCGTGTCACTCCCAGCTCTCTCCCCCATTTCCTGCTCACTCTTCTGTCCTGTCCCCTCTCAACAAAGTCCAAAAACTCCAAAAATAAAACTAAAATAGCATGTTTTTTTTAGATGTAGAGACCTTAGAGTCCTTTTCACCTTATGCCCTCCATACTCTGATCATGGAAATAGATGTACCGACATTATGTAATGCACACAGGTTGTTCCAAACATAAATGTGCATTGATACATGTGTATACCAATGCAGCACTGACAAATGCTGACTTTTGAGATTACCACAGCAGATAACAGTAATCTCAAAAGTTGAATACACACAAAAAGACCAACAACTCTGACAAGTACTTTCATCACCATTCCTTTTTCTCCTTTTCAAGACACTAACAAAATGTCTTCACATACCAGCCAGGTCATTTCAGTTAAACAACCTCCTTCAGTCAGTTTCCAACTACGTTCAAGACCTACAGACCACTGGATCTGGACTTTCTCAAGACTATACTTGTGTTAGATCATACATATCTATACAGTTTATATTAAACATATATTGCCAGGCTAACCTCTGTTGATCTTCTCTAGTTTCTTTATAGTATTATGAGACACATTTCCATTGAGCTCACTCTCCAGTGCTTGAATTGCAGCTCCTGGAACAGTGCTCACAGGGATGTCTTTAGCCTGGATCACATCCTTTCACTCAGCACCCTCTGCTTGGCCCTTGTCTTACATAACTGACAATATTTATAGGACATGAGTAAATGTGTGTAGTTGAGAGGGGGGGCTTGTGTGTGTTTGTTGTCCAACAGTCTTATTAGTAGTGGGTAAGTCTTGAGTGGCAGCTGAGAGTTTGTACGAGGGTATAATAGTCAAAATGTGGGAGTGTGTGTTTTACCTGTCAATAGCAGTGCTGGTAGCCATACTCCTGGCAAAGCCCCTCACCCCCATTTGTCTGAAGTAGGGGATGGAGGAGAGGTTGGCAGCCATGATGGCCACTGAGTCTGAGGGGTTCACAAAGAAGGCAGTTTCACCAAGGATCATGTAGCGGTCCTGCAAAACATAGTTTGATTTAGAAAGTAGGTTCAAGCAGGAAGACTGTTTCATACTTATTCAGTCATGTCACTTCCACTGTCCCTCTATGTTTCATCTAATCATCCTGCTGCTGTCAATTTTCAAATCTGTCCCCTCTCTCGTCTTTGACCACTACTCCACCCAGTTCACCTCTGATTCAACTCATCAAAGCTAAAGCCCAGCTCCTCAGCTCATTTTCCCTTTTCCTTCACCTACAAAGCCAACACTCCATCGAGGGATGTCCTGTCCTGCTCAATTGGCTTCCGAGCACAGGAAGAAATCATAATGGGGTCTACTTGCCAAGACCTTGCACATTTCTCATCCTTAATAAGTTTGTAACACTTGTAATGAAGTCTTCTGCATTATAAGTGATACTTAGAGACCCACTCTGATGAAAATCTTATTTTCTTGTTGTCTACATGTTCATATAGCATTTTTTTGATGCTACAGGACAAATCGTGAGAAAACTAAGTGCAAAATTGCATTTCTGAGTATTTCCCTGGCAGACCCAGATGGCAGGTTCAGACACAGTGAGATTTCATACGTAGCAAATCCAAGCTCCGCCCCCAGAGCCCCGCTATGCAGGCCAGTCTCAGAGAAATAGAGAGGACGATCGCGGAACAAGCGTGTGCGTTAGCGGATTGCAATGCTCATAAGAAAATGAATTATGATATTAGCTTAGCTAATTAGCTCCATAAAGACATTAATGTCCGAGAGCTGAATAGCTCCTTTGTTACCTGCCACTTCTGCTACACTGGCAATGTTAAGCTGCAAGCTAGCATGAAGAGAAGTGTTGGCCAATTGCCAATGATCTACTGTAGCTCTGCAGAAGAAAAGCTCTTGAAAATGACACAGGTGATGTGATTTTGGCTGAAAACTTTATAATCACAATTTAAAGACCACTGAGAACACTTAAAGTAGGAAAAAAAACTATCAGAGTGGGACTTAAAGTACAGTATCAGGGTGGTGACTGAGGCAATAAACAAAATGCCTCAAAAACCCCAAAAATGAGTTGATGCTGTAATTGTGCTGTAAATCGTTCTTTTAAAATCAATTCATTTTTTTTGCAAAACAACTTTTTTTTTAAGAAAATCAGTAAGCAACACTACTGCACAGAGTGACATGCAGCTTTAAATAAAAATTACAACTTGTACTTCCAGTTCAACAAATGTGTATTCATCCACAGCAGAAAATAGTCCCAACCAATGCACCATTTTAGTGGTTATTTAGTGGACAGTTACAAGCCTTGTGACTCTTTACCACCACCAGTGAGGTCATGTTTTTTTGGTACCGCAATTGTATTTGTTTGTATTTGGTCCGAGGAATTATGGAAAATTAGTCTGGGGAAAGAAAAACCCACTAAATCTCAGACCAAACAGGAACAAACAATGATACCAGATCTGCTAAATATAATCAGATTAACTCCATATTAGGAAAACTAAACTTTTGGCCTTTGTGGTGGTCTTCTATCTCCAAGTACACTGCTGCTCTAAAATGAAACACTATCATTGTGACTGGTTTATACTGTAAATCGTGAGAGGACTTCAATTGGCTTGGAGCTTTGCACAGAAAACCACAGGGCCCTAACGTTGAAGTCAGAGCCCCCAAGAGATTATAAGACAAATCTGAAAGGTGTCAATATGATAAAAGAAACATGAAGACACAACACACCATTTTTTGTTTGTACTCTTTGGCAGCATGACTTGCTGTTGAAGAATCGAGCCATTGGGGTCATACTTAGTCAAGTTGAGTTTACTGTGGAGAATAAATCCAGCCAGAGATAAGACGAGACTAAGCAACTTTTGTGCCAATAAACACAATTAATGTTAAGAGTTTAAAGCTAATGGTCAAAGTATTATGTAACAGCAACTCCAACAAAGTCACATAAATCTGATGTAATTACAAGCACTGCTGCTAATGACTGAGAAGATACTGATCCTGGAGGGACAGTCAGAGGAAATATGACATAACGCTGCTGCTAAGTTGATTTACTTTACAATGGGCTGTGCGTGTGCACGCGTTTCTGTGTGTAGATGTGATTACTATTGGATGACTTTTTGGAAAAAGTGACGACTGTCATGGATAAATATTATTCGGCTGCCATTTGCCTTCTTTGTTATCAATGAGCAAACAAAAACAAATACAGATTTAATACATTTCTTTCTGTTGTCTGCTGGTGAAGTCAAACTCGGATGAATGTAAAAAGTGAAGAGGTTTTGAATGGATAGATGAATGGATTGTGTATTTTAAAGGTAACCATAACGTAAAAAAGATTAACATTTTACATTATTAATCTTGTAAAAACTGGAAACAAACTTCCTAAACTGATCGATAAGACCAAAAAACATACTGCAAAAGTTTTGAGAAAGTATCAAAATATGTCACGATGAGATAAATCCCTTCAACAAAAACGTTTTATCCCGCATGTGTCATGTTTCAGTGGTTTGCTGCCTTCGTTGTGCCTCAAATGTCACCAGAGCAAAAAGTAAATGTACAGTTTTACCTCTACAAAGCCAGGTTCTTTCATTGCACTAACATTTCCCATAATGTCTCTCATTTATGGAGTTTGAAAGTTTAACTATCAAGAAGTCTCCCAATAAACTGAAAGGTGGACCAATAGCTTCAAATCATCATCTGACATTATAATCTCAGATTAATGTGTAAAAGCAAAGAGGAGTACTATTGGAATTGTGATGCCTTACCCCATCTGCATCAAACGCAGCTCCGAAGCCAAAGTCCCCTCCTTTCATGGCATCCACCAGAGATGTGGCGTAGGTCAGGTTGGGCTCCGGAGGTTGACCCCCAAAGTCCTCCAGAGGGACACAGTTGACAGCAGAGTTAGCAGGAGCTCCCAACTCATCACACAGGATCCGACGTACGTAGGGTCCCATTACTACCACCAGTATGAAGAGGGATAAAATGGTGAGAGTCAAAGAGGCGCAACACGAGCTAATGACGTTTTGCAACAGCTCAGCAGATATATACAGAGCATGATGAATCATCTCACCTCCATTCATGGCGTCTATGTGGATCTTGAGCTGATCTGGTCCTGTGAGCAGACTTTTGATGGCACTGAAGTCAAAGATGTTTCGCAGCATTTGTAGATACACTTCGACTGAGTCGACAATCTCCACTAGAATTAAAAAAAAAAGGTGGTAGCAATTGATAGCAGTGCAGTTGTTTACCGAAGAAAATGTTCATTCAAAAGGACAGCCATATACGGAACCTCAAAAACCAAAAAGGACTCATACATGGTTTTAGTCAGTTTGAGTGACGAGTGAGTGAATAAGTAGAGGTTGAATTGTACCCCTGAATGGTTTGAACTTGTTCTCCAGGTCAAACTCTTGTCGTCCCAGTCTGGACAGATCAATACGGAGATCAGGGCAGATGGCGTACTCCTCAAGCGTCCTGCTCACCTGGTGGATCCTCTCCATCACTGTGTCTGGTGATGGACCTAGTATATGACAGGAAAGTGTGAATAAACATGTTCATCTTCAAACAGGCTTTACTTTTGTGTTTTAAAGAAATATCTCTGACAATAAAGAGATGGTTTAAAGTATCTGTCATGGTTTCTTAAAACATCCTCTGTAGAATCAGAAACAAGCCCCCTTTCTCCCAACCCTCACCTCCATTTGCCACATTGAACTTGATCCCAAAGTCTCCACCAGGACCTCCAGGGTTGTGACTGGCTGTCAGGATGATCCCACCAATGGCCTTGATCTTCCTGATGATGCAGGAAACTGCAGGGGTGGACAGGAGGCCATTGTGGCCGATCACCAGACGACCGATCTGAACAGCAAAAACAGAAGAGTGGAAAAATGCTAGATACACCAAACCCAGTTGTTGCCTGTTCTTAAGACCTTTTGGAAAGTTTTAATAATCTAAAAGTTGGAGGTCTATTTTTTTCTTTTGTTGTACTGAATGTTTCTCAAACCCTTTCTGTGGGATAATGACCATCTATGGGGAAAACATGCTGAAAAAATGACAATATTTCTTTGTCTGGCTGTTGCCCAAACATTAAAACAGACCTGATTTTTTTTTCTTCAGGGGGCGATCACTCTAACTGTAAGTGACAGAAACATTGGCCCAGAGCCTGTCATCATTCTGCAGGTGACTAACTGACAACCTGCTTTAAAAAGCAAATGATCTGCCCCAAGAGGGAGCCTAAATAACAGAGCTGCACCCTCTATTTATAATCTGTATGCTACTTTTAAAGTGGTAATACCACCAACATCCCATAATTCCCCTGCATATCAGCTATTCTAAATACAAGTGTCCTCACAGGAGAGGAATGTGCTCATCTGACGTCAGTGTATCCTCCTAACATCCAGCATGGTGTGAGTGTGCATGAAAAGGACCAATGAGGATAAAAAGTGTGTATAAGTCTGTTTTTTTTTTCTTGTTGTGTTTGGGTAAGAGAGGGTATCTTTAAAGCAGAAAGTTTGGCTTGGTACAGTTGAATCTTCAATAGAGAGAGGGACAGGGGGGAACATACGTAGGCAGGAAAATAAAGCAGGATGGATGGAAGTGCTGATAAGGCCGGCATCAAGAGACATTTGGCTGGGCCAGCAGAAAAAAAAATGGACTGATCTTCAAAACAAATTATATTCCCTTTAGACTTTCCTTTGGAGCCCATCCAAACCAATCACAGAGATCTCAGAGCAAGCATTTCAAAACAAGCTGTAGGGGTTTTCCTCCCCTCTGCCCATCTCTCTATCTTCAAACTTTCATTATCAATGCAGACACTTGGAGTTCAGACACACTTATGAGGATGACAAGCCTGCATTGGTTACTGTGTCTCATTATGTTTTCCTTGTAATCTGTGACTCCCTCGTTTTAGTTTTAGTCTGAATGAGGAGTTATTTTAACAAGTTTGATAAGCGCCAGTATTCTCATGTTATAAAATATGGAAAAACTATGTGATGCAATACCTATAAACTCATCATTTTAATATATTCCCCCAAGTTCTCAAGTAAACAGTTGAGAACTTATGTATATCTGGGTTGGCTGACTGAGTCATTTGGGGATCTACCTTATCACCATTTGCAGAAAGTATTGCCACATTTTACAGAAGACTTAATTAAGGTTTTATTTGTCAGTGCTTCAATGAAATGTTATTCCCATTGAAAATAGATAAAAAGGAGAAAAAAAGTCAAGTAAAGACCTAATTTTGCTTGATAAAAACTTTCTTTGTAGTTTTCCAATTCATCTTATAGCTCAAATATATCAAAATGTCATCATAACTCCCAATGAAGGTGATTTTACATAGTCCCTTCACTAGTATGTGAACCCAAATTTGCCACATTGACCTCGGTGAAACAGTTTACTTATCTTAAAATATTCAGTGGGGAAAAAAGTCATTGGGAAAAATGGAAATGTGATGTCAAAAGTGTGTTGATCTAGAGAAACACATGTATGACAGTCTTGCCCTCTTCTCCTCTTACCCCATTAGCAGCTGCCATCTGAACGATCACTTCGGTTGCTGTCCGGCTGAAGTAGCGCCCATCGCTGCCCACCACCATGGTGCAGCCCTGCCTGTCCCGCAGGTCGATGGAGGACAGCACGCTCTGGATGTAGTTCTGCAGGTAGTTCTTCTTCCCCTCGAAAACCGCAGTCTTCCTCCGCAGTCCGTTGGTACCGGGCCGCTGGTCATCGAATGGGGCGGTTTGGACCGTCACCACCGGGATGGGACTCGTCTCCATCCTCCCTGATCCAACAGCCTTGTGCGTGGAGAAGTCTGATCCTGGTGGTATCCGTCCTCACAGTCAAAGTAGAGGTGAAGTTGAAGATTGAAAGCTTGGGGAGTGATGGTCCAGTAATCTAAAGCAGAGATGACTTGGCGGAAATCTAAAGAAACAATCAGCCAAACTAAAAAGTCCTCAGCTCGACAACTTCTGTGAGAGTCCAGAGAGCTGTATCCTCCAACTCTCAGCAAAACTCTCCTCTGATGCTGCTGGACAACTCCCTCTTTTCCTAATAAGCCCGAACAACTGACTACAAGAGAAAAAAGGCACACACACATACACACACACAGGGAGGGCCAGAGTCCTCAAGGCCCACTATCAGCTGAGCCTTAGGCCAGAAATAGACATTTGACGGATGGCAGAGGGGAATTGTGTCGGAACTGCCGCTCTGCAACCGGACACTGTCCGGTATGAAGGCGTATAAGCCGGGATTGTGGTTATTATTACAGGAGGTTATAAAAGGGAATGACAAAGTGCGAAGAAAACTTTCAAAACTCTCAAAGTTTCTCTTTTCTGACTCACGTAGTTCAGGGTTTTCTGCACCAATTTTCACTTATTTCCTCTGTAAGTCTGAAAAATGTTTGTCATCTCATTTAAAAAGCAAAATAGGGAAAATAACCGACAAAATGCAGCGTTTCATCCCTAAAGTGTAAGGAGACGTCTCTAGACTGGACTGTAGGGGACTGCGGTGTGTGCTGTAAAAGCTGTGCAACAGCACAACCTGGAGGCAGAAAGGAAGAACTGCAGCTGAAATAATATTTTAAGCTGAATTTGAAAGCAATATTGGTATTGCAACAATATTATCGCTGTTTAACTCTAATATGTTATCATTTTGTTTTCGAATCATTTTAGACTTTGGTAACACTTTAAAATAACCATATCTTATAAATGGTAAATAGACCATTTATGAATGTTAAGCAGATAGCTTATTAATGTTCAATAATCATTTATAAACAGCATATAGACCATTAATAAATTGTAAATTTTTACCCTAACTTTACAATAACCATCTAAGTAATGTTTATAGATGGTTTAAAAACCAAATATTAACTATTTACAAAGTGCTACTGACACACATTTTAATCTAGATGTTTTACAACCAATATTTAAACCCTATATAAACCTTTAATAAATAGTCCATTAATTATCAATGAAAATTATTAATCATAATTTCATTGCTTGTCAATGGTAAAGAAACTATTAACTTACGTTAATAAACTATCTATTTGGCATTTATAATTGGTCTTAATGCTGTTTTCAAATGATGATTAAACATTAATAAACTATCTATTTACCATTTATAAATGATGGTTATTGTAAAGTGTTACCTAGACTTTTTTTTTTGGGTAACTTCTCATGTGGCCAATTTAATGCCAAAAAGGCGAATGTGTCCTGTTATTCTAAGGTTAAGAGTTTATCACTTGACCCCAGCAAATTTTATTTATATAAATGTGCAGTGAAAATTTAGATTGCTTATTGTATTAAAATAAAATGAAGTCAACTGTGGCCAAATCTTGCAAACATTGGGAGTCTTTGAGAAGTCTTAATGACATTTCTTCACGACAGCTGGTTTTTAATTAAAGTAGGGTCTAATTGAATAAATGGGCCTACCTCTGTTAACTGAAAATGTGACAAAGATTAGCATTATATGTTGTGTTTTTGAGAAATCGTACTTTCCAAACCATTTGGGTCTAACTTTTAGACTATACTCATGACACCTCAAGAGAGAAAAACTTGCAAGATAATTTTTACAACACATTATGCAGAGCAGAAGTACAATCTGTTTTCCCTTGTTATTTTTCTTTGGTCTGATTTAATTTTTCTTCTTTTGTTATTTCTCAGCAACCTGCCTCAAAATATTATATAGAAACGCAAAAGACTTTCCTTAGTAATGAAATGCAAACAATCATAATTATAGAAAATGTTCATTTATTTTGACACATTTCATAACAGAAATACATCATCAGCACAGTTCCCCATAAATATATTAGGCCTACCACTTATCTTATTTACACTTCCATTAAAAAAAACAGAAATTTGAATGTCAAAACACATAAATACCATGCAACCAGAAGATTTCTTTAAGAAACGTGCAACACCAGCGTGTCTTTACATACTCCTAAAACACAGACACTGTTCAGTTTGGGGTCTCAGCTCAGCAGTGAGGGAAAGACAGTCTGAGGTGCTCCGTAATTAAAGGAGTGGAGCTCAGCATGGCAGGGGGGCAGAAAGGAGTCCTGGGCGCCTGCAGGAGAGAGGGCACCAAACAAGCAGCGGGACCTGATATGAGCTGAGAGTACCCAAGAGAACCGGGTGGGCTTTGGCGTGGATTCTGGTTCGGTTGGCTGCCATGAGAGGGTTTGCTCATGATGCTGTCAATGCTGAAGGAGCACTTCCTCTGCGCGCCAGGCTTTGGTTCTGTTGCGCAAAGCTGCACTCTGAAGTCTTTAGGCCCACTGTTTCTGTTCAAAGTCTGTGGCAGAAGGTGATATGAAGAGGGAGGCATCATGATCCCCTCCTGTAGAGGCATGTACCGGACAGGAGCAGTATGCGGGGGGCTCACCTGGCCCTGTACGCAATACGGTTGTCCATATGGCCTGTAGCAGTTCAAGCCTGGGTACAACATTAGTCCGTCTTTGCCCAGCTCAGGCTGATTTCTCTTGAAGCGCTTCCTCCGCCGCAGGAAGCTGCCGTTGTCAAACATGTCCTCAGAGGCAGGGTCCAGAGACCAGTAGTTACCTTTCCCTGGGTTCCCGGGCTCCCTCGGGATCTTGATGAAGCAGTCGTTGAGGGACAGGTTGTGTCTGATGGAGTTCTGCCAAGCGGGGAACTTGTCTTTGTAGTAAGGAAACTTGTTGCTGATGAAATCACAGATGCCACTCAGCGTCAGCTTCTTCTGTGGGCTCTGGAGGATGGCCATGGTGATAAGGGCGATGTAGGAGTATGGAGGTTTCACCGTGCTGCTCTGGACTTTCCTGGAGGTTGGTGCGTCTGTGCAGAAGCTGCTCTCGCTTTCCCCCGAGGAGTCTGGCTCTGAGGAGTCAAACTCTGCACCGGACTCTGCTGAAGACCCATTGTGATAAAAACGTTCCTGTGAAGACTCGTCCTCGCCCACTATGTCAATCTCATCCTCCTCGAGAGACAAAGCTGCGTGTTGGGAAGCTTCAAACTCGCTGGAGAGAGTCATGGCTGCACGCAGAAAGTTAAAACACGCGTAAAAAGTTGGTCGAGCCAAAGTCACATCGATCGTACGCTGTGCGTAAAAGCCAACGGGACCCTGATGCGTAAAAGGGCATCTAGCATTTGGGACTTCTTTGGCCTTGTGTGAAGATTATGTGCTTTGGTCGAGGAGAGATCAGGCTTTTATACTGGAAGGCTGATGTCCCACAGGCCAGTCCCATTAGCCCTCTGGACCTATCGGAGAAGCCCCTCACCGCGGGGAGCCAGAGGAGGAAGGCACACAGGTTGGGGGTACTTGGGAAGTTCTTCAGCGCTCACGACTATTCATGTAAAGAAACCTCTATTTACAGATGGAAATATTTGTTTATTTATTCATTCATTTAACAAATACGAAACTTCTTTATGTTTATCACTTCAATTTCAGATTTTTTAGGATAACCACAGACACAAAATCACAAAAAGGTTTCTATTTTCTCTTATAGCCTGTATTTCAAAGACCTAGTGTAGGCTACTCTACTGTACTTGTGTTTGCGTATCACTTCTTGCACCTCAGAAACTCTGTCTGCGTCGTTTGAGCCTGATTCAGATTAAATATTGTGTCCTATGCACTAGGTCAGGTATTACACTGGCAATATTAAATGTGATATTCTAGTAACTTGAGCTGTAAACCGCGCAGCAGCACAGTAAGAGATGGGACGCTCATGGGAACTTTCACACCACGCCCAGCCCGTGATAAGAAACTTAAGTGTTTCCATATTGGAACCCCTGCGGGTTCGTTTAGTTTGCCACCTCTGGATGCCCGCAGGTGGTGTGACCATGAAAATGGCCGTGGTGGGGCTCCCCGCTGCAAGCAGAGAAAAGAGGTAATAGTCGCCTTAACGAGGCCATCAGCATCAGAATCGAGTAGGAAACGGCTCAGCTGCTGAGTGCGCCCTGGGCTGCGGGGCTCAACTCGGCTTTACGACCGGGATGAATAAGCAGGGTCATCCTCAAAGCAAACCGGTCCAACAGCGGATATGTGACAAAAACTGTGCTGCCACACCATCTCCATTGCAAATGATCAAGTTGGGAAAACTCCACCTATTTTGTCACCTGACTGGGCCTTCTGTGTGAGAGCGTGAGTTAGTGTGAGGTGCTGCTCCCCACATGATGAATCAATATAGTCCCACACACCAGATACAAGAAAACAGATTGGCTATTTCAGAAACGCTTCAATCCTTAACTTCAAAAATGTTGTAATGTAGTGGAAAAACTAAAAAGATCTGCTGAAAATAAAACTATTCTCTTAAACACAGTCATGTGATTAGACCAATATTGAATCAATGTTTCCTCACATCTGTAAATATCCTACACATCGACAATTTTATTCAGATATCATCATGAAAAGAATAAGAGTAAGCCTTATCATCTGACAGGCATGTAGACGAGTTTGATAAATGAATAAGTTAAAGCAAACAATTACATTTCTATACAAGAACAAGTGTTAAAATACAAAGAAGAAAACCAGTGACATCTACTTTCAAATAGTAAAAATGTGATTTAATTTTAGGGATGTGTAAACAGACCTCAAACATGTTGGTGGACATCATGTTAACCTTTTTTGGGATACCGAGTAAAACATTGTTTTACCTTCAGTGTTTGAGTTCTCACCCTTTCACAACCATAGCCTGCTTATCAAGTGTAAAAGCTGAAAACTTTTAACACTTAAAACTAAGATGTTAATGCTTTGAGGCATTTACACACTGTCGAGTATCACACTGAACTTAGCACTTTAACACAAAGGCACTTTGTCTGTTTGTTATGTTAATATTCTGCTATTGTCAACTCGAGCTGATCATTTTTTCACTCAACATGCTCCAGCGTCACTCTGTTCTGTAATATCAGAGCAGTCATAATTGTTGAGAAAAAAACTTTATTTTAAATAATTTAATAAAGAACATGATTTTAAAAGCTTGAAACAAAAGCTAGGCTACTGTATTTACGGAGTAGTGTTGTGCCACGCTTCATGATAACACACTGCTGATCATATTTTCCAAACCGTTATCATCAGAAAGGTAATGTATTCATGATATTCGTGGACTGTTCAAACCTTCTAGTCCGGGGTGTTATACTCAGTCAAAATTTTCAGGGGCACAGCATTTCACTCAGAAACTACAGCAACACAAACACTCTTTCAAATACTGTAGCCTTCATAACAGACATCGATGGATTATCACAATTTTAAAACCACCATATTCACCTGTGCCACAATTTCCACCATCCTCTAACATACCTCTTGTTCTTGGAGGAGAGGAGAGAACATCTGATGCACAGTATCAAAATCACTGATAGCCAAAGCCACACCTTTGGAATCAGATTCAGCAGTTTGTATTAGAAGCTGTTAGCTAATGTCCTTCTGCTCTTCCTATCACTGCAGAGATGAACTGTTCCCTCAGAATATCCTTATCCAGGTTCCTACCTGCAGAGTGGAGGATATACAAGTGTGTGCATGAGTACAGAACAGCGAAACCAATATGCATACTGAGAGACGTGTTATGAAAAGTGCTTTTTAAAATGTCCAATTTTAGCAGTGAGCAAAGTTTTTAAAAGAACAATGTTGTTATTATTATTATTATTATTATTATTATTATTATTATTATTACTACTTTCATTTAACCAGGTTTGTCCCATTGAGATCCAAGATCTCTTTTGCAAGAGACCTGGCCAAGAATGGCAGCACATACAGTTTCAAAACATAATTACATTAATCATATAGAATACAAAGAATACAAATAATATTAGAATTTTCAAAATTAGTTAAAAGAGTTTACAAGATTAGTCAAACCTTTGCACTCAAATAAAATATTTGCACTCCTGAAGCCTGAATGTAATGGAATTTATCATGGATTTGAATACATTCAGAGATACCAGACTTTGGAGTTTCAGGTCTGATTAAAAGATGTTCCATGTACTCAGAGCAGAAAATCTAAAAGCTTTCTTTCCCATTTCTGTTCTGACCTTCGGAACAGTAAAATGATAAAAGTCCTGGGAGCGGAGACTGTATGCCCTATTATTCACGGTTAAAAGGGATAAATAAGATGGAAAATGTCTCATCTATGTAAAAAATAATAATCTCAAGTATTTTGTGGATGCTTTTCCCAAAATATCAAACTGATCACCACCCAAGATATACAAAATTATGCAAAAATTTGTCTTTTTACCAGGAGATATGTCTTTTATCAGTACACACAATAAACTGATCACTGTGTATGTGTGTGTGTGTGTGTGTGTGTGTGTGTGTGTGTGTGTGTGTGTGTGTGTGTGTGTGTGCGTGTGTGTGTGTGTGTGTGTGTGTGTGTGTGTGTGTGTGTCCTCACCTATAAAGACCAGGCGGTTGATCCGTGGATTCTCCTCCCAAAGCTGTGGTGTCTCATTCAGGTCATACAGCTCATGGACCCCCTGCAGCATCACTTGGTGGGCTTTACCCGTAAATGATACTATACCCTGATAACACACAAGTCACAAGTCCCGGTGACACATTAACCCACGCTGAAAGAAAGCTTTGGTACTGATTAATAGGAGCAGTAAAGCTGCAGTCATGAGTGTTTTGCTGTACTGTACCTTTAACCGAATGACAGTCATGGGCTGCCCTTCTTTGTTTTTGAACATCTTCTCCCAAAGCAGGTCCTGAAACAGTGAGAAAATGTGTGTTTACTTTACAAAGGCCTTTTCTATATGAGAGTCTATTAGTGATCAAACAGGGTTACACAGTGGATACTCTGGGTGGGTACCTGGATGAAAACATTCAGGGCGTCCTCGGGAAGATCTCCAGCCACTTCAAACGTCACAGTCAAAATACTCTGGGGACATTCATCAGAATAAGAATTGAATTTTTGTCAGCACGTAGTAAAACTTTATCTTTTGTAGTTTTAAATTTCAGTATGTTCAACATTTTTAACTTGCTGAAGAGAGATGAATGAGATCGAGGAAACATAAAAGTGCTTTATGGCATGGCGAAAGAGGAATTTTTTTTCAGTTGAACAAAGCTATAAAAAATGGTCCTTTGAGCAAAGAATTCCTCCAGTAAGAACAAATATTTCACATCAAACTCAGCCAATGGTATCAGCATTTTAACTAATTTTAACAATATTATGGGTCGTGTATAACAGTACAAACAGCACCGTAATCATTTTCTTTGAGGCAAAAAGTCACATTAAAGTATAGGAGAAGAGAAGTATAGAGCAGTATATTATGGTAATGCTGAGAAAAGTAAAAGAACCTTAAATAGTACTTTTTAAAAATTTGATTTTAATTCATGTGACTCTAAATCACAGAAGAGGCAAACACGTCTAGCAGTAAAAGTTTGCTTGTGGTTGAATGCTTCATGCTTTACTTTACCCTTTAATGCCCTTTGTATCATATTTGATACAAAGGGATTTTGATACAATTTGACTTTTATATACTTCTATCAAGTCAATATGATCAATAAAAAACTAAAATAACACCTGAATACAGTCCGATAAATGATAAAAATGTCCGCTTGTGGTTTATCAGTTTCCAAAAACATGTAATGCATCAAACAAGATGAATAAATAAATATATATATTTGTTAAATTTTAAGGAAATTTTAATTTTTTTGGTTTTCAGTAGTGAGTGAAATAAACATTTCAGCTCCAAAAAAATTCATATGGTGTCAGGCATTCAAGGGCTACTATTTTTTAGTCTATTCTAAGTCTATGTAATGTACCAAAGTTATCTTTTTTTGCATGTATGCTTATTGTTTGAGTTTTTAGCTGTACTGTTGTTGCCTGTCTTCACCAGGACACACTTAAAAAAGTTCTTTTTTGATTATCCAAAACTTTTTTTTTTCTTTCTCAAGGTTTAAATGAATAAGAAATCCGTCTCTTAGCATGCCTATCTGCTGATCAGGGCTACTTTAAACACATTTTAACAAATATTTTCAGGTCACTGAAACCAGAAAAGTGTTTGAGAGTGTTAACAAAAGAACTGTTTTTACACCCTGGCTGATGACTTTGTCAATGACTGTGTCAAAAACCTCGACTCCACTCAGCACCTGAAACCCTGCAGTAACAGCTCCCTCCTCTAAACCCCCCCTTATTCTCTCTTTCTCCCTCGCTCTTCTCCTCTCGCTCACACTCTCCTCTCCCCACACTTCCTTACAGTGTTTAAAGGGATATTTGGGGGTTTTGTGTTGAAGTGTTAAGGTTACACACTTCCTTGTCATTTGGTATAACAACAGAAAAACAGCATTCTCATTTACATGAAAAGAGCAACATGGGGAAGAGGAGGGGAGGGGGGAGAGGGAGAGAGGAGGAGGAGGGTCTGAGGGACGGTGAGCTGGATGCGGGAAAGGGAACCCGGAGAAAACAGACAACAATGACGTTATTTACACACACAAACAGCCCTCATTTCTTTCTCATCCTGTGATAAAAGCTTGTGGATGAAAAGCTCAGCTGACAGCAAGATGAGGCCTAATTGGAGAGTTATTGCTTCTAAATGATAAAAAAACTGCGAGAAACGTAAGAGGTTGATCTTCAAAGTGATATTTTTAGTCTTCTCAGTCTTAAAGAAAGCTTTGTATGTTGAGAAAACACTCATTTCCTCATGCCACAGGCGTCCCACTCCGATAACTAACTGGTGAAACATTTCTTTAAACATCACAGTACGGACACTGGATTCAGTTCAGCTGTGAACCAGCAACCAGGAGCCGAGAGTCTAACTAATAAAGCCAGTACTGAGTCTATTGAAGGTCCATGCAGCGGCGTACGACCCAAACCGAGTCTATTTGTAGTGTAACGAGAAAACATCAAAAGCCTGAAGTTGATCTCAACACAAAAACTGGAAGCGGGGAGGGAGTTTTCACTACAGTGTCACAGCCTGGGGGGATGCAGAGCGCAATCTTAGCCCTGAGGTAAACGCATCTCCTCTGTATCCTGGAGGAAATTATGTGTTGAAATAAATTAGCAAACAAAATAAGGAAACCATGACAGGCAAAGAGGAGAAGTAGAAGCCGGGAAAGAAAAAAAAAAGAGGAGGAAAACAGTACCTTGTCAAGATGAGGTCTTGTAGATTTCACAAGTTGGAGCTTTTCTGCTAAACTTTAAGAGGAGAAGACACACAAGACTTTTTGTTACACTTACTGACGGACTCATTTCTCCTAAAAATTAAATAATACATGTTAATCATAAAATATTACAAATTTTATTCTAATGACATGAAGTAACAATTGGTCACAAATACATGCCATATGTGCAAAAGTTTTACTGTTCGGTGTCAATTATATTGATTTTGTTTTGTGTGAATTTTATTGTTCTTAAGCTGCATTTACATCCCAAGCCTTTGAAACGGGAACTGTGTAAGCTTTACTCAAACTATGATTTCTCTAAGAACTCAGTGGTTATACCAGTGGCACATACCTCCAAGCAAACAAAGTCAAAGATTTCTCAAACCTTTTTTTGTCATAAGTTTATTGATAACTTTTAAAAACCTAAAACCAACCACCTAAAAAAATGTTTTGATAGAACTAGAAGACAAACAAGATTTACGAGGACAGCCAAGGTTTAAATATGACTGTATTCCCTTAAGCTCTAAATCTTAAACAAAATCTGCCCTTTCTAACTTTTTAAAATCTATGTCATTCCAATTGTTTTAATTTTTTTTCTTTGTTCCTCTCCTCGGTGTTTCTGCTTAAGGAGACTCGACTTTACAGTTTCTACCGTTGTGTTTTATGTCATTGTAAACTACACGTCATGCTGCACTAGTGCTTAATGACACAGCTCTGAATGGACTTGTGAAAACTTTAGAAACGGCAATTAAACCCTACAAAACATCCAACACCACCCCCAAACAAACTACGGCCCTTGTTCTCCCCTTCAGACCTCTTCATCCTCCCCCCTCCTCCCTGACCTCACAAGGAGGCTAAATGTTGTGTCCAGCAGCTTCAGCTCTGCGTGCTGTTAGTACCACACAGGCGGAGCGGCGGGGGGGCGCTTCAAACAGCCCGTGTGGGATGGAGGGGGGGGAGGAGGAGCTCGGACTCTCAAAGGCAGGGGGAAAGGAGCTATCTGTAGGGACAAGGGGGTCTCCTTGGGAGCCAGTGGACACACACAGCTCTAATCCTCTGCAGCTGGTCTCAGAGACACTGACTGAAGGCATGTAAGAGAGCTTTAACACTGCGGCCTGTTTCATTCACATGAAAGGATGAACAGTGACTCTATTCATGAGAATGACATTCTACAGGGGATACAATATGATGACCACCCTGCTGAGTAACAGGGGGACGCTCAATAGAAGAGTCTGTTAATAAGAGAGAGACGTGGTGAGCAACAGTATCAAAGACCTGTGGGTGCACAGTTCAGACGCTGGGAATAAAGGCCGGCAGTGCAGTCCAAATAAGTTCCCAACATTTGTTTTGAAAAAAAAAAAACATGAAAGCCATTAACAGCATTGAAAATACCAACTCCCCCCACTAACTATCTTAGAACTGAAGAAGCTTCTCGGATAAGTGGCAAAATGTCTTTTTAACTCTACACAGTCCAGTTGCCTGATTTTGGAGATTTTAAGAGCAGCGAACACATCTGTATCAGCACCTACTTCCCTATGTTGTGTTATAACTTGCTGAGAAAGAGCTCTAGAGACATGTTAACAACAGCAGTTACATAGTTTTATCAGCGCAACACAACAAAAAGTGCATTTTTCAAACAGGAATGATCTGCACTACAAAGTTTGTTTGATATATTTCTTCTTATTCTCACTAGAAACGACATAACTTGTGAAAAATTCAATATTAGTTAAATTCCTACATTATAATTTCTATCTAAGATTTTGATCACCACAACTGAATATTTATTGCCATTAATACCACTTTAATTAAAGTAAAAGCAGGACCTAAAAAGTAGTTTGTTTGTTTTTAGTCGTTTTTTTTCAGTGCTATTAATTTTGCTGATTTTTACTTTCAACATCTGTTCATCTGTTTTTATTCTTTTGTAACATCAACATTTTTTGTGCCTTAATTTTAAAGAAAATAATGCACGTTAGGATACTTCATTGAGAAACAGTGTCATTATCTGTCTGAGAACACCTTCAAAAATATGCCACAGAGAAAATGACACGGGTACAAGAGAGTGTAAGTTGCCTGACTCTCACACTGAACATTTTTGATTTGATAACACTTTGATATGAAAAGCAGACTCACTTTGCTCCATCCTTGCTGTCAAATGAATGCAGATCCAGCACTTCGGAGACATCCACCCTGTGAGAGGAGACCACTCTTTATTTTAGTCTTTCCATTTTTGTGAATAAGATTCAATCACACATTAGCAGGTCATAAATTTGGTGAAAACTCAGCTGTTGTCACAAAGTAGTTAAAACTAGCTTTACAGCAGACTGAGTGAACTGCCCTGAGTAAAAAGTTGTGGGGTTGTTTTTGAGATTAACCCCTCTCTGCACGGTTTCTTTCATCTGTTCACCCCGGTCTTAACTCTGCAGGGATCCCAAACACACCCGAACCTTTGATACACACTGCACGTGTTAGCCATATGCTACCTGCGTCCAACAACACATACCAGGTCAAATGAACACACATATTTCCACGCACGTTCACACACCAAGTCAGCTTGAAGACCCGGGGGTCAAAGAGCAAAGACTTGTGGGTAACTGGACACCGTTGAAGGCCTGGTGTTTACTTAGGGTGCAGCGGTTTGTGTAAGTAAACGTGTGTGGTTTGGGCGATGTCACGCCTGACCTGCTTCATCTTTGATATAAAGATCTGAGCAGGGTCAGCACGTGGAGTTCATCTGTGTGCTAAAAAAGCAGGCAACTTAATTCAAAGCTAAACATATGCAAAAAGAAAGAGACTTACTTTGATCTTTGGGTTTCAAGAATCTTAACAAGGCCATTGATGGACCTAAAACAAGAGAAAAGAGCAGTTTATTCTCAGTTAATGAACAACAATTGATCAGCTGTTGAGTAACAAAATTAAATCCTGTACCATGGTAACACAAGGGGCTGTAATGAGGAAAAAAAGGGGGGACAGAGGAGGTAAAAGTCAATAAAGCTGACCTGACGGCATCTCTGGTTTGAGCGAGTTCCTCCTCAGTCACCAGATCCGTCTTGTTGATTATGGTCAGGTCAGCAACAGCAATCTGCCTGGAAGTACATTTAACACAACACTGTGTTTCTGGTATGCAAAAATATGCACCGATAATTACACAAAAGTACACCTGCACTGACGTCAGCTAAATCAGGCATCAGTGATTTAAGCATACTGTGTGTAAGTGTGTTAGTTTTTCGTGGGTGGCAGAGGGCGACGCATGCCAAACTCAAATGGGAGGTGGGCGCTGTTTGGTTTGGAGGTGAAAACACAAACAAAGACCAAGAATGCAAAGGGTCATGCAACTGGTGTTTCTTCATCGGTGTATTTGTTCAACAACAACAACAACAACACAACCACACAGCTGCTGGAAGAGACAAACACTGGGACGCCCAGGGAGACGGACAGCCGGGTGGCAAAGACTACAGTCAACATTTGGACCTGTTAAAGTGGACACTGACTGGTCTTTGAGTCATAAAGACGTAGTTTGGCATCTTTGGAAAAAAACTCTGATTGCATTCTTGTCAATAAAACGCAGATCTCTAGTTTGTAAAAACAAAGTAGCCTAGCTTAACACAAAGAATGTAGTAGCCAAAATATATTTGTTGAGGACATGATTTTTCTAATAGGTATGTCACTTTCGGGGATCAACACAGAGGGGTGTGGTTTTGTGATGTTTGGCAGGCTATTTAAAAACTAGTCAAAACAAAAACAGCAGTCAGAGACAATGGGTTTTAGTGAGCTCTAATAATTTCCTGTTGACCATTTTTCACTCATCCTTCTACCCTCATTTCATCATATCACATTTCATTTGAAGGCAAAAGTTTGGACCTGGATCAGTATTAGAATGTAAGTTTTCTTCCTTTTTTTGAACAATATATCACACTCAAATATAACACTCAAGCGGGATGAGTGAATTAGGGCAAGCGCGGCTAAACCCCAGTGGCCTTTCGTTGAAGGAAAGCAGTCGATACAAAGACTATGAAAGAGTGAAACAGCTAGCTGTCCTCTGACAGAAGGTCAAAAATACCAACTTAACCATCATCTCAAACGTCATCAGCTACCATTTCTTTTTGTGTCATTTGTTTAATAGTGCAGAATATGCGTAGTTTATATTTTTCTCCAAAGACAAAAGGGTATTTCCAAACCGCTTAGCAAACCTACCTGGCTGCTTCATTGACGAGTCCATCTGCTTTTTCCTCCGACAGTTGCTACAGAAAGCAGAAACAGGGGACATCCCTTAGACATGCAGCCAGAAAATGATAGAAAAATATGGGTTTCAAAGTGCTTAACTGTGCAGGGAAAACTCAAAGGTTTCCAACTTTCTTCTTTTTAAAGAACAAAAATGCTGCGAACGTGACTGAGTTTTTGGTAAAAGACAGATCTGTGTTTCACCCAAACAAAACTAAGTGATCTCCTTGACATACCAAACCACAGGAGATCACTTTTCATCCGTCACAGGGGATGCAGTATTTTCCAAAACAGTTTAAAATATAATATCAAAGAGAGCAGGAGGTGTTAATCTGGATCCTTAACCTCTGGGTGTCAGTATGACATTTATCTGTCACTGCCTGTATCAGCGTGGCTTCTGGTCTGAAAGATGAATGTCAAAAAGGTAAGAAAAAAATTTAATGGAATGTCCAATTGCTGTTTTTTCCCCACCAACCTCTGTGCCAAGAGACAAACACCTTTCAGGCAGTGTGAGGTAAAGGGCTATGGCTCACTTGAACCCCCTCAGACAGATGAGTATGTCATGAGACGGGTGAGAAGAAAGGCAGATGAGTTGATGTGACAGTCCTATTACACCGGCCACATCTCTGATATCAATTACTCCATCACTCTCTCTTATCCTCTCCTTTCCTCTCGCATTATTTCCCACTGCTCTCAAATAAGAAAACAGCGCAGCAATGCAGCCTTGAAATGTGTCACCCCAGCGAGCTTGACACATTAAAATTAGAGCCCATTATGTGGGCGTCGGATGTCCTGTTCCTTTTTGAATAACAGATAAGGCCGTATGTGTGTGTGTGGCAATATGCTGGGAGGTTTATTCACTCACAAGTTTAGCCACCAGGTTAAATTTAAAGGCACTGTGAGAAATTTTAACTGGTTGAGAAAGGGACCGACACTGAAACTGCCATCAGACCTTTAGCAACAAATGACTAGTAATCAGTTATTCTTTAATAATAATGTTGTGTACATTTATTTATTTAATGGATTTATGAAACCTTAATGATGCTTCCTAGTTAAACTAAGAGTCCATTCTCAACAGAGAAAAGTCACTTTCATCCACATTTGAGGGGCTGGAAGCCTAAAGAAATATTTAGGCCTCATTGCACACAAAATTTACATCCATTTGAATTAATTAGATTTAACATAAACAGGCCAATAAACTTTATGTGCTGGAAATTTGTTTGTCAAATGTAAATGAAACAATTAGGAATTAGATTTATACAATAATACCAATAAACCAAATGTATTTAGATAAATAATGAAGATTTATGTGTTCATCATTTATATCTCCAATTTATTTCTGTCTCATACATTTAAAATAAATGAATCTCGGTTGATCCACAGCTCATTACATTTAACCTATGTTCACATATTTTAACTGATTAAATTGAATTGTTTCAGAATAACAGATTTATGCTGATTTTAAGAAACTTGAATAAAAAAAATCTAAAATAATTTAAAAATATCATTTTATCTTTACAAATGTCTCCAATAGTTTTAGATAATTTTATAATTCACATGATCTTTCCTAAAATCTTAAACTTCTTGGCTATCTTTTAAACACATACCTGCAGTCCATACTTGGCGTCGATGACAGTAACAATGCCTACAGGAGAAATGAAGCCACAGTGATCAGATAATCAGATGTTTTACCTTGTGCACATTCTCTATGGATTGCAGATGCCTTTTGGTGCTTAGTTTGGTACATTTGTCTACACCACTTTCCCTGGGTCAACCAAAATACACTTTTGGTCTGCTGTCGTGTCACAAAAGAGAGGACAGCTGAGTATTTACTGAGTAAAGCAAAACACTGTTAAGCACACACAGACACACAAACAAAAAAAAATAAGTTATCACCACAAACAGGGCTGGCACCACTGAGAAAAATATCTGTAAATTGTGCTTTAATGGAAGCAAACACAGCTTATAGAAATCTGAGAAACATTTAATCATAAACTTATGAAAGTAAAATCAATTATGGTACAATAGAGATTATATATACATGATTTCTGAGACATTATATTTTACTGATGGGAAAAACAGATTTACCTCAAGACTATTTTCCCATGTGTGTCATTACAATTATCTTACCATCCAAGTAAATGTCACTGCCAAGCTCCGCATCAACCCAGAACATGGAGGCCACAGCTCCTGCAAAAGAAGAGCTGTTAGATTGTAAATGACTGAAAAACATCCATAATAGAGATCAGGCAGCAGAGGATTTTCTCTCAGGTTGTTGTTCTTTTATTTCACATTAACATTTAAGGAGGGTCTTTAATTCTGCATTTAGAAATAAGAAAGCAGAAAGAACAGGAAATCGGAAAGAGTGAGTGGGAAACATCGCTGGGTAAAGGGCCACCAATCTGAATCAAACCAGGGCTGTGGACTAAAGCCACTTTACACGGGGCGCACAATTTAACCACTGAGCTAATGTCACAAAATAACCACAGCATATTCTCTGTAATGACACTGGATCACATAAGCAATATATTTCTTATCAATTTAGATCTAAATGAATGCAAGGATGAAAAACTAATGTTTAGTTGTAAAGTACTGAAGTTCACTGTGATCAAATTGACTAAAAGTGTCATAAAATAGTGAACAATACCCCGTACAAATTAAATGAATCATGTCGAGATAATCCTTTTGGTAGACCAAATATCTAAAACTCGTCTTTAAAATAAAAACTGAGAAAAGGCATTTTGATCAAAAAAAATAATAATAATAACGACAGAGAAGTTACAATTAATCAATCAATAACTAAGATTTATGTTTTTCTTTAAGTATTATCTGATTATTGAACAAAAGGTTTTTGTATTTAAAGTCAAGTTTTGAGCTGTTTTCAGGATCCCCACCCTCTTCTCTTACAGAGCTCCGTGAAGCAGATAAAACCAATATCAGAGGCTTTCAATTGTTTATCTCTAACTGGTTTATTTGGTTTGTATCTATTTTCTGGTGCACGGGGTTATGACAAGACCCTATGTTACCATGCCAGCCACAGCTTGTTCACATAATGCACTTTTGTCAAACTGCCAAGCGAGAATAAGAAAGCATTGTAAATATTTGATGGATGCGTAATGAAAACACTGTTTTTGAGTGGCATGTTTCACGTAATTCATCCAACCTCCTCTAGAATAAAAGAGGAGAATCCTCCCGGGAGGCGTTATGACTGACAGCACTGCCAGAGCCAATGACAGACCCGTCCCAGTTGATAAAAAGCCTGTCTCAGCCAATGACATGTCAGAGGAGAGAGGACAGCCCCAGTCTGAGTGCGCTCTGTTGGCTCTGTCTGTTAGGCCAAGTGGTGTGTGTCTGCCCGTGGCGTTTCCTCCTGACACCTGTCACTTAGCGACACACCTCAGTTGTCAAAGCGCTCGCCCTGTAATGGTCTTGTATTGATTTCCTGATTCAAAGCTCAGAGATGAATGAACAGGCTGGTTTTTCTTTACTTCCCTGATGAAAACTGTTTTCTAGGATGCTCCTGTCACAACAGAAGTTTGGTCCCAAGAGTTACAAATGTCGAACTTCTTACAAACAAAAAGAGAAAACAGGGAATGTTCAGCAGCACTAAACCAGTACACTATCCCTAAAAATGAGGGTGAACTGGAGCTAGTGAGGGTTAGAACTCAAGACTGCTATCAGTTTTGTTTGTTATGCTGTTAGTAACAAGTTTTGCTTAAGATGGTCACTCTTTTCGCAGCCTGTCTAGACTATGGGCTGTCATGAGCGAGTACAGAAAATATAAAGAAATTGTACTTGTTCCAGCCTCTTAGATGCCAAGATTGGCTCTTTTTCCTGCTTTAAATTGCTGTCAACGATGCATCTTGCTCGGCAAAACAAGAAGCGTGAAGATACTGTGTGAAAAAGACTGAAGGTCATTTTGCATTTGTCAGTCATACAGTGCCAGCCAGAGTGATCCTCACTTAGGGTTTGATAGATGGGGTGCGATTCTTCCTGTCAAAATTGTCTTACAGATCCAACTCACTGCATCTATGAAGAACTTTAACTCTGATTTTCTTGAGGTCAGTAAAGGTAATGTAGGAATGAACTTTAAAGCAAAAATACACCTCTATGCTGATGACACCGCCATTTACAACCCTACATCCTGTGAAATAGTTGCTGAATATGGTCTAACCTGTAAGACATGGTCACTGTAAAATAATACCACCTCAAAAAAACAAAACAAAAACTGGATTTTCCATTGTAATTATATGGTGCTCTCAGACATTAATAAAAATTATAATCTGCGTGTGTTTGTGAAAATGATGTCCCCTCTTTGTCTCCAGACCACATACAGAATAAACAACACACCTCTAATTAAAAAAGCTCTTACATGATTAGGAATGTAGGAATGAAAAGGTGGTAAAGTCATGAAAATTCGCTTCCAGGACAGACTTAAAACAAATGCTGACGGTCACAGTCACATTCTTATTCACATGATAACCTCTTATTACAACTAAAGTAAGTTGTGTCATACCTGGGTCAGCCAGTCCTGTAGTTTCTAACAGGATGTAGTCAAACTTTCCTTTCTTTGCCATTAGATTCTCAATGGCTTTAAGACCATTGTCCCTGAAAAAAAAACGGTTATGATTAAAAATGACACAAATTTCACTACACTTCATTGGCATTAATGATGAGCCGTTTCTATCTACTTTTTGGTTCATATATCCTGGACCCAGTTCTTGTTTAAGCTTAAACTCTTAAATAGTAGGCCCTAGAGTAAAGAAATTATTCTCTATTAACATTGTTACACTTCATATTCACTCCTCTTACTTTACTGAGCAGCAAAGGCAGCCATTTCTAAGTTCCAGCCACTCCTCATACAGCTCTCCTGCATGGCTCACTGCGAGTGATTTCTCAAGTGCACTACCTGCAGATAGAGAATAAGACAGAGAAAGTTAGAGAGCTGAGGACTGAGAGAGTAAAAAATCCAAATGTAAATACACCATGTGGCTGTGATTTTTGGTAGACAGAGGCTGAGAGAAACTTCAGAAAAAGTCCTAAAAAATAAACAAACCTCCAAATCTGTGTTGTTCAATCTTGATGTCAAAAAGTTATGTGATGGTAATTAAAAAAATAATAATTCAAAACACAGTAAAAACACACTGAAGTGCTTCATCAAGGACTCTAAATACGTGCTTCTGTGCTGCTCTCTTGTGGAAAGCTGAAGAAATTGCACAATTTTCATCGGCCATGCATCAAGACAGGTTCACAGTTCATACATCTTGATACATCTTTGTTTGGCCTGAACAAAACTGTATGAAACTAACACTGATTATGATTTCTTTTATAGACAATTAGAAGTTTACCCTCTCCAAATTCATTGAGAATGACAGCAATCCGCTTATTGTGTTGCTCTGTTAAGATATAATTCAGAAGTGTCGTCTTCCCAGCACCTACAAAGGAGCAAAACAGACCATGATTAGTAAAACTGTTAATTATAAACTCATCAAAGCAGTGAGTGGGCAGCTGCTTACCCAGATATCCTGTGATGATGGTGACAGGTATCTGCTCTGCAGGAGGACCAGGCGGGTTGTCGATGGGCACCAGCTCTGGACAGTCATCTTCCTCTTCCATCATACCGTCCATACCAGATAATTTTCAGCCTGCAGCTTTATTCTGTGCGATCTGATCAAGCAGAAACCCATTAAATCCTCTCTTCAGTCCAAAACCAGATGAATTTGATACACAGCTACATGAACACGACCAAATGAAGTAGAAAGAACCGGCGTAAAATCACTCTTAAATGTGGACCTGAAATGTGACAGAACTCTCGACTACCCTTCGTTTTATTAAGCTGTTAAGTATTACCTCTTCCACCTTCCTTTGCCTTTAAAAAAAAACAAAGTTTGGGGCTAAGAAATGACACTTCTCTGAAACGCTGGTGTGTAGCGGTTTGACAACGTGCAACGCTGTAAAAATCCCGTGCACACTCACAGCAATGACGATGGTTCCGCTTTCGTTCACAACCATGACAAAACACCTACAGAGAGAGATAAATGTGAAAATGTAATTCAAAGAAAAAAAGAAGAGGAATATAAATTTTATTAGAAATAATAGAAAAATAAACTTGATCTCTTCCCACTTCACAGCTTGTTCTTAAACACAGCTCGTGATATAAAGTATCGACCACAAGAGGACGCCATACATCCGTGTAAAACTCCCAAGAATCCGGGTTGGCTTTACTGGCCAGGTAGGCTAACTCAAACAAAATTACAATAGAAACTGACTCTGGTTTCAATTGGTTGGATATATAATCACACACAGAACACAAAAACCTACAAGATGATAGATAACAACAATTATCTCTTCTCCATGATACATTAAGTCAGAGGGAAGAGATAACTGAAATTTATTTTTTAATTTTCACTGAAATGACATAAAGAAGTTGTTCAACTTACATCTTGTGGAAACTTGCTAAACAAATTGTAAATTTCTTCCGTCTCAACAGTCAACTGAGACTACTTTTTCTGCATATCAGCTTTAAACTGCAGCACGTGAGTAAATTTCATCTGGCAGAAATCCAGTTTGACAGCATCATTAGATTTTCCATGAGTGTCTCTCAAACTTGCCCAGAGGTCATAACCCTTGTTGTCTGAAAGCCTCAGGTGGGATTACCACAACATAATCAGCAGTGTTTCCTCTCTAGACCTATTTACTTGAAAAGACACCAGGCTCAACAGATCTTTACATCAGATGGTCATAACTTGTATCTGTAGTTATACATTTAATAAAATTACAAGGAAAGAAAGAAAGAAAGAAAGAAAGAAAGATCATAAAAAAATATTCAGCTACCAGAAGTTAAAAGACGTTGTTACTTCTATATAATAGGATTAATCAATTAGTTATGATCATAGACTGTGTATACTGTGGACAACATGGTTCCGGCTTCCACCAGTATACAGATTTGAAGCCAAAAAGCTCTCAGTATTTCCGCGATCTTTCTTCATTTCCTGAAACCAACATTGTGCAGTAGCGTTGTACACACTTCACCACTTGCGCAGTAGCATTGTATGCATTAGGCGGGAGAGTTGCCGAGAGTCGCTGTGATGACGCTTGGCTAAAACTATGCAATCTTTGTACGTCCATAGGCTGTATCAGGTGTCAATCATAGAAAACATGAACCCCCTGATAAATTTTAAAATCAAGCTGCACAGAAGAAAGAGGACTTGAGCACAAACCAGTCCTACAATAACTACATGTCAACATCACAACATGGGGGAAGAAAAATTTATATTCTGTGTAATAAATTTCTAAAGTTTGTCCACAGCTCCATTGGAATTGCTGGAGGAGGCGGGATTTATGACCTATACTGCAGCCAGTCACCAGAGGGTGCTGTTCTGGGAGTGACTTCCCCCAGCGAGTGAAGGGGGCGTCCATTCTATATACAGTCTATGGTCATAATGGGAAAATCAGCGTTCTTTTTTTTTTTTTAAATTAATTATAAAATAAAGAAAAATATGCAAGAACTAAATATAACACGGGAAATTGTTTTTGCAGGAAAAGAGTAAACCAAATGTATGGATGCATGTTCTTCAACTTGGTTCCAAACATAGACTGTATATAGGATGGATGCTGTCTGCCTCCTCACTGGGTGAAGCCATTCCGAGAACAGTATATATACAGTCTATGGTTCCAAATTTTTCAGTTTAAGGCAAACAATATAATTTTCAGTACATTCTGTTTAATTTTGTTGCAAACATGAGTGTGTCTGTAAGGAGCTTAGGATGAGTAACATGCAAATCTCTATATGCATAAAACTTTGTCACAGCTGGCCCCAGTCTCCCCTACTATTAAGCTTTAATATCTTCCAGTACTTTTAATTTAATTTAGTCCCTGAATCGTTTTTCTTTCCCGCTGTTATATCATGCACGTCAAAAGATAAGGGTGGTAAAGGTAAGCTGATGCTTCTTTAAGTACACTACAATGCTTATCACCACAGCGAGGGAGTGTGTCTCATCTAACGCCTGTCCCATTATCGTCTCCTCCCACCCTCGCGCATCCAGCGTCTCCCTCGCGCGCTCTCTCTCTCTTTCTCTCTCTCTCTTTACGGGATGGCTCAAATCAAATGCGGAAGTTTACACCCAGTAAAGCTGCTGCCGCCACAAGCAGGATGATTTGAGTGTTGACATGACAGTTGAGCAGCTGTAGCGAGGGGGAGAAGAAGCGGCGAGCCGTTGACAGGGAGGCGGCACGAGACCGCAGGAAAAACAGCAAATCCAGCGCGGGGCGGACTGGACTTCAGACCCACACACATGGCTTCTCTAGGCAGCGCGGAGCGACGGGCTTTCGCTCTGAAAATCAACAGGTACAAAACGTAGCCGTAGTTGTTTTGGCTTCAGGTTTAGTTCAAGGAGTGAGTGGGAACTTTTCTGGTGCCTCTCCACTTAGACTCGGGAGGGAGTGAGCCCTCCTGTCTTGACAGTTGGATGGCTTTCAAGAGTGGAGCAGGCTGCCACATGTTGTGAATGTTAATGCAGCAGATTTGTTCACTGTCCCAGAGAGAAAAAAGCAGCCTGGAGGAGAAGAAACAAGCAACTTTCTCGGAAGAATTATGACAGTGGATGCATGTTTGGAGAAAAAATGACAGCCACGTGACAAATGACTCTAATGAAGGCTCAGTATTTGACTTACAGCTACATACAAATGAGCTACACACAGAAGTGGAGAAATGATACTAATTCTTTGGCTCTTCAGTTGTAAAACTCAAATACTTTTTTAACATTGACTTGAATGAAAATGATCAGAACACTGTGTTGACTTTTTCAACTAGTATGATAATTTTCCCTTCTGTGTAAGGTCTGACTTGCTCATACAGCTGCTATAAATGAGGACTGATGTGGTCATAGTTCCGGCTATGATGACACTTGCCAGGTGTGGAGGAAGTATGAAGCCTACATGGAAGTCTATTGTGTACCATTCCTCCTCTGTAGTGCTGCTCTTTAAAAAAATACACTAATACTTCCTATGATTAGCAGTGCGGACATATGAAGCTCTTGCATGTCCTGTAAGCTCAGATCACTTGTTTTCATTCCCTTTATGGAAATAAACAGAGGCAAAGTGCATGCAGGGATTAGTTTTTGGTGAAATTTAGCAGATGATGGATGATGCAGAGACAGTTGTATATATGGTTCTCCAAAGGCGCTCTTGTAATCCCTAAAATCTGATTCTGTGCGTCTGCAGCTCTGGACTTTTAAAGTTGATCATCTATAACTTTATGGCATTGGTTGTAGTGTAAAATAGAATAACTGCAATAAGTGATGCAACTGTTTCTGAAAGAAGTTTGACTATGTCTGCGAAGCTGTTTTCGATTATTTTTTTTATTGATGATCTGCTAGTTATTTTCTTGATTGCAAAGCCAGATGTTGTAGGCAAAGTATCAGAGTTATGTTCTGTCCACCAACAGCTTTATAAGTCAGGGAAAAACCACATCAAAACGCCGAAAACATTTAGTGTTACACCCTAAAACCAACTCTTTTTTGACAATTAGTCTCTCTTTAATAAGATTAGCAGCAGATTTATTATCAGTTTAATCCACAAACTATTATAGTTCAAGTGCAAAGCATTCTTTTGGTGTGAGATCACCTCTCCTCCACCACAGTGAATGTATTATACTCTTGTTTTTAACAGCCAGGAGAAGTCATAGATATGTGCTGTGCTATGCTGATGCTGAGCTGTGCAGAGCTCAGCTGCTGAGGGATGTGAGGGATCTTAGTTCACAGCCCGAATCCAGTGATGAGCCAGCAGCAGCAGCAGCAGCAGCAGCAGAAGAGGGTTTGTTTAGAAGATGCTATAGTGTGGCACAGCACTGTGTTGGCTTCAAAGTATCAAACAGCTCACACAGCCATGAAGAGATAATGTAAGTCACGCTCACTGATAATGATTTCTCAGAAGTTAAGTGAGGGAATCAAAATTAAAGTGGTTCTTCAACACACAGAAAGACATAATCTGTGGGCAAATGATGTCGAAAAAGTTTGACAGCTAAAGAAAAAGATAGTTTTTCCTTCAGCTTGCCTTGCCTTAGTGGGTTAAATATTTTGTGTATTAACTAGAGGTGGGGGTTACTCAAAGAGAGACTCACTTTTTGCTTTTCCCAGTCCAAAGGATAAGAAATGTAGTCATTTAGCTCATTTTAGTTCACTTATAACAGTTGCTAATCAGTGCAAACCAGAAGTCAATTTTCACGCAGGGCTAGGTGTATCAAGGACCCCCCTCCTCCTTTGAGGTCCTGGGTTGTCAGTCCCACTTTCCCCACACCACCCACTGATGAGCATTACCAGCCTCCAGTCCTTCCTGCAGGACAGGTCCACATTTCTGCACTGGTTACCCATTGCTCCAGTTGAGTTGTTTTAAAGCCCACTAATAACGTTATCTCTGTCGTCTAGCTCTGCTACGAGAAGCCATCTGCCGTCTGCCCTCGTCTCTTAACCAACTAGTAATTCCGGTGCCGACTATTGAAGGTGACAGTGTTTAAGCCAAATCCTGTCACCCCTTTACAGAAAGTAGCAAAAAGATGATAAAGTCAAAATCTCATATCAACTGAGATTACTCTGTGAGTTCTCTAGATTTCCGGTATGTGTAAATACAAAGAATCATGTCCATTATATTCATTATTCATTCAATCTGTGGAGCTAGTCATGGCCACAAACCACGTAGACAAAGAGGAACGGTGGCCTTGCATGGATACTGAAGTTTGTGGCTAGTATTATTGTTGATTGGTGCAAAAAAGACAAGTTCATATGTACAGTTGCTGACTATTTCCTTCAGATTTATTACTGAATAAGGAATTCACCTTTTTTCTCTCTATTTCCTTGATGGTCTTAAGAGCAGTTCCTCTCTTTATCTCTTTATCAGGACAGAGTGTGAAGGAAATCCTGCACTGTGGACTCTGCTGCCTTGGTTTCACTTCACTTTTTTTATTTGTGGCAGTTTTGAATCAGGAAATGCATGATTCAATGTAAGCACATGAAAAAAGGGAATGGAAAATACCGTCTGTAAGAAAACGTGTCAGTCGGGAACGCAAACATATCAATGAATTTCAATGAATGGTTCTCATGTAGCTTAACAATTAATATTCTCCAGTTGACCACTTTGTTGCTTGCTGGCATATGGTAGCAGGTGCAAGGACAGCTGTGGACATGGGGGCCTCTGTCGTTCAATACTCCTAAGTGGTAGAGGGGTCCGGATTGAGTTGCATCTGGTTTCCTCTGGGCTCGTCTTGATGACATCTGTTAACCCTCATGACTGTTGGTGGTCAGCCATGGGGTGTCGAGTGGTGAAAAAAAAGATTCAAAACTTCCCCTTCAAAAACTTTTGATAAATGTCTTCTTGACCTGCGGTTGAATCTCTAAAACTCAGCTGTAAGTTTTTCCTTCTTTTTTTGGTCACTTCTTCTTTCCCGGAGCTGCCAAATGACTGCTGCTTGTGCATGCCTCCCTCTGACAGGAAGTCAAGCTGTGATGGTGCTGATAGCAGTAAGACCCATTAAGTCTGCAGACATATGATAGTATGAGACACACTGTGGGGACATCCCTTCGGTCAGCTTTTCTCCCTCTTGTCATGAACACCACACCAGTCGGTTTTCCTGTGAATCTCAGACTTTTGGATGAGGGACAGTATGCAAGCTGAAGGAACCCTAGCATCCACTGGAATGACTAGATAATAATTTTGAAAAGAGATAATTATGGACTGTCTAGTCAAGCAGTGTGGCGGCCTGGGGTCACATCATGAGGATTAAATGAATAAAATGTGTGAAATTTTGTATTTGGCTCCCTGACGGCATGTGAATATCATGTATGCAGCTGTCAGAAGCTGTGAAACCTCTTTTTCAGTGGAAGATTCAGTTCAAGAAACCCTTGTTCAATAATTCCAGAAATGCTGACAGGAACTCTCCATATGCACACACAGCAAGTCCAGGCCTGCCATAGACAGTGTGACGTGACAAAAAGGGGCTGGCCCTTTTTCTATAGGGAGGGGATGATGTAAGGTTTTCACTCTGCAGACTACAATAAGATCTTTTCTTCCTTGGCTGTGAGTCCTTTTGGAAGTCATCCAGCAGTTGTGAAGAAATATCCTTTAAGTGTGGTGCAATATAATGAAAATCTCAGTGGAGTGATTAGCTGCTGTTGTGCAGCTGATGATGAGTCGAGGTTTCACATTAAATGACCCCTGAAGTCTAGCTGTATTATTATTAACACACTGGAGGTCTGTTTGACAGCTCATATGTGCTTGAATTAAGAGAGTCATACCCAAAGCTGCTTATCAGACACCATTTCATTCATTACTTAATGAAATTACCAGTAAAAATAATATTTTTTTTCGTACAAATTCATGATTATTGCACCAAAATAGTGTACGCACTGAGTGTTTTTTTTTAAAACTGTGAGCCTAATCTGTCATCATCCTGATTTAGCTGGAGTTTTCTGTCAGCTGTAATTCTGGCTCTGCGCCGACTCCTAGGGAACAGCTGTTTTAAATGTACATCCTCATCAGTGTTGATTACCACTTCTAATTATATCACATGAAAAAAGACAGCAGGAAACTGGTGATTATTGCTTACAGGCTTTGTTTTCAGTGAGGATAATACCTTTTAAAACACCCTGCCATTGATTTTCTGTGGATTAGTTTGGTTTTAATTGAGACATTGAGGCATGTAATAACAAGACAACCAGCATACTAACGTGCACTTAAGACATCAGGTTACTCACAGATATCAAGTGTACAGAGGATATCCTTCATTGTGTTCAGATGTAACCTGGATACCACCATGAGCTTGTATACATGCCCCAGATTTGAACTTGGATTATACCTCTATCTTGACTTTGTTTTGCAACCAACCTCTCATTCTAAGACGTGTATTTTTGTTAGTTATTCGCTGCATCAGTACACTGCCACTGCACTGCATATAATAGACATTGGTTTGTTTAAAGCTCCTGTGAGGAATTTTCAACTGGTTATGCAACAGATGGAAACCAATACTGATGCATCTTTATGGCCTAGAACAGGGGTTGACTTATATTAGCTTTTCAGGGCTGATACTGAGACCAGTTAGTAGTTCATTGGGCTGATAACCAATATCTGGAACTGATTTGTATTGGTGGTAAAAACGAGAAACGTGCAACATCACATGGAGGAGTTTACAGTCAACCTATAGTACATCTAAGAGACAGATCTAGTGGGTGGGCCATCAGGTTAGGAAGAATGGATAAAAACTGATCCAGAGGGAAAGACACTGGCGGTGGAGCCAAAGTAGAGCGCTTTGTACTTTACTAACTTTATCCACCACCTGTAAAGCAAATGTTGATGCAGATTATCGGTCAAGTGTGTTTACTAGTCCCAATAACTGGCTAAGGCTACCCAACAAAAGCAAACAAAACCAGCGGCCAAAAGATTGACTATTTCTACAATGCAATTTGTGATACCTGTCACTGCTCCCTCAGGGTAGGTGTCAGACAGGAACATTTACAAGATAGCATTTTCTGCAACAAGCGTTTACTGTGAGTGACTTATTTGACTGTGAAGAAATAACAAAGCTGCTGTTTTGCATAGCGGTCTGAGTGTAAACCCCATGTACAAGGGCTGTTGTCCTTGTTAGACCAGTCACTGGTCCAAATCATTGTCTTCCAACACTCTTTGCTCCCCACCTTTTCTGTCTCCTCTCAATAAGGCAAAATCCCTCTCCTTCTTTTGTTATTGTAAAAGACCTCAGGACAAAGACACTTCCTATGTATGTACTGTGCAGCAGCTAAGTTCTCATGATCATACTAATGCAAGTTCAGGTATTTGATTTTCTTTGTATTGTAGTTAAAAATTTGGGGACTTTCTTGCATGTTGCTGCTCAGTAGAGTTGCAGCCTATTCTGGTTTGATGAGGGCGAGTCTGCTCGCATTTATTTTAGTATGACATCATCGCTGTAAAAGACTGGTGGTGAAGAATATGCCTCTTGGGGTCTGCTGTGATGGTTATGTGCAAGATCTCAAACCTGACGCCTTCTCCTCTGATAAAGCTACTCACTGTCTCCTTCAGTATCTTGTTTTTTTAAGACTGAGGTAGATTGACCCTTATTTACCAAAGCTCTTGGCCTCTCGTGACCTCTCACCTGAGTGCATTGCAGTCAAACATTTGTCCCCTGTAAAGTGTTGTCTTTTGGATTATCTATTTGAATTCCTCACATGTTGTCTAAATAGTTTCATTCAGGGTCTGAGACAAAGGGAATCACTTGCAATGAGTGAGTAAAAATCTTACAGGTGTAGTCATAACAACAGGTTTGTGACATACAATGAGCTTCTTTTGCTACCCATTTACTAAAACCCTGGATCTTGACTTTCTTACAACAGCAGCTCTGGTTTTATTTAAGAATGAATGCCGACTAAAGGGAAAGTGAAAGGCAGATGCCGCCTGCTGTGTCAATCTGTCTACTTGAAGTTGAACAGTGTCTGCTTCGCTCTGCCGGCAAGACCTGATTACTGTGTGACTTGCTGTTTTTTTAAGACAGGCCCTGAAAGTGTGTCAGAATTTGCAGCTAGGCAGTCCGGCGTGCACATGCATCTTTGAATGTGCATGTATATGCAAATGTTACTCTACAGTGTATGTCCTGTAATTGTAAGGGTCTGTGTGTGTGTTGTTTTTTTTTCGGTCTCCAGTAGCAATAGGAGACAAGAGGGAGGGAACACATTAGAGATTGTGTGGGCTCAGTCTGTATACAGGGTAGGGCATGTTTCTTAGAAGTCAACTTATGAGAGGATTTTACAGGGTTTAGAGTGCTTCAAAGTGCAATACAGCCCACAGACAATCTGTCCTTGGGCAAGAAAAGACCTTCTTGTGTGCCGGCTGGAATAAAACTTACATATCTAAGCAGAGACGCACACAGCTGCATAGTTTATGTACCACACGCCTTTTTTTTTTTAACGGCATGAGCTATTCAAGCTAGTAATACATAACAAGGACCACTCCTCTTCAGTTATTATACAAAGTGAAGCACTCTTAAAACGAAACCAAGGAGGAGATGTGTGAGGCAGATGTCATAACTTTGCTCTGTGAGGAGGAGCTGAGGGAGGAATCATTCCTTATGTTGACCTGAAGCTTTCTGCAGCTTTAAGCTTTAAAGGCTTAAGTGATTTGAAGCTTCAAATTTCAAGTTGTAAATCACTATTTACCCTTTGGCATTTATTTAGTTGAGCCTGCCCAGTATTGCCAGGCGAATGTACTCTGGCTTATTGCAGATATAGTGTGTACTATATGGGTGACAGGGTTCATGTTTTAAGATGAGTGCCTGTATGAAAACTTTTCCTTTATAGAGGAGGGGTGCAGAGTGATATGCTTGGAGTGGCTTTGGAGTCACTGCAAGGTTAGTAAGTACTAGCAGGTCTTCAGCCTTCAGTAGAAGTCATAAGTCTCATGTACTGCAAGAGTGAGTCAGTTGTGTTTTTTTCAAACACAATTATTGATACTCAGCCCCGAACATATTCATAATTGAATCACACTGGTCAAGACCAAAATATATTGCCATGGTGATAAATTGTTCTGCCTCTACTCCTGTATGTAAATGCATTATTATGGTGTAAGCTCTTGAATGAAGTGAACTGATGGAGAAAGCACTCATTCTAGAAGTTCTGCATTGTTATTGGTGGACAAAAAAAGCTTTATTTTCTGCCAACCTAATAAGTTATTGGCTGTAAAATATGTACTTAAAATAAAATATCTTTATTCAGATCATTACCTTTTGACTTTGGATTATGACAGTCTGTGACAGCCATACAACAGCTTTGCATTATTTGCTGCTCAAGTATTTATCTGATACTGGCACCTGTGAAAACCCATCATTTTAACTCTATTCAGCCTCTCTCTGAAGTGAAGTCTATGTTTTGTTGGTTGAGTTTGTTGTTGCTTGTGAGTGTACTTTTCATACAAATATGAAGTCATGAAACGAATCAACAATTGTGTCTTTATAGAAAAATTTTCAAGGCTGGCCAATAGCGCCTACTTAGCTCCCCTTTTAGACATGTTGCCATACGCTAGCTCTTGCTAGTGATTGCCAGTGAAGCTGGATAATGTCTGGGGTTTACACCGCCACCTGAGCATCTCATGTTCTGAAACTTTCCCGGATTATAAAATGGACATCCATTTTTGAACATTATATAAATGTATTTAAGTAGGGGTCAGCATAATAGGTCTGAGTTAGGAACCCTGCTGCACCCTAGTTTACTCTCTGAGTCAAACAAGTGTTGCATAAGTTGAAAACTGTAGCTCAAGAGTGACGTTTGAATGAGTTTGACTTGCATGCAGAGCTGTGGTTGCTTGTGAGTAAGAGCTGGTAGTGCAGACAAGTGTATCAGAGACTATATATGGCTGCCCATTGCACAAATAGAAGGTATGTGTGTTGTAATAAACTACATTAGATGCAAAGACGTTTCTGTAAAGTCTCTAAACTTGATATCTGAATTCTGGATCTGAATGTAGCGAGCAGTTATTTGTTCAAACAAATAGTTCTGCTCTGCTGGACTTTGCTCTTTGTGTAAATTTGTAGACTGTTCACCCACCCATAACTTGACCTCCCCAGGAATCCAGTTTTCTGCTGACTCAGCATGCTTATTTGATTGACAGAAGGGATAGGATTCAAAGAGAGAGAGTTGAGCTGTTTACTGTGCAAGTCGCACAATTGGACATGAAACATTAACCAGCTCTTACCCGACTCTTGAGTCTGCGCTGCTCCACAACAATAATGATATTTGTTTTTCAGTTGTTTGCATGAAGCTGTTTTGCAGATTGTACACGCCTCATGCCTCTGCAGCCTCAGTGGTTTGGACATGCTTGTCAACTGCACAGGCGTTTATGAGTTTGTGGTGGTAATTAGTAACAGGGCTGTCATAACAATGACCGTGGAGACTTAATGAACCCATGAGGTTGACCACAGGGAAATGCAACAGGGAATGTGACCCATTTACTTTAGTTTTGCTCTTTAACTTCCACCATTTGCCCAAATTTGTACAAACATAAGCAACTGTAAAGCACAAAAAAACCCTCATACACATGCCTACTCTCACTCTTTCATCAGTAGACATCAGTGAATAAAGACCTCATTGTGAGAAAGTTTGTTAGAGTTCAAATGATACGGTAGATTGATTTCATTCGAAGAAGACAGGACATTAGCTCTGTGCGGCAAAGAGAAGAAATATGGATGACAAACTGGGACACTGGCTTTGTTCTTGTCATGCTCTGCTCTCCTTTTCTGGAAAAGAGCTACAGGCAAAATCATAGACCCACAGACACATTATCTCTGTCAACCCAACATTTAAATACCACCTCATTCTGATGTCATATTGATTTTCTGCTGATTCTGACCCTTAAATCAGGACACCATATTTGTTCTAGTGCCTGTATGGCTGCCAGCATGACAAAGCCTTTTCCCCAGCCAGCAGAGATGTGCTTCTGTAGGGAGCCAACAATGGTCTGAATGGAATCACCATGGCTGACCAATTCAAACTAATGTGAGCTGGAACAATAGTGGGACTGCTGTTGCATCTCTCATCAAGCTACACTTTGTGCAAGTTGGACATATCCTCTCATGCTACACTAGGTGGGAATTGGAGCCGCTTTACTGCCTTATGATTTGGCAACTGGAAGAGACAAAGGATAGAAAAAAGAGGGACTTACTTGAGACTATAAGTTAAAAACATATCCAACCTTGTAGTTTCCTGCAATTAACAACTTTATCCATGTTTTATATAACAAGATACAACCCCACTGTGCTGTGATATGAATCTGTGAGATTTTTAAAAGTTGTTTAAGAACTGGAAGTTGTGAAACTACAACAAATTGTCTCATGCAGAATTTGTAAAAGAGCAGTGAAACATTGCGACAGTATTTCAGCTTCCCACATTAGCATGGGTGTGTTATGTTGCACATTGTACAGGGTTCATTCCAGATATTTCTCAGTGCTTGTTTAAGTTTTGTCTCATGAACTATTTTAATATAAATCCTTGTGATTCTTTTTGTGTCCAGGCACTCTTCTGCGGAGATCAGGCGACACTTCGGTGGAAACTATGCCGTTCAACACAGTCGAAGCAACTCCAACGCTTCAGCCTCAATGTGCTTCACTGTGGTGAGTTTGATTCTGTCTTACAAAGATTAACCCTTCAAAAAAATCAGGATTTCTAATATCTAAAAAGGGTTTGACTGATTATTTAACCATTGCTTATATTACTTTTTGTGGGTAAACTTTGAGTTTCTGTGTTTTTGTGTAATATTGTGTTCATGTTTTAAATTTTATTTGGGTGGCGACTTCAAAGAAGTTCTGTGAGCTTTCAGCCTCTTCCTGCACTGTCTGTCTTTCTATTGCTGTCATATTCTGTATTTTTTAATTGTGCAAAATAAATAAATCTAGATCTAAATCAAGCAAAACTGACAGGTATGATAAAAGTTTGCTGACAGCAGGCAGAAAGGAACAGAAGGGATCTGGCAGGTTTTTTATAAACTGATTTAATTAAAGCTGCATTGTACAGTACAAACCACAAAATACACACACACGTTATGAAAACAGCAACATCAGTTAAGGTCAAACATGAACTAAGAGGTGCAAACAGGAAATTTCAAGATAGAAATTGAAGAACACCAAAGAAGACAAAGATAAGCAGACTAAAAGTGGATACTGATTATCTCTTATATCTTAAGACAAGCGATTTATTAAACAGCAAATTCAGTAATCAGAACGTCAGCAGAGCAGTTCTCTTCAATACCCCATTTACACAGCCTCAGTGTTTGTGTTTATTTACCACCCAAAGCCTCTGAGCATTTTTCATCACATCCTCCTCACTGTCATTGGTGATGAGTGTGTCTGACTCAGTCAGAGATCTATTCATGAGGCTAATGATTTGAATCGTTGCATTTCTGACACCAAAATATCCTGCTTTGTAAAAACACTGTCTGCATTTCTGCAAAAAATAAATAAATAAAAAATAAACCTGTGCTTTAATTGAGGAGGAACCTTCCTTCCTGCGATAATAGAAGAGATGAGAACTTACGGCTTTACGTGCTTTGTAAAAGCTAGGCTGACACTGGCTGTGCTTTGATTTAACAGGGTTTCAGAAGACCTAGTATCTGTAACTTTCTACAGAGGATTGTATGTCATTATGACAAGTTGTTTTCTTGCCTCTTCAGTGGAAGCTCAGCAGACGGTTAGAGTGCTTCCTTCTCTCAAGCAAGCAGGCAGGATGATGCACAGTAATCCTTAGCAGGGATTTGTTCCCACTCATCTCTCCGTGGTACCCTCTGAACCTCCGTCTCTGCCTCCCAGATTCATGCATTTCTCTTTCACTCTTCCAGCTTTTTTCTATTTCTGTGCGTCCTTTTACAACGCGTCTTTCTCTGCTGCCCTACATCTCCTTCAGTGAAACTTTCCTAAAGCTCTTAGGCACTAAGTCTCCTGACATATCCGTGTGCATGACTGACTTAGCTGAAGTTCACCCTTTGATACTTCCGCAGTGATGATCCTTGAGCTCATCAGCTGACAGGGGTTTGAGTAGGAGGGCTCGGACCATCCATCCCACCCCAGCTTGTAACATGCAACACGGTTAATCTCTAACCTGCTTGGGAAATGGGTCAGTGCATTGGATACCGACTGGTGCTGGATGGGGCCTGCTTACCTTGCAGCTTACACGGGCAAATCTTTAATATGGCCGGATTTGGGATGCGGGAGAGGGGTTTTAATACTATAATCTCCGGGATGATAGTTTCCCATTATTCATCAGTGGCTACTAGCTCAGTGATGATGGAGTGATGTTTGTTTAGCGGAGGGTGGGATATTTGTTGCTGCAGTTGTGCTGTGGATCACTTTGTTGATGATCATCTCTCCCACTATTTTTGGAGCCTAATATGAGGAATGTTGACTGAGCTGTTGTTGCTTGTTGAAGGTTCAATATACTAATTGAGAGATTAAAAAGGATAAAGCTGCATGTATTATTGTTCATGAGTGTAGAGCCTTTGTGTGTGTGTGTTTGCAGCACACGTGTGTGTGTTTGTGTGTCTGCAGTTTCTGTTCCTGTCTGTTGAAACACCATTAGATGGAGGGACGCCCTGCTGATGTCACTTCCTCTAATGTCTTGTGGTTTGTCAACTGCAACTCTGAGCAGCCCCGTCACTCAAAAAACTGCGGACAAAACATTTTGGAGGTTCAAACAGTCAAGCGCAACTTTAATCATTGATCATGAATGACTGTTGAGGCTACTTCCACCTGCCAAAAAAATGCAGATTGTTTCCTCTCAGATTTACAGCCAATTGTTGCTTCTAGGAATCTACTGATCTCTCTAAAGAGGATGTGTTCCCTGCATTGTGGCTCAGTTTCAACAAAAAGCATTCAGCGTCAGTAGGTGCACTCTGTTGGTTCCTGTATCCGGAGTGCGCCATTTTGTACACTTCCTTTTTATAGTGCAGAATACAGTCCGGTAAGTCTGCAGTGTCCATATGTACATACCTGTCCTCGGGTGGCTTCAAACTGAGATGATCGGTAAACTTTAATCTTTAACTTTTGATGTTCAGGTCAGATGTGGCTCTTTTGTTTGTACCTGTTTAGTCATGAATCACGACGAATGCTCATTTTTGCTTGTGCACATTGACATAAGTTACCTTGGTGATCACTTGTCTTTGTTTTTAATGGTCTCATTTGATATAATAAGACCCCAGCATTGCAGTATTGATTTACTCATTGGTTTCAAAATTGTGTAAACTTAGCAGAAAACTGAATCAATTTCTTTGATTGTTGCATGTGTTTGTCCTGAATGTTGTCACTTGTTAATTGTGAATGCTTCAGCTTCGAAAGAATCCTCATTGACTTAAATATTTGCAGAGGCATTCCCTTTTTATCAGCGAGTAAGCTGAGAGATGTTCTCGTGTTATTTGGCAAGAAGAGGAGGGAGTTTCTTGCCTGCTCCTCTCATGACTCCATAGAGCAGCCGGCGCTGATCAGAGGCATGCATAGATTTGCATTCATTTGTTTTCGTTAGCCTCCAATACTAAACAAGGAAAAGAGGCCATGCAACCATGAATGTTTGAACTTGGAGGCAGACAGCCAGAGAAAGGCACATATGGAGGACACTGCCGCTGTGGAGGAGCTGCTTGTATTCACGCCTCCTCTGTAGAAAGGACGCCTGCCATCTAAAACAGTCATGACATAGTTGTGTACTCTTCCCGTTTTCTGTTGCATGTTAACTAAAAGCCATGAGGTACATTTTGCTCATGAGCTCTCAGCATAGAAAAATATCCCTCAGGGCGGATTGATGTGCAAAAACATGTCTGAAGGCAAATGGAATTTGCTCTGCTTTTAAGTACAGCAGTGACTCACCTTGCTGCTGCAGTTATCTCTACCTCTCCCGTGTGTGCACATTATCTTCGCCTGTGTGCTGTTGGCTTGGTTTAGTCTCCATTTTCGTGTCTTTTTCTCTCGTACACGATGTTTCCGTTACATTCAGTCTATCACAAATGATTTTTTTTGTTATGTAAATGCTCCCTGTGTGGGACAGCATGCATGATTAATATGTATAATGTTATTTTTGGATGGAGCTAAAGCATACGTCCTTTGCATTCCCTTTTTGTTTATTTTAGTCTATTTAACAGTGATTCAAAGAAGGATAGTTGGCTTTTTGTGATATAGGTGATATTGTGCTGTGCCTTTGTATCCTTTTTTTGCCTCTGTCAGCCACAGCCTGCAGACCTTAATCAGTTTGGAGGTCTGCCCAGTTTGCTGCCACTCTTCACAGAAACACCTGCTTCATGCAGGTTCTCTTTTTGCAGCCCTGGTCAGCCGGGCACCACAAAGGGACGTGTGTTATCTCATCAGTTGTGTTCTTTTCATCCATCTCCTATGTTAAAATTGAATGTGTTTTCTTCCACTTACGTGCTACAGGGAATCTGTTTTATTGTGTGTGCTGATGATTTAAACAATATGTACTGATTCAAAGACCCACATGAGACTTTCAGCCCATTTGCACTCTACATAAAAGTGATTACAGCTTTGCTTTTGATCTGCTGAAGCTCTGGAGCGCAGGCAGATAGAGTTTCTGTCTATAAATAGAATCAGAGGGAAAAAACTGGCTTTCTGAAACAGGGCAGTTTGTTCCAGTTTCTATTTGTGTTTGTGCTCCAGTCTCTTGTTACTCCTAAGGTATGAGCTATTACAAAATAGTCATGACTCAACATGTTTTTATGCTCACCAAACCCACTTTTTCTATCTTTTGTCCTTCCTGTTATTTTTTGCACTATGTAGACTGTGCAAACTCATCACCGCCCTTAAGAGTTTCAGATATTATATGTCTGCGATATATTCAAATTTTATATATTTGTTTATAAATATGTGCTTGTTACAGTCCATACTTTCTTATCATGTTAACCCAAACTTAGTTCATCATGAGGAAGTGTTTCGGAAACAGCAACAGCACCACAACTTGAATATAATTCCTTTGCAGGACCGTGCTGATTTTCCACATTCTGACTGGATCCTCAATTTACATTATAAACGAAGAATAAGTGAGATTTGGTCCTGTGTGCTATAACTCTCTCCCTCTGTCATCCTCTTTTTTGTTCTGCAGCCTCCATCGTATGACGCGGTGGAGCCCTTGGACCTGGAAGAATTCCTGATGTCGCAGTTAAGAAGCGGAGACTCAGCTATGATGCAGGAACTGGGAGACTTCCCAGACGACGACCTGAAGGTGGAGCAGGTGGAGAAGGAATGCCGGACTGTTCGACACTCTGTCCCTGAAGATGGGTGAGTTACAGGATGCCTGCAGGGAATGAATAAATGTACACGTAGAAATGGAAAAGCTGTAAGACCTGTTTTGGAAAGATAGAAACATATTGAATATTGATCAAATATTACCTCGTTAGCACCAACTTTATACAGGCTCGTTTTGGCCCTAAACTTCTTATCTTGCAACTGTTAGAATTATTATTATTATTATTATTATTATTTTAAATTATTTTTATTTTATATTTTGTTTTATTTTTTATTTTTTGCAAAAAAGGACAAAAGGACGACATATAAGGCTTTGTGTTAGAATTAATCGAGCATTTACAGAAAAAATGAATACAAGCTGGATGAACTGATTGATCAGATGTTTGAATAAAGTTGCTAAATTATTTTTATCGGTCAATCCTGAGGTGTTTAGGGTTCAAACAGACTTTATTTTTTGTCATTCCAAAAGAAGCAACAGCCAAAAAAATATAACAGAACAACATCTTTGAACTTCTTTATTATTTGTTGCTGTAGTACTATTCTGTCATCTCAGTTATTTCACCTCATGTAGCGCACTGCATCTTGACCATGAAGTACAAATGAAGATAGAAGAGGAATGTAAATGTCTTCACTTGTCTATGAATGTTTGAATGTGTGTCTAGCTTCAGGAGAATGTGGGAACATATTTTCTTATCTGCTTTGTCCCTGTTCTTTGTAGACTGGATTTGGATGCACATGTGAGCGACTGCGTCAAGAGTTACACCCAGCCATGGCTTGTGGTGTCCAGAAGGTACGCTGGCCTCTTTGGAAACACAACAATAACAGTACAAATATTTCAGACGTTTAGCTCACTAATACAGACACAAAAAATGATGAAACTAGATCTAAATAAAAGTAAACCTGAGGTTTCAGAGAAGAAATCTAAGATTTAGTGTTTTCTTGAGTAAGGTGCTAATCTGCTGATGATGCAAAAAGACAGATTTTACACCATCTCATGTATCACGCTCTGCAGCAGGTGCCAACTGTCTGAGAAGTTGCATATGTCTGTGCAGCAAGAAACAGGAGGCCTGAGAGAGCCTGATAAACATAAAACACTTAACTCTCCTGTCTGACACGTTGTAGCACTCTCTTTATCTGTCGCACTACCACACACACACACCTATACAATAAACACTTGAGCAGAGGTGAAGTTGTGTAAGGCTTCTGTTGTCGTTGTTATCTCGATTGATTACTTGTACAGAGGTGTATCAGTGGTAACCATGCATGTTTTTGTGTGTGTGTGTGTGTGCTCTGTGTGTATGTAAAGGTGCCAGGGAGATGGCTGGGGCGCATATTCAGAGAGAGCGGGCCTACACAAACTTCTTAAGAAACAGACCTTTGAGTCTGACGTCCAGCCAGAGGACACACAGAAACCGGTAAGAAACTCAGAGACAGAAAACTGTGCATGTGCAGTGATAGGCACACAGCTTTAAGGGATTTCTGAAAAGAGCTGTAACTGTCTTGAGTATAAGACATCCTCATTTAAAAATGAGTGTTTCACCTTGAAGACATTAGTAAGTGTTCCACATTCATGTCTTACATAACCTTTTTCTCAACCATCACTGTTGCTCAATAATGGAGACATATCAGCCCTCTTGAAACTGCGGCCTTACAGCTACACTTGAACAATTCATTTACTTTCTCCCCCTTCAGTCCCGTTCTCAATACTTTTCAAACCTTTCTCTGGGATTGTGTGAGTCCACCGATTTGAAATAGCACTGTTTGATCAGAACTAACTCTATGAGTACTTATTTTAATAGTTTAGAGTTGTTTAGCTTAGGTTGGTTAGTGAAACTCAATCAATACAAGACTGAATAAAATATATAACAGATTATTTGCAGATCACTTGTACTGTACTTTTCTTGGTCATTGAATGCCAGTAAGTTTCAGATGAAGGCATAAGACTTAAGAGTGATTTTGATAAGCTGGTATTAGAGCTGTCACAAAACTGACTCAATTATGTATCATATAAATAAAGCCAGCAAGCGATAACAATAACTGTACGAACTAGCAATAACTGTATGCTCATTTAAAGCACAATATTAACATTTCAGTTTTTTGTGAGATGGTTATCATCTGTATTTTGTGAAAACCTTAGCTGGTTGATTGACGTTTGAAAGTCAGACTAACCTTATCCCTTAATTCTCATCTTCACTTCCCGTGAGGAACTCTTGGTTTTTTAAAGTTTTGGCACCCCCTGTAAACAAAGCAGTCTTTTCTTCTTTAGTGCTTAGGAAGTGACTTTTGACAACAAGCATCAAACTGCTAACTTTTGACAGTCAGATGTTTCATTTATTGAGAAACTTTTATGTGGAAATTGTGGGGGAAAAAAAGCTTTTAAAGACACCTATCCCATTGCACTTGTTTCAGGCATTAAAAATAATGGTGTACAAATCATCACATTTTATACTGATGATCTTGTTTGCTTTTGGATATAATGAGAAGACAACAATTTGAATCTTAGTCTATTACATAAAGGTCAAAATATTCCTCATAGGAGCTTTAAGGTAAGCTCAGATAAGCTGTAAGCTGCTGTTTTCTTCTAAACTCTTTCTATAACACAGTTTCACAACAGCACCCCAATGAATCATTCTCTCCTCAGTGGGTTCCTGACCATGTTTTTCAAACAGGACTACAAGAAAAAGCTGCCTTTAAACTTTGTCCTTGAATGCCAATATGTTGCTCTTAGTTAAAGGGTCTTTTGTGAGACTAGTGTGGGAGTCAGCGCTGATCAAGTCGGAGACTGAGGTAGGAGTTGCTTAAATGGTGAGCACCACAGTGTTTTATTAGTCTTTCCACACTTCACACTGTGCCAGTGGCTCTGTAAAGTTTATTCAGACTGACTTGGACAGGACTAAACCAGAATGTTACACTCTCTAGCTCTTACCACCTCTATGTGTTTAGCTTGATAGACTCAGATATTGTTTTTATTAAATGTTTTGGTATTAAATCAGTGGCTTACATCTTCATTTCAGAGCCCTTTAAATTCATTGCGGCTCTCTGCTACAGTACTCCACTAGCGTTATTTGAGCCAAGTTCCCATCCTCTCTCACTTCTGGCTCTATTGTATTTAAGTGGTCCAAATCCTGGTTCTCAGCTTCAGGCGGCCCCAGCCAATCCTAGTCCCATTACTGCAGCTCTCACTCTACACCCAGTAAGTCTCACCAACCCCCTCCTGTCAGCCCCTCTTTGCCAACTCTGGTTAATCACCCAAATCCAAAGACCCTTATTACTGCTGTAGGCTTCCCATGATCTACATGCCAGAAAGAGAGTGACAGAGAGAGGAAGAACAGAACTATTGTCCTTTCTGCACGTAATGGGTCTCTTTTTTTTCATCCAATCTGGTTTAGTAATGGCCCTGGGATCGTGGTGTGATTGTCCCTTTGAGGCATCACAACAGGGCAAAGCCTCACCCGGGTAGAAGCTCGGTCAGTCCTTGCCCGTGGTCGGGAGCTGGGATGTGAGACTGATGCATGATGGGAATGAAAGTGACAGGAAAAGAGGGGTGGCAACAGTGATTGTTAAAGCAGGATGGAGCCTGGGAGCAGGGGGGTCATGCCCTGCCTCATAGCTGAGACTGAATTTTTCCATATGGTGCCAGTGCCAGTCTCTTAGACCTCTTACTGATGGGCAGGGGATGCTTCTGATCCTGAAGGAAATGTAGCATCCATTTTCCTTGTCTCACTTTCCTATGTTTAATCAAACAAGCGAGTATGCGCTTTTGACTACTATTTAAAACTATCATAAATGCATGGTTTGGATTTTACAGTCTAAAATCTTACAAGACTTTGATTCTTTTGACTTTTTCTTAGGTTGTGTGCTTGACCTTTTGCCAAATATTCCAACGGCGATCCAGCCCAGAAAAGTTTATCCATCTGTTCTCTAAACCTCTTACCTCTTGAGGGTTGTGCAGGAGCTGGAGCTTTATTACACTAGGCAGAGATGGAGCACGCCCTGACACGTATAGAGTAGAATAGAATTCAAGCTGTGGCAGTGCTACCCCTGCACCACCTGTTACCCATTGCACAAAAATGTCTTATTTTAAACAGGGTATCAGTGGGGTCTTAAAAAGTCTTTACCCTTTAATGCCTGACACTAGAAATTATGGCCAGAAAATTCAAATTTTTTTGGGAGCTGAAATGTCCTTAAAATGTAACAAATATGATTATTTATCTTGTTTGATACATTAGATGTTTTTGGAAACTGAAAAACTACAAGAGGACATTTTTATCATTTATTGGACTGTATTCAGGTGTTTTTTTTAGTAATGTGTTGATCATATTGATTTGATAGAAGTATATAAAAGTATGTATCAAATATGATACAAAAGGCATTAAAGGGTCTGAAATCGTCTCTTAAAATCTCACAAAATGTCTTAAATACAATTTTGAAAGGTCTTAAAAATGTATTAACTTAACTTACAAATAAGTAATGTGCCATACAAATACAGATTAATTTGAAGTAATGTAAAATGTTCAGATTTCCCTTAATGTCTTTTGTACCTTTTAGGCAGTATGAAATTAAAATGGGTATTAAATTGTATTAATAACTGATTTAAAAAAAAAGGAAAAATAACTTAAATTTTGTTGAAACCTGCAGAGAAAGTGTTAAAGTTAATTTGTTGCCTGTCTTCAGAGAAAATGCAGGAAACAAAATAGTATGTCAGAGAATGAGGAAGAAAGTCTGTGTTAGCTGGTCTGAGCTTTAGTTTTTTATCAGAATTAAATGACATAATGTGATAAGATATGACCCGTAATGTAAACAAAACTTAATCACAATCCTTTGTGTTATTTCGTTACACTAACAGTTTGAACTGTATCCACAGTCTGAGTAAGTCCTCTTTATTAGATCAACCAACTTAGCTGTTATAACGTACATTAATTTTTCCCCAATGCTTAAGTAAACTAAAGGAAATAAGGCAGAACAAGTGATCCTTTTAACTGGCAACTTTTAGCTGAATGTGGGAGTGGTTATTGAGGCTGTTGAAACATGTGAGGAGCTCTCACTGCCTCTGTTTTTTTTAGTTATAATATATTAAACACACTTATCACACATGTTTTTATGCTGTCATACAGTAATTTTTTAACAATGTTGTCTCCAAGACAACAGCAGACATGTTTATCTGAAAGCCTTCAATTCACAAGGTCACTCTTGAAACCCAAACACTGCACCTGATTCAGTTTTACTTCATGCAGCATCTTCAGTTTTGAACATTTCTTTGGTATAGACTTGAGTCTTTCTTCTCTGCTGTTTCCTTTAATTTTTTTTCCCCACTGTGAACAAAGTGTGTCAAATTAACTGAACTTTTTCTTTGTATTGATAAGACAACAGTGAGTCTGTTGAAGTCTTAGATAAGAGCTGTATCCAAAGTAACGCTGTGCTGTTAAGAAATAAACCATTCCTAAGGCGTATTAGCCAGTCTGAATTAATAAGAAAATACAAATATGACTTTAATGCATTTTCCTTTTCTGGATTGTACTTCATGGCATATTTGTGTGTTTACACATCACACTGACTTTATAAGTGAGTGGATTTGAAAGGTTTTATGCTCATGCATCTGCCGAGTGCACACATTTGTCCTGTGGTCTAGTGCCGTCGCTGGCAGGGCACTGGATGTCAAAAATATTTCCAGAGCTATTGTGTCTCTGGGTCAGCCCTCCCTGCTGCTGTCATTTTAGTCTGGCAAGCAACCAGCCCGCAGGGAGAGCTCTGGTTACAGAGGTCCTTCAGCTAATGCTAAAATGAATAAACATAACCAGTTATGAGTAACTCACTGTGATAAAACTCAAAAGCCTGAGTTCATGTATTCTTTATCTCTTTGTATGTTTATTTTGATGAAATACAGTCAGAAAGCTACATGCTTATTGCAAAGGAGACAAAGATGAACAGAAGTTTACAGTCTTTGAATGCAGAGAACGTGAACATGAGAGTGTGTCGTTCAGTCTGTGCATGGAGTCAGCTTTGATCAGAAGAAAACACAAAAGACTGTCATTATCTCAGGGACACAACAGACTGTCTAAACGCCTGTTAGCTGTTTGTTGTGACTGCACATTAAATAACCATAGAGGCTGCAACACAATACAGTGGATGGTACACAACATGCTGTCGAAGTGTCAATAATGAGAGTTAATCATTCGTCTTTGAGAAATCATATTCTAAGCTCCCGACGGATGTCTTAGGGAGCTTAAAATTTAAGTCTCTATCATATGTGGAGAGCTTGGAGACGAGCAGTTGCTTCTTTGCATTGAAAGGCGTCAGTTAGGGGGTTTCCTGGGTGAGCATTTGCCTCCCTTTAGAGGATGTTACAGGTACATCCAACGAGGAGAAGACCCCAGGGTAGAGCTAGAGCTCTGTTGAGGGATTTTATATCCCACCCAGCTTGGAAAAGCCCCATGATCCCACATGAGGAGCTGGAAAAGGTTGCTGGGATGAGGGATGTCTTGGTAGACTAATGTAAAGTGGACTGCTGTCTCTGTGACCCCATGTTGGGTAAGCAGCAGAAATGGATGGAGAGATGAGATTAAGATTTTAACTAGACTAGACCATATAAAGTCCTGGTCAAAAACTCTATTTTATTCTGCCTTCATGCCTCTTCACACAACAGTTTTTCCTCTCGTTCCAACTTCCTCATTTCACTCCCATCACCATTTTCTCTCCTACCTTCATCATCAACAATAACCCCTCTCTCTGTGTTTCTGTTTTTGCTTCAGGTTAAGTCTCCAACTCTAGCAGTGCTGAACGATGACTCTGGCCGCACATTAACCTCCTCGGACTTCAACTTGAGGTGTTTGACCCCGGACCAGCGAGTGGAGGGGCTGCTGGCCATCAGCAGCCATGAGGAGCTGGACCGCTTCAACCAGGAGGCGCGGCAGGGGAACAGACACCCTGAGCTGTTTGCTCTGTACCCACCGGCAGATGAGGTGAGACGAAGAGACAGAGATGGCTCTCACAAACATGAATATAAGACTGTTCAATACTTGTTAGGTACATTTGTTACATTCAAATGATCATAAATACAAGTCTTCTTTAGTAATAATTCTTTTTCAGAATTTAAAACTTCACAACACAGGGATTTTTTTATTTTTTCATTGACTGAATACTTGAGTTTTTGTGATCAAACAAACAATCTAATGATTAATGTCGAGCTGACATGAACATATTGAACTCCTCTCTGATATTTGAACAAGAATATTACTGATAAATTACTTTATCATGAAAATAAAATGTACTTAAGTTCTAATTTGTCTATGTGTTCACTTTTAGGAGAGTTACGGTAGTGTTCAATATTAGTTTTGAGCGTACAGATACAACTCTAGTGTAACTACTTCTAAGAGGACCAAAAGATTGAACCCTCTTGATCATTTGTCATATTTATTTTGATCTTTTAAATCAAGTCTAGTTCCTTGGAATACAATAACAAGAGTCTTATTTCACCCTTAAAATGTTTTATTTTATTCATCTGGTTTGGAAATGTTCTCTGCTTTTGTTTTCTAGGATGATGCAGTGGAGATTCGACCTGTTCCTGACTGCCCCAAAGAACACACTGGAGACCGCATCCTGATCCGATGCCAGACCATCAAGTATGTCATACATTTTCATCAAACTGTAGGAGGGAGGGGGCGTTCAACAGCTGCCTTTTGTTTCTCTTAAGGTCTGACAAGGACCCAACAGTTAAACGCGTAAAAGAGTAATTATTCTAACACCCCCTTGATTTATGAAAAAGACCTTTCAACATACACCGTATTCTTTTGTCACATCTAATCATGACTTAAGAGTTTGAGTTGATAATTCAGTCAGACTTTCATTCTAGTGTGGGAGGAGAGCTGTGCAGTGGTTGTTGTTCTGCTCCAGAAATTCACCGTCCCTCCCTCTCTCTGTGGGATTCTGTCTCTGCGTCTCTTTAACTTCTATCGTTCATACACACACACAAATGGACGGAGGTTACTTCACTCTTGATTCCTCTCATTCTTCTTTTTCAACCCCTCAAAGCGCCAAATATTTTAGCTGAACTCATTTGTCAGCTCGCAGTGGTTTGGCAATTTTACCCTTTGTCCTTTGACTTGCACTGCGAACATGTCATCACTTACTGGAGGACATGTTTTTGCTTCCCAATAAAGTAAGGATTTACAGGAATAGAAGAGGAGTCGAAATTAAACAGAAAAATTTAGATAAAAGGAAAAACAGATGTTGAGTTCTGGTCAGCGTTCGTCCTTTTTGCATTACTGAACAGCTCTTTCCTTTTCTGCCTCTCCTTCTTAGGTTTGAGATTGACATAGAGCCCATGTTTGCCACAATGGCCTTGTATGACCTGAAAGAGAAGAAAAAGGTAAGAGATCTTTGCATAAAGAAGTCGGTTAAGGCTTTAATGTTGTTCAGTGGTGTTTTATTTTTATCCCAACTTGTGTGACATGTTCACTCTGACATATAAAGAACAGGAAGAAGACAAAATAACCACCTATAAGACAATAGCCTCACAGTAATTATCAGTTTGAGTGAGGATCTTTATGTTTGTGTTTGTAGAGGAGACTGTCAGAGTGTCTTGCAGAAGCTGATGGGTCTATTTTCAACCTCAGGTCCAGTTGATGTAATGTTTTGAGGATCTTTTATGTGATTAATTCCATAGCTACATCGAACTTCGTTTTTGTCTATGTAGGTCCATTTTTTAGTGAGCATGGACAGATGAAAGTCATAAATACAAGGGCAGGGAAACACAGGCAGCTCTTTTCAAAAGCACAATCCCAATCATTTCTAGTGTTATAACTCGCCAGAATCATCGTCAGGGTGTGTTTCAGTGCATTAGGGGCAAGTTTGAAGAGCGGAGTCAACACAAAAATAAATTAAAGCCATTTTACAGAAAATACCTTGTAAATTGTCAGTCACAGTGGTGGGTACAATATCTAGTTAAGGCCCTTCAATAGCCAAGATAAGACATTTCCAATAGAGAGGAATCCTGGTTACAAGTAGGGCTGTCAACCAGTAAACCTTAATCAACCAAAGCAACTGATGGCTGAATTTGAGTCCTTTTGATTACATTTTTTTTGCAATTTAATTAGGCATAGTGTTTGTTCAGGCAGGGAAGAAAAGTTAGGCTCAGTCTACAGTAGATCAGCTGATTCTAATACCAGCCCAAATCAGCTGAAAACTCAGCTAATAACCCCCCTCACAAACGTCAGAGTGGGCGATCTATTTAGATTGCCTCAGCCCGCCTTCTCTTGCTGCTTCCTCCATAACCGCTTTACAACCCGCCTCCACCCCAGCTCCTCCTGTTATGCTGTGCCTGATCTTACCAGTGTCATATTGTCACTGATGTCAACTTTGTTCCTTTCTGGAGTTTTGCTGCTGCTGCTCTCCCTGCTTTGACTTTTCATGTATGCACATGAAACAGAAAAGAAGTGTGCTCTCCACGCATGAAGGGCAGGGAGTTCTGAGAATTGAGCCATACTACCAAGTACTGTATAATTGTTGCATAAAACTGATTAATTCTCTTGATTAAAGTGGTCTTGATTGGTGAAAAAGTTTTTGAGTCTATATGAACAAAGTAAAACAATTCCTACTAATTCAAATGTACGCAGTCAGGGTGTTTTCAAAGTCAAATGTGCCATTCAGAAGTACAGTTGTGTCATTATTTTCTATCAGAGGAGCAGCAGGATGGAAGTTGTAGATGATGGCCCTAATCACATGTAAACCCACACCGTCACTGGCATTTAAATATTTGACTCAAATCTTTTCATCAGAAGTTATGACAGACTACAGTCCTATAGGCACTGTGAAGTGTGCATGTAATGCAAATTTAATGTATTGTGAAGTAACTATAGTTTTCACATCCTTCATTCATAGTGAGTGTTGTGCACTATAAATGTCCTCTTGACTCTGGGAGGTCTTGCAGTTTCCTCTCGCGGTCAGCATGACAGTGAGGGGATCAGTGTAATCTACAAGGTTTTATGTCCCATCATCACACAGATACTTATGCCCTCCGGGGGTCACCATGTTTTGGTTCTATAGCTACTAATACAGCTCTACATTTTCCCAGTCATTCATTTTGAGCCAAGGCTGCTTGTATGTTTTCTGTGGATTTACACAGCTGGGGGGAGGTTTGGGTGGTGGGGTTGGAGGGATTTAGTATAAACTTTAAAGCTTGTGTAACTCTCCGATGAGCCACCGTTCTTACCCTGACCAGCTGCTCCATCACTGATGCCTCTGGGATGGTCTGCAGGGCAATTTAATGCTTTGTTTTTGTAGAAAATTGATTTATAAACCAATCCGGGGATAACACAGACAACATATTTTGCCGGGATGTGATAGAGTGTACTTTAAATCACTGATATTTGCTCAGTTCTGCTTGATGTCAGTACATAAGAGCAGCGCAAATGTATCACATCGGCTCAGAGTGTTTCACTGAAGATGATTAATTTGAGTCTGTGTTGAACCAAAGTGTGTCCCTGTCAAGGTTACTACAACTCCTAGCAGAGACAGATCCAGACTGCTAAAGAGCCATGAAATGTGTCTTTGAGTGAAGGAGAAGCTTGCCTTGTCAGTCAGATTTGATTTTAGTGGAACTGTGGAGTATGTGCAACTGACCCATTTATCGCCGTATCCCTGATTTTCTTTTTTACTTTCTGTCTTACTCAAACTTTCTTCTGTACTCTTCTCTCGCTCCTTTTTCTCTCCTCAAGAGAGTTATATTTTATTTTCAGTCACATTTTTTTCTGCCTCTGTGTTCCCCTCCTTTGCTGTGTTCTCTGTATCATGTGGGATTTTTTTTTTTTTTGCCGCTGTGTCTGTTTTATGTGTGTGTGTTCACATCTGTGAAATCTGCAGCAGATGTTCGTATAATTCCACGCAATACTCTAGTTGCCTCTTTGGTTCATCCACAAAGATCTGGACGCAGGATTTGACCCTGCAAGTGACCTTCTTGTGATTTTAGGCTCGTGCATAAAAACATGCAGAGGTTTGAGAACAGACATGTAAAGGATTCAAGTATGTCCACATGTTAGGAGGAGTCCAGACATGCTTTTTCCAAGTTTCTTCATCCTTTTGTACAAGAGCAGGCCAGCGTAGTTTCACTGAACTGTGAGAGAAGACAAACTGGATAATTTTATAAATGGAGTAAATAGTGTTCACTCTTCTTGCAGCTTCAGATGCTACAGATGTTTTGGACCTGTGCTGGAGAACATTTATGAGAAAGTAGTACAGAAATCTTAAGATTATGCAACTTAAAGGGTTCCTGTAACTTGACTAACTTGCTAGACAATTTTCAGAGTTGGAAAACCAAGCACTGTTGAAAGCGTGTTGAAAGTGTGTTTCAGCTGGTTAGATGTATTGCATAATCTCTAAGGTCTAACAAGCAATACACTAAAAAACCCTATCTGTTCTATTTATTTGAAATATAAAGCAAATTATTCTCACTGAGGCAGCCGACTTTGATTAAAGAGACGATATTTCCATAACTCCATTATTAGTCATAAGAGGTGAACTCCTCCATAACAGTGTTTTGAAGAATTTTCACAGTTGTAAGTCTGCACAAGATCAAACAATGCAAACATTTTTATGTCTGTTAAAAGAACTCAAATTCACGAACTTTTGATTATTTGAAATATATCTGTCAAATTATTCTCACTGAGGCTTCTTCTCGGTGCGGTCAGAGAAACAGAGGGATGAGCACAATGAGAAGTTAATGGCTTTTCAGTGAATGGGATCACATGACACACACACAGGCCAGGCCACAGCAGGACATATGGCCGTGATCCTCGCCTGGGGTCATTTGAGAACAGTGAACCGTACATATGATTTTCAGGGTCTGTTTTCTTTCCAAACCAGTTCCTTTGATTCCTCCTCAAAACTTGGAAAATATTGTACCTAAAAAGGCATTGTGCATTTCATTGTACCCCTAATTTAGTCTTTGAGTTGTTGCGGATGTGCTCCTGGTTGTAAAAAAGTTACTTTGACGTATCATCTCTGTCTCTTCTGTCTCCCACCAGATATCGGAGAACTTCTACTGCGATCTGAACTCAGAGCAATTTAAAAACTTCTTAAAGCCTCACACTCCTCTTGTGGATCAGTCCACCTTGGCCAAATCAGCCATCTTCTCCATCACCTACCCCTCCCCAGATATCTACCTGGTCATCAAGGTAATAAACCAGTCTATTACCCATGAGTAGCTACATGGCTTTAGATAGTGTCTTCCTACTTCTAGTTTTATTTTAGGTACTCTGGAAATCAGTGATTTCTGCCTTTAAGAGATCAATAATATTTCTTGCTCTGTTAAATTTAAATTCTCTGAAGTCTCATGCTCTTCCTCTCTGTCTTATTAGATTGACAAGGTTCTCCAGCAGGGAGAGATCAGTGACTGTGCTGATCCTTACATGACATTAAGGGAATGTGACTCTGCAAAGGTAACACAGCAGAGCAGTCATTTGTGGCTAAACCACTGATAAGTTACAGCCTTCATCATTGACTTTACTTTGCTTGGCGTCTTTCAGAACAAGGACAAGCTTGAGAAGCTGCGCGGTCAGGCAGAGACGTTCTGCCACAGGCTGGGGCGCTATCGCATGCCCTTTGCTTGGGCGACTGTCAGTATCATGGAGGTCATCTCCACCGCTGCTATAGACAGAGATGTCACAGACTCTGACAGCTTAAAAGGAGGTTAGTCAGTTCTTCATCTTTTATGTGTATTCATATTTTGTGACGTGTGCGCACTATTGAGCCCATAAAATGCTTTGAACCAGGTAAATCCAGCAGCATCGACCGGAGAGCACAGTTTCCCAGGAGGAATTCTGAACGATACAGCACCATTGATGATCAGTTCTGTAACGTTTCTGCCTTCAAACCTGCCACCATCACTATCAGCACCATCTTCAAACAGGTTGGACGACTATGTTACCGCAATCAGACAGTGAATCTGTGAAAGAAAAAAGTTAATTCCTTGAGCTACAAGATACAGTGCTTGAGAAAGACTAGCTGGTGTTTACCGCCTGACCTCAAAATGCCATTCCATCAGGATTTAGTCATGTTTCCACCGTAAATACATGGCTATGGATAAATCCTGCTAAGTGTGAAAAGCTGACTTTCCTGCTAAACACCCTCTTTGTATATCTCTGCAGTGGTTCTGCAGCTGAGTTGTGCATGTTTTTGCCACCCTAGTATTTTAATGTATGCAATAAGTACAAACACCCTTTCATTTATCCATGTGTTTGTGTTTGTTTGTATCAGGAGGGGGACCGGTTGAGCGATGAGGACTTGCTCAAGTTTTTGTCTGAAATCAAGAAAACCTCGGCTCCACAGAGGAGAACCAAGATGATACCAGGTCATCTATTATCACCTATCAGCACTCATTCTGACATTTTATCTTAGTTTTAGTTCAAAAGGTAGTTCTGCTAGGATTTGTACCCGTCTTGCATCCAGTGGACAGGATTGATTAATTGTGAAAACTGATAATATAAGTCTTGAGCAAGCAGCCTGTTAGGCCAACATGGACCGAGACTTTGCTCAAACTAGGAAGGGAAAAACACAGAAGGAAGAAATACCAAGATGCCTTTCTGGGTGGGTGCAGCAGCTTCCTTGACAAGAAACTGAAGGAACCAGCTTCACCAGAGAAATAAGAAACAGCCTCGCACACAATGCTTCCTCAAGACAACAACATGTTACTACAAAATATAAAACCTAATGTATTTATAGCAAGTGGGGTTGAGAAGATTTGTGAATTTCGTACTAAATTCAGTGACTTCAATCTTGTTGTTTTGCTCTCAGCAAGAAAGAAACGTTAAGAATTAGATTTTTAAGATGGCTCTTTTTTTCTGACTGATTTGAAAACTTTGAATTAAAATAAGAGCCATCATGCCATTTGTTCATAATTTGGAAATTACACTTCTTTTTGTCATTTCAGGTTTCATCAAACTGGATATGTCCCCAGTCCATGACACACCAGTGGCATGTTTGTCAACTGAACTCATCCCTCTGATACCTATGGCTGAGAAGAATATCCGGCCAGTCAAAGAGGTGCTGGAGTTCCCATCCAGCGAAGTTTATGTCCCTCACAACATTTACAGGTGGGATACAGCGCTCAATTATTCATTTATCGTCATGACATTTTCCCTCCAAAACTCCCTGAAACAACGACAGGAGAAAAAAGGATTTTCTGTACTTTTCTAATCAAAGGTGACAGATTGTTAGAAAGGAAAACTGCTGATAGCACAACATGACGTAATACAAACAAGGAGCTGAAAAGCGAATGATTCACGGTTTGAGGCGTAAACAGGTTTGCTTGCTCTCACAGAGAGCTTTTTTCTCTTAAAGGCCAGAAGCAACAAAAACAGTCATGCTGTACTCATCACTCAAGAGCTGACGCTGCTCTGCGGCTTTGCTCTTTTCAATGTGGGGACTATTTTTAGGCTTTTCCTCCCAGCCTACCTGTGAAATTGCCTCACAGTGTAACAATGAGACAGCAGCGTTTGTCAGCAGAGGTTTAAATCAACTCTCCATTCTAAATTGGTTTCGCTGGTAGCGAAACAAATGTGTCTTCAAGTGTGAACAAGTCTCTTGTGTGGTAATGGCATACTGACATTCTCCCAACATTTGTTCACTGGGATCTGTATCCAGAGTTTCAGCAGAGATTACAATGTTGTATTAAAACCACAGGTTGCAGGAAATTACTGGTTGTTGGGGACTTTTCTGTGACACAACTGTCTCTTCATTACAAGAGTGAGATGTTGGTGGACAGACACTGCCATCTAGTGATAGATAATGGAACCACCTCTTAATTTATTTAAAGAGGGGGTTGTGATCATTGTTTCATGTATTAATTAAACAGGAAGTGCCCCCTGAACTCTCTCTTTCTCTTTGTCTCTGTAGGAATCTGCTCTTTGTCTACCCTCAGAGGTTGAACTTTGTCAACAGGCTTACATCAGCAAGAAACATCACCATCAAAATCCAGTTTATGAGCGGAGAGGACCCAGCTAGCTGTCTTCCTGTGAGTGTGATAGATTGATATATTTATCGGTTTAAACCTAATCCCTTCATGGCAGAGCCAGGTCTAATTCAAGCCATAAATCCTGTACAATTCACACTAGAAGAGAACTTGTTTAATAGTCTCAGTATTCCCGTCTGTCACACAATTCACAAGTGTTATTCTCCCGATAAAACCCCAAACACACAATGTGGAATTGAATTTTAAAGGTTACATCTGTAGCTTTAGGGAGGACTTGAAAGAAATCACTTTCTATTACTGAAATAACAAATAAAATGATAAATAAATCGCAACTGAATCTAAGGTTATTGTTTTTTGTTGGCATTGGTCCTGGTCTGGCAAGAGAGATTGTTTGTGCTATCAAAAAGAATACAGCAGAAAGAAAAAAGATTTATGTAACAGAGACAATTATAATCATGTTTAACCTGTCTCTGAAAACCGGTGTTGTTCCAAGTATAATGAAAATACCCAAGGTCATACACATAAACTGTAAAGCAGGGAATTAATACAGATTGTTTTTGCGCTCTTGGTTCTCTGAAATATGTTTCTGTTTTTAAAGACTACAGAGACTGGGCGACACAACAGCGGCTGTGTATTTTCTATTTATTACTTAAACCGAAAGTTAAATGAGAACAATGATTTCATAACCATTGAAGCACAAAGTATACAGAAGTAAAAAGACACACTTTTAGAGTAAAAGACAATTGTGTTAGATCAACTTAAAACTATGTGAAGTTATTTTTAGGGAAATATTATGTTTGTGTGTTTTAAGAGCCAGTTTTTGAGCCTGTTACTGTCACATCATTATGAAATAGTTATCCCTGTCAAAGCCAGTACTTAGCAGATTTTTTATTATTGAACTAAAGAAAACCTTTTTCTTTAATTTTTCTGTTTCTTGTCATTCTCAGGTCATTTTTGGGAAGTCAGGTGGCCCTGAGTTTTTATCAGAAGTCTACACCCCTGTTACCTACCACAACAAGTAAGTACACCTTCCTGAGTTACATCCTTCTGTCTTTGAAACTCTTCATCTCCATGACTCCTTTCTTACTCTCATGCCCTTTTTTAAAATCTCCCCCCTTTACTCTTATCCTCACCCATCCCTCTCTGGTCCATGTTTTTCTCTTTGTTACTCTTTTTCTCTCTCTGTCAGGTCTCCAGACTTCTATGAAGAAGTTAAGCTGGCTCTTCCAGCCCGTCTAACAGAGAGACATCACCTACTGTTCACTTTTTACCACATCAGCTGTCAGCAGAAACAGAACCAGGGCAGCTGTGAAACACTCATCGGCTACTCTGTGAGACTTTGTCCTGCATTTGTATATTTTAGACTCTGGAGTGTTACCTTGGTGACATTTGCATCAAACCTAGAGCCCATTCTCCCAGAACCATAGCAACAAGAGTGTTAGATGAAAAGCCAAAACCCATTTTCACAGCATGGAACATTTTCTGATTGTAATGTTTCCACTCTTTGTGGTCATTCTTCACCAGTGGCTGCCCATGTTGAACAATGACCAACTTCAGACGGGTCAGTTTTGTCTACCCATCGCCTTGGAGAGGCTACCTGTCAACTATTCACTGCACACGCCTGAGGTACACACATGCATTATTCACATATCAACATCATATTTGGGTAAATAAACTGGACAGATATACTGTAGTAGGACTAAAGACGGACATGTAAGACACAGAGTCTTATCTTCTATGATTTTGTTGTGCAGAAACTCCCTCTTCAGGCTCCTCCGGTCAAGTGGATGGAGAGTCACAAAGGACTTTTTAACCTAGAGATTCAGGCGGTTTCATCTGTACACACGCAGGTCAGACACAAACACACAAGCAAACTTGTCGTCTTTTTCTTTTTATTGCTAACCACTATGTCTGTCTTGGTTTGTCATGCACTAATGTAGACTAAATGTGACTGCACATACATATACTGCAAGTGTCCACTCTGCTGTAGTAAGACATCCACCTCGGGGCAAAACATGAGCCCTGTCGTCTTACATTTGTTTCTCTGTTTGTGACTATGTTATCCTTCTGCTTTTCCTTTAACCGTACTATTAAAAAAAAAAAATCCTTCTCTACCAGGATAACCACTTGGAGCGATTTTTCACCCTCTGCCACGCCCTGGAGGGAGGAGCCACATTCCCGCTGCGGGTCAGGGAGGAAAAGATTCCAGAGAACAAGCTGGAGCATGAGCTGAAACTCAGCATCATCTCCCTGTCGTCATCAAGTTTAGAGCCTCTGGTCCTCTTCCTCCATCTAGTGCTGGATAAACTCTTCACCCTCATTATGCAGCCCATGGTCATCGCAGGCCAGACAGGTACAGAGTCATTTTGAAGTCATTGCTGTTGCTGAAGGAAACACTCGACGCTTTCGGCCTTGATTTAAAGACCCATGTGGGTCCAGGAATTGCAAATTAGCTCGAGCTATAAATGCTGCAGTTTGTGGTATCAGATTACCACCTTCATACTTCTCCCTTTATTAATAAAACTTAAATAAACAAATAAATCATTCAGCAGTTCAAACATCCCTTTGCTGTTTGTCTAATAAATCAATTTGAGGTTTTTCTTTTTACAGTTTAGTTTTGTGTCACATTTACGTGGATGTTTGGCTGTTTTGTTGATCAAACAAAAATATTTCTAGATGTTATCTTTGGCTCTCTGGACTCTTGTATTTTTGACACTTGATTGACCAAACCTTTGTAGGATTATGATCCATCTTTTCACTATGTAAGACATTAACGTAATTCATCTTGCTATTTGCAGCAACTTCAGATTTGGGAATTAACATCGCAAACTTTACAAAACCCTAATTTGAAATTCTTACGATAAATTAGAAACTATAAAAGCTTTTAGCTGACAAGTGCTCACATATTTTGTTTACTCTGTATGGAAATTACTCCACCATATTCCTCCATGAAATTGACTAAATTTAAGTTGGCTTCATAAACTTTTTACTTGTTTTTTATCTTTGGATAATAAGGCTAGTTTCCTCATTACAATGAATTAATTTAGTTAGTCTGTATTAACAGGAAAACTTTTTTTTTGTTAAAACCACCCTGATAATAGATGAAATGAACTTCTTATTAGCCTTCAAATCTGCATTGAATATCAAAGCAACAAGATAAACAAACTGAGATCTTAAGATAATGACAGTCCATGGAATATTTCTCATGGGAGTAAATAAAAGTGTATGATGTGCACTTTAGGTTCGATAAAAGTAAAGTATCAGTATTTTTTACATTCCTGTTGAACAATGTGCTTTTTTAAAGTGTTGAGTTTTTTGCACAGACATGTTTTGTTCTTCACTGCCAACTTCAATTACCTCATAGATTTGACTTATCTTACTGATCGCTCAAGGCCTGTTTTGATACGCTTTAATGTTATTTAGTTTTTTCAGACTAAAGTGATTCATCTTTTTATTTTGTTGTTACATTTTGTATTTATTGATATCATAGCTGTAAAATTATATCTGTGTCTTTCAGCCAATCTGGCCCAGATCGCCTTCGAATCAGTGGTGTCAATAGTCAACAGTCTACACAACAGTCAGGAGCTGATCAGGGACCAGCAGGGCAGAAACAGCCTTTTGGCGACGTACCTTTACTGGGTGTTTCGTCTCCCTGATCCTCCCTCAGACATGCAGAATGCAGGTACTGACCAGTTCATAAATCATTTCTTGCATTTGTAACTTTTTGCCTTTTAGTTCATTATTGTGGTAACTGTAAGAGTTAAGAATTGTTGTCAATTAACCTGTGTTAAGGTTCAGCAAGTATGTTGCCTTCGGCAGAGAGCCGTTACAGCACGATGGGTCGGGCCACAGCAGCCACAGTGGGCAGTATGCTTCTTCAGTCCAGAGTCCGCAGCAGCAGCAATCCTGACATCCCTGCTCCACACTCCTCTGCTGAAGATGCTGAGGTCAAAAACATCCTAAAGGTACAGAGGGTAAACCCTGTCTCTCCACATCAAGAAAACCTGTATTTGTGCTATTTTAAAGGAAAGCTTTCAGACAACCACATATAAGTTGAGCAGTTAATGCTTAAAGAGTGATATGTATTCATCTGAAAAGTTAATAACAGAAACATTTAGTAAATGTCCCGAATTTACTGTCATTTTTGCTGATGGTTGCACACACTATGTGACTTAATGCAAACAGACTTACTGCAGAATGCAAAACAAAACATTACCACACTACATTAGATGTTGTAATTGGCCACTGGTTGCCCACTCTAATGAATGCATCAATCACAATTAATGTGTTGGAACCTTTGTGTTCTTGTCTCAGGGCCACAATAACCCAGGCAGTCGCATGTCCACATATGGAGAAGTGAGCAACCACCAGAGCTCTACAGGAAGCACCAGACCCTCCAACAGGAAGGTAAAACACTTTTATTGTGTCTAATTAGGGCTCCCACGCATTAATTTCCAGGTCTTAAAAAGTATGGAAAATGAAAAATACAGTATGGAAAAATATTTTTGTTTCCAAACTATTACCACACTTCTAAAATACTGTTTTCTAAAATAGAAAAGTAGGTATTTTTCCCAAAATAAATCTAAAAAGTAGGGTATGGAAAAGTATGGAAATTCCAACTGTGTAGGAACCCTGTGTTTTGGTGTCGCTTTTTCATGCCCCTTTCTTCTTGGTATGTTTTGATGCAGCACAGGTTCATGATTGAGTTTTAACAAGAGATAAAGTGAACTGTTGTATCAACTATTTTATTATATCATTTTCATACAAGCATTAGGATGTTTGTTTGTCATGCAACACCTGACTGTGACCTAAATCTCATATATATTTAGGTTTAGTTTGGTTAGTTTATTTGTACCACTAGGAAGATTTAAATTGAGTAAGTCTGCATCCTTATATACACCCAGTCAACAGCACAAGACTGAGTATGCAGAGATTTTTCTAAATTTGCTGACTGACAAAGATGATTTAGATAGATAGGATAGATAAATAAATACTTTATTAATCACCACTAGGGGAAATTCAGTTGTCATTCAGTAGCAAGTACGGATGTAAGAAAGACAATAAATATATATCAAAATACTCTAAAAGCCCACAACTTAAACCCCAAAATATTTAAATAAACAATGATCATTATTTAAACGAATAGCAGCAGGAATGAAGGATCTCCTAAAGCACTCCGTCCTACACCGTACGGAGAGGAGACGCTCAGATCTGTTGACATCAGGGTGACATTATAGGCTCAGTCTTGTTGCTTTGTTATTCTTTTTTAGTCTAGATAGTTCTACCTATAGTGTTAAAACTGAGTTCAACTGTAAGATAACAGTGTATATTCAACCGTAACATTCGTAGTGGGTAGAGTAAGTTGTGAAAAAACAACCAAAGTTTGACATTAAATACAGCATCAAAGCAGTTAAACTTTCAGTTTAATCTCTGTAGCTGCTCATAAAAGCTAGGCTGAAATTAAATTGGAGTGTTAATTATAAAACATTGCAACCCACTCAGAGTTTTGCTGCCTTAATTTAATGCTTGATTTATAAATCAAGGTTTGAACTATCAGTACCCCTGATAACCAGTAGGTGGGAGTGTTACACTGAAGACACAGATATTCTGCTTTATTCAGAGCTCAGCCAATATGTCTAGATTGATTTAAAGTGAAGGTCAGAGTATTATTACATGCATGACTTGATGAAACACTCTTCAGACTCTTTCCTAACAAATGGAGGATTTATCTCACAGCTGTTTGTGTTGTTTTTCTTTGCAGCAGTTTCATGAGGAGTTGGCTCTTCAGATGGTCGTCAGCACCGGGGTCTGCAGAGAGAATGCGTACAAATATGCCTGGTTCTTCTTTGAGCTGCTGGTCAGTGTGTGTGTGTGTGTGTGTGTTTGAAATAATAACAAGGGTGTTTACTTTTTGATTGGCAGTGGAAAAATGAAAATTGAGAACTGCTTTGGGTTTATATTGTACATGGAAGTAGAAATAAAAACAGTACATGACCTTGTCGACAAGCACTGTTAAAAGGATAAATGATTGTTTTGTTGTTTGATGGATAAAACTGCATTTTCAAGTCAATCTAGTCTGTAATTTAGAAAGCTTGTTGACAATTTATCACCCTTTTGGAGTTTTTGAAGTGAATCATCACTCATTTTCACCCAAATCCTTCCAGTAAATCTCAATTATTTATGTTTCTCCCCTTCAACACCTCACTTACGGGTGCTAATTTTAATATGGCATCTCATAAGGCATCCTTCATAGCTCAGATGAAAGCTGATGTGATATAGAGGGATGATAAACACTTTTTTACATCAGCTCCTCTCCTCGTCTGTCAGGTTTCTTGACAGATTATTGACTCACATCCATATTCATCACTCTCACTTTCAATTGACATTCATTACTGCGGTATCTACTCTTGCTTTTATCTGATTTTCATTTGTTTTGCGTGTCCGTGCGTGTTTTGTCGTGTGACGGCTTTAACAGGTGAAAAGCATGGCTCAGCATGTGTCTCATCTGGACAAGCACAGCGTCCCTCGAAGGAGCCGCTTCTCGGATCGATTTAAGGATGACATCACCACCATTGTCTCTGTGGTTACAGCTGAGATTGGGACAATCCTTGTCAAGCAACATAAGGTAATGTGACCTTAACTATAACTTAGGCTCATCCTTTACCCTACACTGTGTTTTTGTGCCTCCTTTTCTCCTTGTTTTGGTGCAGCAGAGGCAGTTTCATCCTGAGCGTACATGTTGTCAGTGTCCTCCAAACAACAGGGGAGATGGAGGTGCTAATTATATTTGCCTCTGCGGTATCAAAAGCTCAGCTTTCACGGCTATTTGCTTGGCAAGATCCACTCAGTGTGGCTTACTGATTGCTCTTTGTTGGTTGTTGTTGTTTTAGGAGGTAGAGCAAGCAGAGAAAGTCAACATCAGTCTGGCCTTCTTCCTCTACGACCTGCTGTCTCTCATGGACCGGGGATTTGTCTTTCAGCTGGTGAAAAACTACTGCAACCAGGTATAAATACTTTAAACAACACATGTAATGAGCCTGATTAAAATTAGGACTGTTTTAAGACATTTCAAGAGATAACTGTGATGTTTCTTTATTTTTGGTCCTCTACTTCTGTCTAGATGTCAGCTAAGAGTGTGTCACTGCCAACACTGATCAGCATGCGTCTGGAGTTTCTGCGAATCTTGTGCAGTCATGAGCACTACCTCAACTTGAGCCTCTTCTTCAGCAGCCCTGCCTCTGCTCCAGCCTCACCATGTCCCTCCATCTCCTCACAGGTCTGCACAATCATCTGTCAAATTTTTCTATGTATTTGTGTTTATATTTCAGGCATGAGGGTGATTTTTGTCTTCATTGTTGATAAGTACTTTATTCTATTATTTGGCCATTTAAGGGCAGCACAGGGAAACACAAATACAGCAACTGCTACCTCAGAAAGAACAACAAATATGGAGATCAAAATGTATAAAAAGAGTTATTTAAGACGTGCTTTTCCTCACACTGAGATAAAAATCACCCTTTGGCTCATAACCCTCTCATTCAATCTGTCATGCTTTCATTTCATATTCTTATTCAGAGTTCAGGCTCCATCGGTTACCAGGAGCAGCAGAGGATCTTGGCGCTGTTTGAGCTTTCTCAGGAGTTCAAGCAGCAGCACTACCTCACTGGCCTCCTGCTGACAGAGCTCAGTGCTGCTCTGGACATGGAGTCAGAGGGGTATGGAAACACAAACACCTTCAAATTGTTACTCATACAGTATGATGTTGTTCTAAAAAAGCAATCTTTTAAGTTTCCCACATTGCTGATAAAAAAAGTCAAACTTGGACTTGAAATATGAAGGCCTGCCAATAGTGTTTTGCAAGCACATACTGAAAGTGTTCTAGCTCAGTGTTCAGTTCTCACAGATTACAATGAGCTAGTTTGCATTCATAGTTCATTTTGAAAAACTTTGAACTGAGTTCATGGTGCAAAATACAATCCTGTTATTGACTGATCACTTCAGGAATTTAAATTGCTTTGTTTTTTTTTTTGTTTTTTTTTCACAGCGGAAAGGTCCAGAGAAAGGCCATCAATGCAATTTACAGCCTTCTGTGTTCCCATGATCTTGACCATCGCTGTATCAAAACAGAGGTCAGAGCCAAGATGGCGACTCTCTACCTCCCCCTCGTAGGGATAATCATCGACTCCACCAACTATCTCGACTTCACTGGTAATTCTACAAACCCACTCACAGCCACCCTGAAATGTAAACTGTGTATGCCCCTTTTGAAAAATAGCATATAAAGTCCTTTAAATTGTGGTCATTTATCTCCTAGACATATACAGCCCATATAGACTGTAAATCAAGACAGAATGAACTCATCAACAGAATACCGGGCCTGAACTTTATATTTTTGACATTTTTGCAAACTTAAAAGAAAAAAAAAAACGGAAAATGTACTCACCCTCGAAGGCGGTACAAGAAGGACTTTCCAAAAACAATAAATAGACTTATAAAAATAACCCCACTGAATCATCACTGGAAGCCCTGACTAGATGTGTGATCCTGACCCTTCCCCCTGCCTGTGCTCGCTCTGATTTTGCTGCTTTGTTTAACTACTTGCCCCCCAGCCTTAACAGAGCACATTGTAAAAGGATGGGATGTGCCAGGTACCAGACTGCGGGTGCTAATTTATGAGGAAGCTACTGGTGTCATCAAACTTGGAAAGAGCTAAATCTGAATGCATTGTTAGCAGACTTATGTTCTGCCCTAAGCTTTTGATTTTATGTTTCACTTGTGACCTGTGAGTGAGTTCTATTGTATTTGCATAATGGACTCAGAGGAGGCTGATCTTTTGCATGAACTAATGAATATATAACAATTACTAACAGTTTGTTTTGATCAAATTGTATTTAATCTACCTGTTTCCTTTTATATCTTTGTAATGTGTCCTGTGATATACTTTCTGGAGTGTGAGGAGTAGTCTGTTGTTCGACACTTTGAAGTGCTGAAAAGTTTTTTTTATCTTTCTTAATTTTAACTCTGTGCGCTCTCACTCTTTCCTCTTCAATTTTACATACCTGACCGCTTATTTCTCTGTAGTTTCTGACACACGCGGCGGGAAAAACAAGACAGGTGGACCCGAGGATGACCTTGAAAATGTCCCACCCATCAATCAGTCTGTTGCCATGGCAATCGCCGGGAATCCCTTCAACACGCTGGGACGGAATGTTCTTGTTTCCATGGCATCAATGGTAAAATTCTGGTATTATTACTTAACATTAAGATTGTATCGAACCGCAGTCGGTTTGATTGTTTTAAAAAGTTCAAAAGTGCATTAGTGTGTGTGTTTGTGGTTGTGTGTGTGTGTGTGTGTGTGTGTGTGTGTGTGTGTGTGTGTGAAAGTATTCTGCCTCCTAACAGGTGAGCTGCACTGAGGCAGATTGATTAGCTGTCAGTGCCACACACACACTTCATCCATCCTGAAAAATCACACCCACACATACACTCATCCACACACACATGTCTGTTGGAGATGGTTTATGGGTAGGAATTGCCATCATAAGTGAACAGGGCCGTCCCTCCCTGACAAACAGATCCATCAAGTGTAGCTACAGCAACAACACAAGCAACATTAAAAAAACTCAACACTGCCTTTCTATTCCTCCTTTTTTCGCTTCTTTCCAGGAGATGAATCAGTTCCTTCTCTGTTGTAACATGAAATACTGTTGTGGAAAAACTGATTTTTACAGAGCTGAGCCGTCACCTGGTATCCATCACAGATCCAAACATGGCTGCCAGAACGCTTGCTCTTCATTTTCATGCTGATCCCCTTCAAACAATGTTTGACTCTTTTACTCATAGCAACAGACATGGTTTTTCATATGGAGCATATTTTACAAATAAACAAGTAATGGCTTGGATTACATCCTACAAATTTTTGGAGGCTTGGTTCTGGTGAGCTTCACTCAGTCCTGCTGTGAAACAGAGAGCTGGAAACCAGGTTCTAGGTGGGACACTCAGAGCACTCAGAGGTTAATGGGTACATTTATCAAAGCTGCCACACAGTGAAGCAGCAGTAGCTCTCTGAAGTAGTGATTCATCATCACAGAAATGAAGGTGAATTAATCTGCAATAGATTTAACACCTATTAAAATGGGCTGGGGAACATACTTCAGTTAAGCAGGTTTGGTGCCCGTTGTTTGTGGTTTACTGAAGCTTGTGATGATACAGTTCGTTCATTTGATACACTAGTTGTTTATTCGGGGTAACTCAATGACCAGAGCAGCACACTGCAGCAGTGTTTGATAGTCAAATGGGCTCTTGTTGGTTCAGATTTCTTTTTCAGAATGTTATTATTGCACAAGGGTAGATGCATGTATGAAAAGGGGGAGGGTCTCTTATGCTGCATTAAACCATATCTCATTGCACATTCACCTCCTTCCTCTCTCCTCCTCTCAGCAAAGTAAATCCATAGCCGCCCTGGCAGCAGACACCAGTCGCCACCTGTTGGTGTGTTTCCTGTGGGTGATGAAGAACGCTGACAGGAGTTTGATTCAGCGCTGGACCGTAGACATGCCTCCCTCACAGCTAAACAAGCTGCTGGAGCTCCTTACTATCTGTGTGTCCTGTTTTGAGTACCGGGTCAGTTTGCACATTATTACGCTAGTTTTCTTATCAGTGCAGTCATTTCAATTCTGTATCTGTTGTTTATATAAATACAGATGGAGACGTATGCGTTTGTATGTTTTTATTCTGCAGCTGCATTTATCAGATAAAACCTAGGGATAAAGGCAGAGCATTTTGTATGTAATATTAAAACTGTTTGTTGTTTATTTTTGTGAATTTTTGTTGGTGTGTTTGTAGGGCAAGCAAAGCAGTGACAAAGTGAGCACCCAGGCCTTACAAAAATCCCAGCAGGCTAAGCTGCAACTGGAAGAAGCCCTGCTGAGAGGGATGGGCGCCCGAGGGGAAATGATGAAACGGGTTGGAGGTATTGGAGGTAGTGTATGTCCCTGCACTTTAACAGCTGCCTTTTATTTGCAAGATTTTTCTACTGTCAGATTAATATTAGAGTTTTCTGCAAATGTAAAAATTTTTAACATGACCTATCCCCCAAACTAGCGAACACTCACTTTTTTAAAAATGTATCAGTATCTTAGAAGTGTGCAGTCAGCAAGTCGCTGTAAGAACCAATTTCATATCACCAAGTCTTTGCTGTGGCACTTCAGTGTTCCTGCAATAGTCAGGAGTTTCATGCATCCTATATGTGCTCTATGTGCAGTTTTTAAACATGATTGTACTCCATCGTGTATTGACTCCAAGTAGGTAAATGAGAAAATGCAGCTCTTCCTTTTCCCATTTTTTGAAAAACAAATAAATCAATTTTGACACAGATTACACTTGTGTCCTTTAAATCTCAATTTCTCTCTTTGCACTATGATAATTTGCCTCATTTGTTTCTGCATATGTTTCATTTCTGTGGTTTTGTACTTTTTGTGCACTGAAATAAATGCATTTTTGTAAGATTTTCAATATTTACTCCTCACAGGAATGGACAGGACTATGGGCCAGAGGGAAAACCTACGATGGAGGAAAGACCTCACTCAGTGGAGACAGACCAACGAAAGACAGGATAAGTAAGTCGCAAGTATTTGTTTAGTCTTTTGTCTGTTACTTTGCCTCTCTTCTGTTATTTTGATTTTTTGGTGTCGTTTTTATTCCACATCCACTCTGTCTCAGGACTAAAGCCGAGTTGGACCAGGAAGCTCTGATCAGTGGTAACTTAGCCACAGAGGCTAACCTTATTGTGCTGGACCTGCTGGAAACCATCGTGCAGGTGAGAACACTGACCTCAAAACTATTGCTCCATCTTAAGACAAACTATGTCTAAAATGTTCAAAAATTGAAAATCTAGAACGCAGCCCTTTTTAGAAATTGGACATTTTGTACTGGATGCACTACATTGTAATTTGTGTAAGGGAACATGTAAAATAGCGACGTTCTAAAGCAACTCATCTCCTCATCATTTAAACGGACAATTAATTCCGACTGAGTCACTAGTCTAAAATGACATTTTGTACTTTATTTGAAAACACTCTGAACTGGGCTCAATTTATCTAACATGACTAAATAAAGAATCAATTAGTCTGTTGCTGAACATACCTGTGCTAGTCATGTGTTTCTTCCATGCATTCATGGGGTTATAGGAATCTGTCATCTGTGCTTGTTTATATGCTGGTAGTAGAGCATTACAGGATTGTGGCAGTAGCTGTTAAAAAGTCTGCACTACAGCTCGGATAAGACTTTGACTGGCATGTAAAACTCACAATAATGAAAACCTCATTAATCAATCGATAATACTGAGTGAGGGTGATGACGTTTTATCACGCAGTCGACTTAAGGTGCACATTATTTTTCAAAATATGAGATAAATTTGTGATCTTTTAGAAAGTTTCTGAAAATCAATCCATTCCTTCACACAGTCAGTTTTGGAAATTGAATATGGTCTCAGACCCAGCTTGTATCTTTTAAATGATGGATTGGACCTTCAGTTGGACTGGAAAAAATGCAGGATATTAGTCATAATCACATATTTTGCTAAGAAATGTATACTTTTACTTTGGAAAGAAGATTTCCTGTCACCTTGTAAGTTCTTCGTGGATCAAATGTCAGCGTTTTTACCACTGGAAAAATTAACCTTGGAAAAATACAATTGTGGTCATATCTTTCAAGATTTTTGGTCTCCATTATTTTCAAAATTGGAGAATTTCTTTAAGAGGGACCACAGATTATTTGTAATTAAGTAGGTATGCATTTGTATATTTGCATGCTTATGAATATCTTCATACATAGCCTATATGTATACACATTTGGATAGAGTTTGTTGATGTCATAGTTGTTTTTACTGTTATTTATGTTTATTTACTTATTTTTCTTATTTTGTTTCTCTTTAATGTCCTTGTCTGATTCTGTACTCTTCATTTATTTATTTATATGTACCTATATTTTTTTTCTTTCTGTTCTGTATCCCCATGGGAATAATGGGGAGGGTAGGAAATAATGTGGTGTAATACCAGTCTGAAGCATCTGCAGGTGTAACCATTTCTGTAATTTCTCATCCCTCACCCATTCAGGCACTGCCATTGGCTGACTGTAAGGACAGCGTGGTTGGTGGGGTGTTGAAGGTGTTACTCCACTCTCTCACCTGCAACCAGAGCACCACTTTCCTCTCTCACACCTTCAGCACACTCAGGGCTCTTGTTGTCAAGGTACTTTCAAACTGATGTGTATGTGAGCTTTGTGAAAATTCAGTAGACGATATGTGTGGGCGGATGTGTCCTTTTATAAACAGACTCTATCTGAGTCTATATTAAATGTTCTCATTAGCCTGTGGGGGTAGCAAACTGCTGATCCAAGAGTAGTTGTATAAATGTGTGTACGTCTAAGTATATCACTGCGTGTGTCTGAATTTATGTGTCTGTATGTGTGTGTGTGTGTGCGTTTTTTATGTAGTTTGGGGACTTGCTGTTTGAGGAGGAGGCAGAACAGTGTGCAGACCTGTGCCAGAAGGTGCTCCAGTACTGCAGCAGTCCTGTCGACGAGAACAGGAGCCAAGCCTGTGCTACCCTCTACCTCATCATGAGATACAGCTACAGCAATGCCAGCGTAAGCATACAGTAACATCACACACCAAATCTTCTGTATACGCTCCGAAAGGTTGCAACCCCCATAGATTTACCCACAGAAAGCAAATGTCAGGCGTGTGTTACCTTTCTGTCAGATAAAACCTTATCTAACATCGGAGCCTGCTGCAGAAATTGCATTGATGTCAGGCTAAATTGGATTTAAGTGCACATGAGAGCACCGAATTGCTTATGATGCATGTTCTCATGAACACACACACAGAAGCAGGATGTCACACACATCTTATCCCATCTTCTCTCCACTTTTCCTCTCCCGCTCAGCTTTAATGTCTTTTCCATGTCTATTTTGAGCGTGCCGCAGAAACTTTCTGCTGAAGGATGTGTCTCTGAGAAGAGAGCAGAGAGATATGTCACTGTCTGCTTCGCCATGTTCCTACCCCTCTTTAACTAATGACAGCCAGACCTCTATGTGTGTGTGTGTCTTTGTGTGTGTGTGTGAGAGAGAGAGAGAGAGAGAAAGAGAGAGAGAGCATGCATTTAGGTACATACAGTATGTGTGAGTGTGCGAGTGTATGCGCCTAAAGGGCAGAGAGGAGAAGAGGGAGGGAATGCAGAAAGGAGGAAATCAGGATGAAGATAGAGGAGTGTTTTTGCCAGAGGTAAAGCAGTGATGGAGGGATGAGATTTAAAAGAGACAGATCAGAAGGGAGGGAGGTTTAGGATAGAGTTTCTTCTTTCAGTTTCTCTGCTAGTTCGATAAGTGCTTCTGCAGCCGATATTTCCTGTGTTTACAGTCTGTACACTTTAATGAAAGTCAGACACCAGCCCGTGCAGCAGCGCACTCACACACACACACACACACACACACACACACACACACACACACACACACACACACACACACACACTCTTACAGTGTCTCCAGTCAGAGAGCACTTCCATCTGCGTGTCCCAGCGTTTTGTTTGTTTATTCGCTGTACACAGAGGAAGCTGTGATCTGAATTAGCGTAGCGGGCCTGTGACTCATTCATACAGAACTTACTCTCTACCTCTTCTTTTGTTTATGTTTTTATCCCTCCGTCCACCCGCGCCTTAGCCTTTGTGTGTCATACACGCATTTTTCCTCTCCATCGTTTACTTTCATTTTAGATTGTGGTAAAAAAAATAAAATAAAAAAAAAGGAAAAAAAAAAACTGCCTTTGTCCTCTGACATTGAACCATCTACAAAACAAGAAAACTGATACCTGTGGTTGGAACAAATCCACTGAAGTCATTGAAAGGTTGGCTAGAAGGCAAGAGGAAAAGGGGCAGCAGAGGAAGAAAGGAGAGAGAGAGAAAGTCAAGGAGGGTTATGTGTTGACTTAGGCAATCATTTAGGCTACTTTTTAGTACACACACACTCACACACGTACGCCCTGAGTTAGAGGGCAGTGATGGGTGGTTAGGCCCTGGCTCCATGCTCAGTTGAACAGAATGGGGCCGTAGAGATGATCCATGGGTGATTATGTCTCTGCTAATGGGAGATCATTTCCCGCTTAGCTGGTCATGCCGGAGATAGATGGGACATCACAAATACACCAGCACACACACTCTTTCTCTCTCTCACTCACTCACTCACTCACTCACACACACACACACATGCACACACACACACACAGTCCTCGCTGCAGAGGATGGAGGAGTGTTTGTCAGGCCTGTTATCTTTGACAGGTAGTGTGAAGGATGAAGTGAAAAGGATGGGAGGGGGTAAGGGACAAAAACGGAGATGAATAAACACAAAGACAGCTTACCAATATTAGCATTGCCCATTATCTTTTTTCAATTGTAAAATAACACAGCTGCTGCGGCTCCATGTATTTAGAACAAACAAAAGAAGAAGAGGCAAAGTTTTTTTTTCTTTTTTTCCCAGAGACAACACTGTATGTAGCAGCCATTTGTCTGAAAAATCTAAATCAAATTTAAAGCAGACATAATCAAACATTATCAAAGGGCCACTGATGCACTGTGTGGATGTAGTGTACGAAGACATTGTATTCATCACATTGTTTGTGCAAGAGTTCTGTGTTTTTAGAGATTTATTTTCCAAAACCAATCAAGCAAACAAAAAGAACCAAGAGGACCATAGCTCCTCCTGCTTCTCTTGTGCTAGTTTTAAACCATAGACCCACTCAGGTGCATGTTGATCCACTGTCTGCCTGCCTACAGTAAGTTACTATAGGTACCAACATTGTTACCTAAATGGCCAAGAACCAAATCTTAACATGTTTAGAGTTATAACCAAACGGATTGCAAAAGAAACTATTTCAAATAATCTAGTGTAAATTAAGTAGATTGAATATAATCTAATAGTTCCCATACATGGTTTGAGTTGGTGATTTTCATTACACTATAGATCCAACACAGTGTGAGTTGTCTGTCTCTCTATGTGGCCCTGCAATTGACTGGCGACCAATTCAGGGTGTACCCCGCCTCTTGCCCGATGACAGCTGGGATAGACTCCAGCCCACCCGCGACCTCGGAAGGGATAAGCGATATAGAAGATGAATGAATATAGGTCCAACACTTTGATGAGCACAACCAAATGCCATTTACAACTATTTGTTAATTTCATTCTAAATGAAATTTATTTTATCATTTTGTTATGCTCTTTAATGAACAGAGGTATAAAAAAAAAAAGAGTGGTTATTTTAATTGTAACAAAACAACATTTTTATAATGAAAATCAATGAGTGAATCAATGAATATTAAGATGTCAAAAATCTTGTGATATTGCCATGAGGTTGTAAGCCCAACCCAGATCCACCTTCTGTCTGTGTTTACACAGGCTGAGGGTTAATAAATCAGCATTTTTAACATGGTGCCTTACACAGTTTGAATTTCCATACTTTTCCATACTCTACTTTTTAGAGTTATTTTTGGAAATACCTACTTTTCTATTGTAGAAAACAGTATTTTATAACCGTGATAATATAGCCTGTTAACATAAATATTTTTCCATATATACTTTATTTTTCATTTACCATACTTTTTAAGACCTGGAAATTGATCAAATTACTTCCATACTTTCCACACTTGCGTAGGAACCTTGTTACATCATTGAGCTTCAATACGTCTCTCCAGAAACCAGCAGCCGACTTTACAGAGACTGTGCCTGAGTTTTATGCAGCATGCAAATGTCAGTAGATTTTTTGCATGCATGCAGAAATGCTAATGCTTTAACACCAACCCACATGGAGCATCCTGTCTGGATTTACACCATGGATTATGGTTGCTTGCACAGACTTATCAAAGATTTGTTTTTAGTCCTTATCACAAGTAATCTGTCAATCCCTTGCCTTAAGTTATATTATATGCCATATCTCATGACTCTCATGAATTATTGACCAGACAGAGTGCTTTGGGGATTACGCGCTGAAATTTGGCGCTCTCTAATAAAAAGCCTCTTCTGTCAAAGTTAATAAAAGCTCTGGGAATATTGTCATTTTTATGGTAGCTAGGCGTTTTAAAAGTAAGTGTAGTTAGAAAGGCACAGACGAGGGATTGTTCAAATCATTGCAAGCTGCATTTGTCCGTTAAATGTTAGTTTGCTTTGTCTAGCCATTTTAATTGATCACTTTTTACTCAAGCTGACAGGCAAATGAAAGTTCTTTATATTTGAGGTTAATTGAGTGATGAGATCCTACTTTACTGTGCTGCATCAGAGAAAAAAGGAATGATCCTTATTGCATGATGAATGCTGCTGAAATTACAGTCTCTGGTATTCACTGTGGCTCTCTCTGTCATGATCAGAATTTCTCCAGAGTGAAGATGCAAGTCACCATGTCTCTGGCCTCGCTCGTGGGTAAATCATCAGACTTCCAGGAGGAGTACTTACGGCGTTCTCTCCGCACCATCCTGGCCTACGCTGAAGAGGACACTGAGATGCAGAGCACTCAGCTGCCCTCACAGGTATACAGCCGCACACAAACTGCATCATATGGCTGATGGTAAAAGCATTCACAGCTCATGCCTGCCTGTGTTTGTATTTTCAGGTGGATGAACTTCTCAGAAACCTTAACAGTATTTTATCAGACACCGTGAAAATGAGAGAGTTCCAGGAAGATCCAGAGATGCTCATGGACCTCATGTACAGGTTAGATACACACACACACAAAAAAAAAATCTGTATGTAAAGTCTGCCTTAAAGTCTTTTTCTGTCTGTCTCTGAATATAATCCTGCTCTCCTCTCTCTCATCATCCTGTGGCTCCTCTCTATGTTGTGCTGCTGGTTCCTATTTCACTGTGGTCTGGGCTGTTTTGCCTCTATTTGCTGCCCTCACTATGGAAACCATGTGGTAGCAGTTTAGTCTTCTGATCTGGCTTTGTGTATATGCAAATGCAAACAGCGTGTGTCTGTAGAATCATGTGTAAGAACATGAAGGGGAAACACTGAGACAGAGAGAGCATACATGTGCTGTGTGTTGATTTAGGCTCTTTAGCTCAACTTGCTCTAATGTCACCTACACGTGTCATTTATCACGCACCTTTCTGTTTGGGGTTTCGATCCTCAGTGTTTGACAGCTTCACAGAGCGACCTGTGGGCTTTTTATTCTCACCTAGACTCACCTCGAGCTCCCAAACACACAGGTCATTGATGCACACACATTTGGCCTCCAGATGCTTGAATACATTTGTAAGTATAGTATACTGATTCACCTACTGAAAACATAAATTCATTCAGACTGTGTTGAATTTATCCCCATGTTGTCATGCTCATGGTTATTCATACGGTCCAAGGACAGGAAAACATTTTCCATATTCAGAGTTTCCAGAAAAACAGGGTTTGAGAATTGAATTGTATGTGGGTGACTTATGTATATTTGCCGCATTAGGCCTGCTAACTGTGTGGTCGAAGCTTTTGCTGTGACAGCACCCTAACACTGGAACAGTTTCCCCCTCTACTTTTACTCAACAGAAATTTAAAACCACTTTTAAATCCACTTCCAGGATGCATTTTTGCAGACTTGTTTTTTGATAACCACATTTTTATAATGAGCCAACTTTACGATCCTTTTTGTTGCTTTTCTCGATGTCAACCATTGTCTCTTTAACTTGTTTCTGCTTAAATAGTGTGCTTGCCTTTTGCTAAGTGTGCAAACTTTTATTGGTTGTCTCTTTTAACTTTTTTGAAAGGTCTTTGTGCTTCTGCCCCACAAATAAATAAAATAAACACCAAAAGTAGTATGATAGACATAATAATCACAGTAAATCTGGCACGGACCATGACATGCAATGCACTACTATTATGTACAAAAAGGATTAGGGCCACATGAGGAGAAAAAAAAAATATTGGAAGGAGATTAAAGAAGAAATTTCAAGACTAAAGTCGATATTTCGAGATTTAAAATAATAAAAATTAAACCATAAAGTCAAAATTTTGAGATTAAAAATTGAAATTTTGAGATTAAGGTCAAAATTGCAACATTTAAAAATATCAGTTATGTCCATATAGTCGAAATTTCGAAATTAAAAAATGTTGTAAATAATGTTAAAATTTCAAGATTAAAATCTCAGAATTTTGACTTTATTATGAAAATTCGATTTTTTTAATCTTGAAATTTCGACTTTAATGTCAAATTTTGCCGTTTCATCACGACTTTTTAAAATTTCGACTTTAATCTCGAAATAGAAATTTTAAAAAAAATCTCTACTTGTGGCCCTAATCCTCTTTCGTATGAATGCAGAAAAGCATGAGAGTGGAAGAAATTAATAAAAACATCAAAGGATGATTGATTATGAATAGCCAGAAGAATCCCTAATTAGTCTCAAGTTCAAGTTCAAGTCTCAAGTTTGGTAAGTCTGTCGTTAAAGCTACTGTAAAGAGTATCTTGTTGGTTAGGAAACTGACTGAAATGTATATTGATGCCTTGTTATGAGCTACAAGCGCAAATGAAACCATCAGCATTTGGACTGGGTATTTCCAAAAATGTAATTTCTTGCACCTTAAATCGCTGCAGCAGAGTAGGTGATAGACAAAGAGATTTCTAAACCACTGCAGAAACACCCTTCGTAAAAAAGATGCATACATGCTTAACTGTGAAGTATACAACATGTTTGACTGTTGAAGAAAGATGTGTTACAATTTTGTGTCAGAAACCACAACCCACAAATGTACAGGACATAATCAGCCATGTCTGCAGGGGGTGCAAATATCAACACAAACACAAACACAAAGTTCCTCACAGGAGCTTTTTAAAAGGTTATTCATGTAAATAGTTTAAAAATACTTGCAGTTTTTTTCTCGAGCCCCTTGCCAAAGCATATTGGCATAGAGATAATGCAGTCATCAAATTCATCATTTCTCTGGAAAACTTGCTCGACAGTTCTCTACTTGGGTGGCTTTGAAACTCAGATACCCCTGTGTGCAACCTTGGTGCTTTTGTGAAGTTTGGCACATTTCTCAGCCTCCTGTTCATGATGTATTTATTGTCTCAAAGCGTTTCTCTGCTGCTCTCTCAGCCAAGTCTCTCCTCATAAATGGATCTCAATCTCAATGAGATGTTTACATGGTTGAATAAGGGAAAGAAAAACCGAAAAAAACAACAATCGCCTTGTTTTCTTCTTCTCCTTAGGATCGCGAAAGGCTACCAGACGTCTCCTGACCTTCGACTGACCTGGCTGCAGAACATGGCAGAGAAACATAACAACCGGAAGTGCTACACTGAGTCAGCCATGTGTCTGGTCCACGCTGCTGCCCTTGTGGCCGAGTATCTCAGCATGCTTGAAGATCACAAGTACCTGCCTGTTGGCAGCGTCACCTTTCAGGTAGAGAACACAAACACAGATATGCACACCATATTAGCGTGAAACTGATAATAAACACATGCTCAGAAAGGGAAACGGAGCATTGATAGACACACAGAATAACCGTTCATTGTTTGTTGTGACTGCTGGTTGTTTAGTTGAACTGAGGCAAACCCTTTGCTGCACAATACACAACATCACACATCTCCCCATGGACTATTTCCAAATTTGGTTGCGTGTGTCCAGAGGAGGGAGCTGTGCACTCATAACGTCAACATATAAATATGGTCCCCTGATAGCACAGCTTAACTCACAGCCTTTGAAGACGAAGGAGGGGAAAAGGCAAATGTGCTCCTGCGGGATCATATGAACAGACTGTTCCCTTGAGCTGAGCACAAACAGTTAGCACAGTTACTATGACGACAGTGTTATCGATGAGCTGTGTCGCTTACAGGACCTCTGTGGTGCTTTGGTACAGGACCCTTTAACCTGCAGCAGTTGGCAGGTCATTGATTGGATGGCCATTAAATTAGTTCCACTTCCCACTGTAGGACATCTCCTTTTAAAGTCAGCCTTCAGATTGATTATCTGATTAAGAGGACTAATTGATCGATTAGCTGACTTTTTCTCCTCAGAACATCTCTCCCAATGTGCTGGAAGAGTCCGCGGTGTCAGATGACATCCTGTCCCCTGACGAAGACGGGGTGTGTTCAGGACGCTACTTCACAGAGAGCGGCCTGGTGGGACTGCTGGAGCAGGCGGCTGAGCTGTTCAGCAATGTGAGACAATGACGCTGCAGTGAGATTTGAGTGTTTTGTGTCAGCACAGGAACATGTAGATACATCCCAGATTCATACCAGACAATCGTTTATCCAAAATAGTTAGTTTTCTTATTACAAGTTCAAATGACAGCATACACTAAAAGTAGTTTGATTTTCTCAGCCCTCTGCATATATTGCATCATTTTTTATATATATAAGTTAGTAATAAATAACAAATGAGTGCTGTTTTGAATGAGTTAAGAAAAAACATTTTCTTTGATGCCTATCTCTGTAATGCATTATAAGTATATGTATGATGTGTTATAATCATGTTATAGCACTGTATAACTATAGTTATAAACATTCATAAATTATCATAATGCTTTATAACAACAATCATAACACATTATAAAGCATTTTATCATGACTTACAAGGTCAGGTATTATAATGTGTTATAACTGTTAACAACTCACTGACAATGCCCACATAGATAATGCATTATACATATATTTATGATGTGTTATAATTTGCTTATAAACTTGTATAACTATCATCATTAACACTTGTTATCATAAGGCCTATAACAATAAGCATAAAATATTATAATACCTGACCTTGTAAGTCATGATAAAATGACTTTATAATGTGTTATGATTATTGCTATAAAGCATTATGATCATTTATGAGTGTTTATAACTATAGTTACACAGTGCTATAACGTGATTATAACACATTATACATATATTTATAATGCGTTATAGAGATAGGCTTCAAGTTAAGTGTTACTGATAATTGTTTTATAGATCACTCTGAATTGTCAAAAAAAATAGATCATGTGTCATTTTGTTTGAATTTAGGGGATTTTAAATGAAAGTGTTTGATTTTCTAATCAGCTGTGATGACTGTTTTCTCAGGGCGGTCTGTACGAGGCAGTGAACGAGGTCTACAAGATTATCGTTCCGATCCTAGAAGCTCACAGGGATTTCAGAAAACTGGCATCAACTCACGACAAGCTACAGAGAGCATTTGATAACATCATTCAGAAGGTAGAGGAAAACTGTGTAATAAAGTATTAGCCGCTTCATTTATTCAATTAAGATTAAAATGGTAATAAGAAAGAAAATACTTGATGATGTTAAAAGATCTTTTGCAGATTGTAAAAGCAATTAAAAAAGATTATTCCACAGGCAAAAATAATCTACTCTTTTTAAATGCCTTTTTGTACCTGAGAGGCTGGATAGATGCCATTATTGTATATTTCTGAAGGCCTCACAGCCATATCAAATTTCAGAATCATCTCTTTAAAGTACTCTTAACAATAAGATCCCATAAAAGGCAATGAAAATAAGGAGAAACAATATGTCCCTCTGACTAGGGACTAATATAAAATCTTCTCTCTGGTTCCCTCCAGGGCCACAAGAGGATGTTTGGAACCTATTTCCGGGTGGGTTTTTATGGGGCCAAGTTCGGTGACCTGGATGGACGGGAATTCATTTACAAGGAGCCGGGGATCACGCATCTGCCTGAGATATCACATAGGCTGGAGGTACAAGAGGGGGGGAGGAGTGTTTGTGTGAGCTCTCTTATGCATGCTGTGAATTAAAGTGTGAATGGCTGTGGAGGGAGAGGGGGAGATTGTGCCTCACTGGACTGCTGGAATCTGGTAATGACTAAGAGACTTTGCTGAGCATAAGGACTCAGGACAGGACTCAAAATCATCTCCTTGTAGTGAGTTGAAAAAGAGGTTAGAAAACTTTGCATGCATTTATACAAAGACTATCATGTAGAGCAATACAGCGTTACACGTACCATCCATTCATACTTGCTGGGATCTTTTCACATGCTGCTCTTCAATGAATCACATTAAAAGACGGCAAACCTAGACTAGATTTTCATTCAAATGATGCCTCTTGATGATCTATCCCTGTCGGTATCCTGCAAAGTTTGGCAGGAGGAGCTTTAGATAATTTTTCTGTTTTCCTAATATTTTGTAATCATGCCTGACCCTGGAGGAGGGTTAGAAAAAAGATGTACTCTTTTTGTTGAAGTATTGTTCAGACAGGAAGACTCAACAACCCAAAGCTTTTTAAAAAACTTTTTAACCAGAAAGTTTCTTTATTTCCTAGAACTTCTACAGTCAGTGTTTTGGAGATGACACTTTAATGATGATCAAGGATTCTACACCAGTCAACCGGAAACAGCTGAACCCCAACAAGGTGTGTCTTTGTGTCTGTTGCTTCTCGATTTTTGTCTGTATGTGAATTAACAGATATTAAAGATCCTGTGAAGAATTTTAGCCGGTTATGAAACAGACTGAAATTAACTGGGATACTGTTGTATGACTGAAAATTCTTGGTTGTAATTTTAATGCCTGAAACCACAATGAGAGGGAGAGGTTTCTGACTAAAATGTGTTCGATGCACTTAAGAAGGCTTGGTCCAGAGAGGGTGTCAGAAAAAACTCAAACACAAAATTCCTTACAGGAGCTTTAATGATGACTATGGTCAGACTGTAAACTTAACATCACCTGATGCTGATGTTATGATACGAAAAGCATTTGCTACAGAGGAAAATGCTGATTGACACAAATGTTTGATTTGCTCGGTAGCAAATATCCAAAATCTACCCATTAACAGTGAACGACTCCCCCTCTTTAGGCATATATCCAGATCACTTATGTGGAGCCCTACTTTGATGACTATGAGATGAAAGACCGGTTGACAAACTTTGAGAAAAACTTCAACCTGCGGCGCTTCATGTACACCACACCTTTCACCAAGAGCGGGCGACCCCGGGGTGAACTCAACGAGCAGTACAAGAGGAAGACCATCCTCACCACCATGCACGCCTTCCCCTACGTCAAAACTCGCATCAATGTCATCCAGAAAGAGGAGGTGATGATCAACTCAGGATGTTTGGTGTTTAGCAGCTCTGAAGTCAGTTTTACAGCATGATCTCTGTTTTTGAAATTCCAGTTTGACCTGACTCCCATTGAAGTGGCCATAGAGGACATGCAGAAGAAGACTAGAGAGCTAGCCGTGGCCACACATAGAGAACAACCTGATGCTAAGATGTTGCAGATGTTGCTGCAAGGCTCTGTGGGAGCTACTGTTAACCAGGTACAAACATCATCATGAATGGAGATGTTTCTCCTATTTTACACTGCTGCCTGTCTGCCTCTATTATAGCTAAAATGATCACTTACCGGTACTTCGTGTTTAGCAAAATGATGGCTGTCGTCCCAAAGTGATTGCTCCTTTATTTCACGCAGCCCTTTTTGTTCTCCCTGAGTGTTCCTTCTTAATGTGTGGGGGGAAATAAAGCAGAATAATTTACCCCTATTTATCTTATCACATTTACAGTTCCCATTGTAGTCGCAGAGTGCAGGTGGGAGACATGACAGCGATCATACATCAAAGCCCTCGCCCCATCCACAAGCCTAATCCTGCTTTTGCTTTTCCCCTGATTTAGTTAAAACGTCAATTCATGGCCCCCTTTTCCTTTCATGTCTCCGCTGCACGCCATGCTGAACCGGAGGTCTCTTTGATCTGATAGCTTCCAGGTCCTGCCAGCATGGTGAATGTTGGAGTAATGATGAAGCTGGCTACAGTGTCTCCACTCTCTCCTCCCCCCTCTGCGCTTTATCTTCCAGCGTCTAATCTGACAGGTCCCTCGCTCCATCCTGATGGTTGTATACATAACACTAATGCTCAACAGCTCCGTAAACATGTAAGTCTTGACTGTAATCAGTACAGAAGACTGGCTTTCTGTGTGTGGGTCCGCAGCTCTAACCGAGGACTGAGGCCCAGGCCCTAATGCGTTTATGATGCTAATCAAAGCTGTTTAACTGTGCCTGTCGTGATACAGGCGCTGAGCAAGCGTGCTGTGGTTTTATGATGAATATAAGTTAGGATAACAAGATCTCATACTGGGCAAATGGAAGCCAAATGGTTAATGCAGTGACATTAGCCATGCAGGATGCTAATCATGGCCCCGTCTTGGATCTGATATCTTCCTCATGTTCTAGTTCAGCATGTGGGCCCTCAGCTGCATTATGCATCCGCTTTAGAAGTCATTTCCCCCTGTCTGAATGAAGGGCATTCTCATCCCTCCTTTGTTCCTACACTCTCAAACGCTTCCCCTCTTACCTCCTCTCTTTCCTTCCTCCGCCTTGGTTTTGCTCTCTCTTTCTTTGTGTCTCTAACTTTGTCTCTTTGTTGTTGTCCCTTTCCTCCTCTCTCCGCCCCCTGTTCTAGGGCCCATTGGAGGTGGCCCAGGTCTTCCTGAATGAGATCCCAGCGGACCCCAAGCTCTTCCGTCACCACAATAAACTGCGCCTGTGTTTCAAAGAGTTTATAATGAGGTAAGATATGATCAAAGAAACACCGCCCAGTGACAACGCACTGCACCAAAGTCAGGCAAAAAAATGCGCAACAACTCTGCAAAAATCCAGGAAAACAAGAACTTTTTATGATGAGCAATTTAAGTGAAGTATGTTCCTCATCTTTTTACCTTGAATTTTCATTTCTGCTGTCTTGTTATTATTACCAGTGGCTAAGGTTGGCTCAGTGGGAAGAAATATTAAAAAAGAACATCAAAGAGAAAATTCATGACCTTCTTTTCTTCAGATATGTCTTTGAAGGATTGAGAAACTTTTCCAGAGTGTTCTCTGTCAACATTAATACTGCTGCCAGTAAAAGAAAATAAAAGAGTAGCACCGACAATTGTGACTGATGGAGACTTATATCCAGCCATTAAAGCTAAGTGTCAGTCAGAAGGTAGCATTGGAGGTGACAAACTTCTCCAAATTGCACAAAAGATAACCGTCAAAGAAACTTAACAGGTGCAGTAATGACAGTAAAAGATAATAGAACCCATCGAGAGTTGATTTTATTTCATTGCCCAAATGAAAGTGAAATATATATATTCATTGCTACACTCTTTTTCTTCTAAAATGAAAAAGGTTTATTGTTCCCAAGAGCCTCATTTTATGTTGAATGTTTCAAATATAAATTAAACCACTCTATTCACAGCACACAGCCGGAGGATATGCAGATTTTGTGCAGCAGATGTGTCATTTGTGCAGGTGTGCATGTGTGTCTATATGCGTTTGCGTCAGTCTCGAGGGCATGTGCCATTTGTTACAGAAAGGCGATTTTCATTTACTAGCCCTCACGTCACACTCCATCAGCCGTGATTGCTGTTAGCAAGTTGGCAAATATTTACTGTAATTTTAGAAAGGTTTATTTTTTATACTTAATCCCAAAAAGCTGGCACTCTAGCCTGTTCATGTCAGTCTTCTTTAATGTGGTGTTCCAAGGAAATATGCTCAACAAAACCCAGGTCCTTCTTTTTTTTGATGATCTATTTTCTTCATACTTGCTTGACATTGTTTGGGCCTCAGCAAACATCTTGGCAAATCAAATCTGTAACTATTTCAAATAATTCGGTGTAGCTGTAGACTCTTTATGGTGACTAGATGCACTTTGATGTTTACTCTGGGTCTGTGTGGTGAAACTGCATCAACAAAGCCTGTGTTTATTCTTTTATTATTCTACTATATCTTTGTGCAAATTGAAATTTTACATATTTTATTCCCTACTCTTTGCATAGTTTTTCCTTCATATGAGACAGAACCTTGTTCACTCTTAAAAGGTTAGGAATCCCAGGAAACAGAGGTTTGCAGGAGTCCTAACGTAATGTTCTGTCAGGGTTATGAAGCGATGAAATGGCACCAAAATGGAACTTGTCTGGATGAAAACAAACATTTATTCTAGAGAGCCCTTAACTACTCTAAACTTAAGAGGATAATCTACCAACTTCTCAAAAATTGTCAATTAGACTTGTGTAGACTTAGGTCCATATAGCAATTTGTGGAATGTAACTGACAGCAACACTTTACTTGACGCGTATCTCTGTAACACATTATAAATATATGTATAATGCGTTATAATCACGTTATAAGACTGTATAACTATAGTTATAAACACTCATAAATGATCATAATGCTTCACAACAATGATCATAACACATTATAAAGCATTTTATCATGACTTACAAGGTCAGGTATTATAATTTGTTATAACTGTTGACAACTCACTGACAATGCCCACATAGATTATGTATTATACATATATTTATGATGTGTTATAATTTGCTTATAAACTTGTATAACTATCATTTTAAGCACTTATTAATAATCATAAGGCTTTATAACAATAAGCATAACACATTATAATACTTGACCTTGTAAGTCATGATAAAATGCTTTATAATGTGTTATGATTATTGCCTGAAAGCATCATGATCATTTATGAGTGTTTATAACAGTAGTTATACAGTGTTATAACGTGATTATAACGCATTATACATATATTCATAATGCGTTATAGAGATGGGCGTCAAGTAAAGTGTTACCTAACTGACAATATCTTGAGATTTAGAGCACTAGAAAACAGTCTCTGAGTAAGAAAACCTTGACATTATAGACACTTATCAGTGGAATTAATTTGAAATATTTTAAACTAAGCAGTCAAGTATGGTGCAACACATCATAGCTTAAGAAACTCTTTTACTTTCATAAACTGTAATAGGCATTGGCTGGGGTATTTATTGTATTCTGTTACACAACAGCAGTTTCCATATTACCCTCATTAAATGCTGGGAGATAAAGTCAGACATGTGTTTGCAATAATCCCAGTCTCCATGATTTCCTGCAGACTGCTCTGTTAGTTGGTCATTATACATGCCATGATAGAGACCCCATACCCGCCCTATGCACCTCACCCAGGCCTGATGCTTTTCTTGTCTTTCATGAAACATATTTTTTGACTCCAACACACAAGAGAGAAAAAAAATTCTGTTAGTTATTTAATAGTTGGCATTTTACCTCCACTGCTCATTTATCATGTTTCGAAATAGCCCCGTGGGTCATTTACAGTTTATTCTTGTAGAAAGATCTAAAAGGCATATGGGAGTTCCTTACAGTAAAGCACATTGTTAACTCATGCAGATTTCTGGCATGTAAAGGAGTCCAATTTATGTCAAGTAGTCACAGGTTATCATTAGCATGAAACAGTCCAGTGCTTGTCTGAGGACTTGGGAATAGAGAGGGGATTACTGCCGCATTGGTTTGCATAGAACCGCAGTTGGAGCTGTTCTTAAGTTTGAGGTAATTGCATCATAAAGGTCAAGAAGTGTATTACACTCTTGATCCATCTCATGCAATTTCATATGAGTAAGTGTGTTCCTCTGCTCTCTGTTGTGTAGGTGTGGGGAGGCAGTTGAGAAGAACAAGCACCTCATTACATTGGACCAGAAAGAGTACCAGCAGGAGCTGAAGAAGAACTACAATAGACTGAGGGAGAGCCTGAGGCCCATGCTGGAGAGGAAGATCCCTGAGCTGTATAAACCCATCATCAGGCCCAGGCTGGAGAACAGGTAAACAGAGCCAACAAACAAAACAGCCAATTCTGTTTTGACAAGAGAGTCTGGAGGGATAAAAACACATCATTGATCTTTTCATCACATTGTATGATTGCTGAACCTAAAGGAAAGTGAGAGCAAATGGAATCGAGCAGAGATCCATTCACACTGTGTGTGTCCCCTCCACCAATATTGATAGCTGAACCACAGCCACAGTACACAGACTGAGTGTTGAAGCTATGCTTTATGTTTTCCGAGAGACTATTTTCTCACTAAGTGCTTTTATTAGCAACTAGGATAATCTTGAATCAATCTTGCATTAAAGCCTTTTTTGCAAGATTGAGCGTGTGTTTTAGGGGAATACTGTCTGTCATATTTAGGACCCCCAAAATGTAAATCTAGCTTTTAAACAAAACCCAAAAGAGGACAGGTGTTAGCAACAACAGAACATTATAAATTCCTGTGAAGGGGAATGAAAGTAAAAATAATGAACTGTTCAAAGAAGAATTCCTGAATAAGTTTCAAGTTTGCAACCAAGATGACACAATGACATACTGCACGACACAAATGTAAGTGCGACTGCTACAGAAGGGCACATGGAGTTTGCGGACCTCTCTATGGGATAGTTTTCAGTCTTAAACTGACTTAACAAACAGCATTTTCACAAGCTTTGTTTGTTTCTCTATTGGTTTGTGGAGCGTCTTGTTTGTTTCATCACACTGCATGTTTCATTTTGCCAACCATAGAGCTATCATAACCAGATAAATAAAAACCAGAGCTTATTCATCAGCTGGATCAAAATTCTCTCTGAATTTAATGGGCTCTTCTGTGCTCATGCCGCTCCTTTCACCATGCAATTCAAGCCGCTGTTTTCACCATATCTTTTGAACTGAAAACATAACCCCCATTGTTGCTAATTTATCCAAGTATAATCGACTGTCAAGTTAAACTGCCTGGATCTATTAATAGAAGATTGATACCAGTTCAAAATGCAATGAACTTAAAATTCAACACCACAGCCAATCATAACATAACCATATCTAACAACTGGACCTTTGTGAAACATCATATCTAAATATGGTAGAAAAGATGCTTCTGGAAAGATCTTAGATCTTGGCATTAATGACTAGGATAGCATTTTAAATTTAGTATTTAAGGTTAAACAAAGCATTTAATGAACTCAAAATTACTATTATTTATGCCTTTGTCATTGAAACATTCACCTTACACATCTTGTTCGCGCTACCTGCATCGCCTATCATAGACAATTTAATTACTCCTCGTGTCCTGTTTTTCTTTTCTGCTTTCATCTTACGTCTTCTCTCTCTCACAGGGATTCCTTCAAACGTTTAAGTTTTCGCAGAACCCCAGAAGAAAACTCCTGAGGTGCCACAGCTTGTCAGAGAAAGAGAGAGAGAGCGAGAGCTACGGGGAGTAAAGGGAGTCTGACAACTGAGAAAGGACAAAAAGAAGATAAAAGAGCACAAAAAACAAGGAAGGGACATGCTGATGATTCCCCTACACTCTTCTGCACTGGAGAAGCACAATGTGTCCATAATGACAGACAGTTTCTCAACAGTCCAGCAGTGGTTATTAATGTCTGCTTTTAGCACACTTTTATGATTTTGTGGTTGTTTGTTACAGGAGGCAAAGCAGACTGAACATGTACATTAGAAGGGTGGGAATCCTAAGGCGAGTGTAGCTTTCAGAGCATTTCACTGTAAAATCTTCAGATGCTTTAGCTCTGTTGATTTCCTTTTTTTCTGAATAACTTCAAGTCCTAATAATGCTGCAGTCATTTCCTCTGGGTTGGTCAAGAAGGAATCCTTCTAAAATTCCTGCTGTCCCAGGGACTGTGTGTGTGTGCCAATAATGCTTGTGACCAGTCTGTATGAGTGTAAATGTGTGAATGGATGTTTACTTTGGTAATGTTTGAGATAGAAGGTATTGGTGCCATACTGAAGTCACTTTGTACTCAGTGATGATAAATAATTCTGTTATGTGCTAACAGGCCTTTGAAATTCTTACTGTGTGTGACATGTGCTGGTTAGAATAACAAGTGTATTGATTGATTTGTGCACTGGAAAAGTGGACAAAATATAATTTGTAGAGGCCACTCTTGTCTTATTTTTGCTGGGAAAATAAAGCCTAGCTGTGTAGCTAATCAAAGACTTTAACTTATTAAGTGTTATTTCAAAGGAGGCCATTAGACTTATCTAAGGCTCTAAATTACACATATCTTACTTGTAATTCCACATTTTGTACATATTAGAGGTATTGCATCAAATAGTAATGAAGAGGTTTACAAAGGTATGAAAAATTATTTTGCATTTTATTTTGTTGAAAGGTATTTTTAGAGAAATTATAGCAATAATAATTACTAGTGAAACTACTATTCAGTAGGCAGATTCCAGAGTGTACTGAGACAGTCTCACTATCAGTTTCCAGTAGTTCCAGTACAGGTCTGCAAATAGTCTGCATACAGTATAGTAGTGCCAAATTAATTTATGTAGGAGCCAAACTAAAAATGCAATACTTTGAAAATTCCTTGCTGTGTGAATTATGTTTACTCCATTTTTAAAACACATTCCAGTGGGAAAACGTATGACTGCTCTGCAGTATTATATTGTAATAACCTTATTTTGATAGACATTCATGACAGCACTTTTCCCAGTTGTCAAGTTGCAGCTTATACTGTATTTCAATAAATGTGATTTGTGTTTCAAAAACGGATGTTCTTTTTGTCTACCTTGATAATACTCATTCGATCATGTTATGCTCTGTTTCAAGGTACATCCCCTATTTATGAACTGTTTGATATTTTAATGGCTGAATTAGATGAAAGGCTGACAACAATGTGTATTATTAAAAAAGTACACCTGCTTTTGAAACACAATGCAATGGGCTATAAGCTGGTGTTACTCAACATATGTGGCTTTTATCCACTGGAGACTGCATTTATGTTCATCGGTCAGTTTGTGTTATCATTTTTGTGTTTTATCAAATGTGGAGTTCTAACATGTCATAGCCTACCGCTGAAACCCTGAAACATGAAAACACCAATAAAACCTATGCACATTTGTCATTGTTGTGTCTTAATACCGCTTAACTCTGAATTTACAAAACCTATATGCTTTGTCAGTTGATCGCTTGAATAGACCTATGGCTACTTCTAAGCAAATGTTTTTTTAAGCAATTTATTAACATTTTTTCATCAACAGTATACAACTACAATTTTACCCAAACCTGCCCCCCTCCCAGAACAAACCCCATAGGCCAACTCTTACCAAAATCCCTACAAATAATAGTAATAGTAAATAAAATTAAAAAAATAAATAAAAAACAAATAATAATAACAATAACAATTATTATTATATGAAAGAAAATATAAATAAAATAAATTAAAGTATAAAGATAATAATAATAATATTCATAATAATAATAATAATAATAATAATTAATAGATTAAATGAATAAATAAAAAAAATATATAAATTCCATAGACAATGGAAAAGCACAGCTACTTCCATGTGCTACAACCATATAGTTATCTGTGAGAAGTTATCCAGATATATTTTAAAGTCATTCCAGCATTTGTCAAAAAGATGGGGTTTCTTCTTCATATTGGACATACTTTTTTCAGAGGCCATGTATGATGCAACATCCATAAGCCACACTGAGGCAGTAGGTGGGTTTTGATTTTACTTCTACGCAAATGTTTAAAGAAATTAAAATTTAAACTCATTGTTGCTCTTTTCAGTGGTAGCACGGTTGAATTCTGACTAATAAGTCACTGAAATGGCATCAGTCTTAAGTAAATGTGATTTCTACACGGGATTTGTCCCCCATAAAACATTCAATTAATTGGTAAATCAACTAAAAAGTGAGAACAAATAGGCGGGAAGAACACGGCGGAAAAACTACAATGTGCTGATGTCGCCTTGCTGTGACGTCATAGCACTGCGACTTGGACATGTCCTGTAGAGGTAAGGTAGTTTTCATTCGGAGCGGCAGACACGCGTGGCAGACAGAGGGGGTCTATGCATGTGTCTCTGCGTTTATGTTAATCTACAGTGACACTTGTGACTTCGATTGTGCTGTTTCAGTTGTCTTAAATGACAGAGAACAGACGTAAGAACTCATTTTAAACCTGAATTATTTTCTGTCATATTGTCAATTTCCCTCACGGTACCGCAAAAGTTAACGTGAACTTTTGGTAAAGAAGGATATCCCACTGAACTATCATTTGATTTGAAACTATGAGCACAAGTTTGTGGAGTTAATCAGCGGAACTATATAATAGGGGAGACTGGGGTCTGTTGCCTCATGGTTGATTAACACAATGCTTGTGAACCGTATTTCCCCACACTCACCATATCTTGGGAGGTCATGCACAGAGTTGGAAACTCAGTGTAATTGTGGTGTGTCAGGTCCAGAGCTGTATAAACCTTAATATTTTGACTGACTGTGATTGCAGCTCCCTGTAGTGATGGGCACGGCACTTCTTTTCGATGTAGTGAATCTCTATAATCAGTTCACTAAAAAGATTAATTCACCAAATCACCGAATCATTTAGCGGGAGAAGAGACGAGAGTGTTTGGCAGTGTTGCTTTAGCATACAGGTTTGTAAAAATGAACTTGTATATAAGTCATGATGTTTTAAGTGTACTGTCCTATGGTATGCTATTTGTCCGGTCTGCTCGGTGAATTGGGCTCAGTGAGTGATTCGTTCACTAAACCTTTAGAAGAATTCACACTGAACATGCACCGTTCCCTCGCAAACTGCTGCAATGATAGGGTGCTGCGGGTTTAATGGGCTACTTGCTACATGCTGTGTCCTATTGTATGCAAGTTGTTGTGGTGGCAATTTAGCAGTGAAAAAAATAAAAATAAATAAAAAGGTAGTTTTGTCTGACAAAAATGATTCCAGAGAGTGTAGTTCAACACGTGATTCGCTCACCAAGTGATTCAGGCATCGGTGCATTTGGTTTGCCGGCTGCTGGCCTGGAAATGCTGTTTCTCACTTCAGTTGAGCTGAAGTGAGAAACAAATGAATCACTAGAGGAAGTGATTTGGTTCAGTACGTTTACTCAAAAGATTCGGTTCTTTGGAATGAATCATTTGTGAATGATACAATACTATCATCCTAAATGTTTTTAATAAAATATGCATTCTGGACGTTTCACACACAAATTTCCCCTCAAATTTATAGTTAGATCAATGAACAAAACCCTCTTCGCATGAACTACAAGCTAACTTTTACTTTGAAATCATTTATTAAATTCAAAAAATAAGGGAAAGCTATACCTTCAAAATAAAAGCTGTAATGGCTGGTTAAAAACCCACTTGCCACATAGGTACTTGTTCCTTTTTACAAGCCTGACAACCCCTCCTACACGTAAACCTTTGTTGCAGCATTTTTCAAGCATTTTTCTTGTAGTTCTGTGTTCTTTGAATTTGTTGTTATGTAATGTTCTAATATTTGCAATGCATAGGAGCATAATGTAAGCTGCAGCAGGTCATGCAGGTTGAGATGTGGATGTTTTGAATGGGATATGTAACTGTTCTGCCTTTTTCCGTTGCCACAGATATTATATACTGTTTTTGTGTGCTCATGATTTTATGAACATACTCCTGGACTGAAAAACCTCCGAGGATTTCCTGTTGTAAATGGTAATTACATCTTGGTCCAGCCAAGTCTGCGTCATGCCCCAAGAAGGCTAAATGGAAGGATTGTGACAACAGAAACTCTCACATAGAGCAAGAGAGCTTAAACGTAGGCTGATGCGGACACTTAGCTGTTACTGACATTGGGCTAAGTTGTTTTGCTAGCACAGCTTTATTAACAGAGATTAAAATGGGATCATGAAACTGTTTTCCTGTTTGTGAAACATTGGTGAAATGTGTGAACAGATGGAGTCTGACTCTTAAGTTTGTATGAGTGAAGCATACAGATCCAGACAGGCTTGGCCTCATCACTTAGAGCTGGCAGAGCACTTTCATAACCGAGTGAAGTGCCTCAGCCTACAGAGGGCTATAGAATATCAACTAAAGCTGTGTTTAAAATGAAGATTGCATAAACATAAACTCTGTCAACTGTCCTGTTCGTTTCGATTGAAAGGGATGTGCTCAAAGAGGAAAAAGACTACATTAATTAAGCTTTGTTTATTTATTTATTTTTTGCTGTCTTCAAGGTTAAGCTGTCCTATATGCCATTTGTTGTTATGGAGCCTGTCAAGGACCTTGACCCGGACACAGATGATCTTCCACTTCGAGCCAATACTAACCACATTCTTGTCAGACATTATGTGCTGGATCTGTCTATTCATTTCGATGAGCAGGTGATCGGTGGCAGTGTTGTTGTGTTCCTGGATCCCTGCTCAGGATATAAAACCAAGACTGAAGATAACCCTGGACTTGATGAGATAGCTGGGTCCAACGATGCTAGGGGGAGTCAAGAGTTAAAAGTGTGTGGATTTAGGGATGTTGATGCAATGAAAGATGGTGGAAAAGAACTTTTGGAGGTGACAACAACGGCGGAGAAGATGCCAGGTGCTGAATGCTCAAGTACACAGTGGGAAACCAGTAGTGGCTTTACCTTGATCCTGGACTGCTGTGACCTTGATATCTCAAAAGTGGAAGAACTGGATGTCACCAAAGTGTTGACAATGTCTGATCTCTCATCAGAGGTCACGTCAGAGGAGCTAGGGGCCAGTTCTTTGAACCCATCATCAGCATTTATTCAAAATCTCATCTCCATGCCCTCTTGCCAATGGAAGAAGAGACATCAGCTGTTCTTGTCGTGCAGCCGTGCCCCTGCTGCTCAAGATGGCAGCTCACTGTGTTTCTATACAGACCGATGGAGTCTTCAAGTGAGGAAGAGGGGTGTTACATCACCTCAGGAGTTCCCTCGTGCCCTCAGGATCTGGTACAAAACAAGGCCATCAGGAGGCTCTGTGAGGTGGACCAAAGATCAGAATTCCAGGTTTGTCTAAGGATGAGAACAAATCAATCAGTCTGAAAAAAAAAATGTTGTTTTGTAGCACACTCAGACCCTTGATAAATTATTTTAAATCTGGGAACAGGCAGCACATCTGCACTGATCTCTGCCACTTGAATTGCAGTGTAATAGTCTGAGCCTGCCATGTTAGAATGAGATAATTCTCATCCAGGAACTCACAAAAACATGATGCTAGCTATTACACTCCGCTGTGTGTGTGTGTGTGTGTGTGTGTGTGTGTGTGTGTGTTCTATGGCTGAGTGTGTGTTTTTGTGTGTATGCTTTTGGTTAATCCTTTGAGCATTGAATTTTCAAAGTTGGAAACTTTCCATGAGAATTAATGGGAATATATAGGAATTAACGAGAACTAATGAGAATTAACGGGAATTAATGGGAATAAATCAGAAATTTACAAAATTGAAGGTAGGTCCTCAACAGGGAACTTAAATAAAGTTGGGGAAAATATATTGCAGCAAAATCTTGGCTAAAACAACTGTATTTAATGCAAGTACACTCCTCAATCACATACACAGATGATTTCTTGAACCCTGGAGGCCACACTTTTGAGCCCAGAGCACAACATATTTGAGCCTACAGACTATATGAAGTCAAGTAAGTTTTGATAATATTATAGGGTAAATATATGTGATCAATAATAGTATTAATGTTTAACTTGCAAAAATTTTTAAAAAGATGCTAAATGTAAGCTTTTTTTCATTTCATTGACCATTTAAGGGGCTAGCTTATTATGATGGTGGAAGCTACCTCGACTGTGATGCTGTTTTTTTCTGACTCCTTCAAGACGGTTTTCTGAAACCATACAGTAATTTATACATCAATTGTCAAATATTTTGAAGACCATTGCAGTTGTTTAGCCAACTATATTTCTGTTCATGCCATTGCATTATTGTTTTTACCAGCTTTCTTGTTATTTCCTTGTTATTTTATTCTACAGAAAAATGCCACGTTCACCGTGTGATGCGTGGAAGCATTTCACACAAGCTACTATTGAAGGAGAAATATTTACATTTATGTTTGGATATGATACAGTTTGAATTCCCTTTAAATTCCCATAATACCAATGGAAAGTTTCCAATTTTGAATATTTCCAAAATTCCCAGACTTAACTTCTCATGGGAAGTGTCTGGAAATTTACCGGAAATTTTCTGCCCCTTTGCAACCTTATAATTTACCATTGTTTACCCTTCCAGGGTGTGTGTTTACACTGCAGGTTCTCCCATCAACAACCGAGCCCTCTTCCCCTGCCAGGAGCCGCCTGTTGCCATGTCAACATGGCAGGCAACAGTAAGGGCCCCCAGTGAGTGTGTGGTTTTGATGAGTGGAGAGGAGCCGGCTGTACCTATTGTGGATGAGGACCCACGTAAGCTGCTTTTCAACAAACTCTTCTGTAAAAACCTTGAGAAGTCAAATTGATTTTACAAAGTTATTCTCAAATGGAAAATATCTAATTCATGAACTTTAACTCCATTCAGCATGTAACATCTACAGTCTCAGACTTTTGGTTGGAAAATGATCAAATGATTTTGCAGAATGATGACAGAAGTTAAGTTACAAGTAAAATTTGATATGGTTTACCTCAACACATTAAAACCCAAAGAAATCTGTAATTGTATCCAAGTTATGTTGCCTTTCATTTGGTAATTTGACATGAAAAACATGATATTATGTCTCTTAGTGAGTGAGGAGAAGAAAAGAATTAAAATGATGTAATGGGAATAAACTTTCTGTTAACTGTTAAGCAAGCCTGAATACAACAATACCTCACCCATGATCATGTTTTTGTGAGCTGCATTAACATCACATCACATCAGGACACTGTTAACCTGCTTCTGTTTATATTCTTCACACTGAGAGACTCCCAGAGGCATACATTTAAAGGTATTAGTAATTCAGAATATCTTAATTTGGGCATCTCGCTTGCCTTGTAAACAAACATTTCAAACAGGACTTTTTGTCTTTTAGGCAGGTATTCCTCATCTTGTCTCCAGGAAGAAGGAGTTGATTTGTCAGTACATTGATTCCAAAACTGGGGGTGCGACTCCCAAAAAAGGGGGCACAGCAATCTTTTGTAAAAAGACTGAAACTAAATGTCACAATTACAAAGATAAGTCCGATCTCACCCTCTGCTTCATCTCCAACAGCAGTGGGCCACCCATACTTACAAAACTCTCAAAATACTGGCATTTGCTTGCAAAGGATATGTGTGTATTTTAGTGTGTATATGTTTAAATATCAACATGTATGGTAACCTATAGAAAAAGTATGGAAACCACCTTGTTGGAACATTAAAATGGAGAGTGAGGTAAATAAAATGGCAGTGCGGTCCAAATGATTCTTCCAATCCCCTCTCTTCGTACTTTCTGACTGCTATCTGGACTCTTTTCCACTCTCTTACCTTTGACATTTTCATCCTTGCTCTTTTCCCCTCTCATTACTCTTTGCAGGCTTTACAGTTTGGAATTACTACGTCAATATGCCCATGCCTGCCTCCACATTCACTTTGGCAGTGGGCCACTGGTGCCAAGTCACAGAAGAAACTTATCCATCTATGGAAAGTGGGGTGACGGACAGGGTGGATTGTGGCAAGACGTCCAAACTTGAGGCTCGAGATGGGGGCTTGACTGAAGCGGAGCGTTTGTCTGGACTTGGAAGCTCCACCAGTGAAGTAGTAAAAGATTCTCGACTCCAGACCGACAGGTATTATATTATTTTTCCTGTATTATTTTCTTCTTGTAAGTCCTTCTCCCCCTCCCCAGACGGTTATTAACCCAAGTCTGGCCTTTAGACATTCCATGGTCAAACTTTCCTTTTGCCATACCAAAAATGGTGCAGGTGAAGTTAGGGTGATGGATAAAGTACAGAACTCAATCTGCTTTTTATGACAAGTACATTAAAGTTTGTACCATAACACATGGGGTTCAGTGCCTGGCAGAAGTTATCTTTGGAAAGCAAATAAGTAAAGTGAATATAAATTTTAAAGAGGTTCGGGATATGGAGAGGAGGTCAGGGCTGTAGAGAGGGCAGGTTTGGGCTGGGGTCTCCCTTGTCACTGGCCAGCAGGTTGGCAGGTCTGCCAGTGGTTTCCAGTAATCCTCCACCTCCTCCCCTCATGGTTTTCCTCCAGCTGTAGCCTGCCGCTGGCCCCAGGAATCTCCCGCTACAAGGAAGGCCTTTATTTTCAGTGAATGGCTGGAAGGAAACTTGGATATGGCTCCAAACCTTTGGAACTGTCCTGATGCTGAGGATGGAGTTAGCACTGGATTTTGGATTTGGAGCGGGTGGGATTGCATGTCGGCACCTAGATATTTTTGGGATCACTGTGGTTTGCCTTTGTGACGTATATATTCCATATTTCCACCGCTTTAATTTCCATGCTTTGGACAGAGACAGATCTCATTATACCACATTTGGGTCTCTTAATCTGTAACTGTTTATTCTATCAGTGTTCAAATTCATTAAGTAATCTTCATTAACCTTGGATTACATTCTTTCCCTCTCTGTTACAGCAGAGACCCGACCACCAGCTCAGACTCTGCATTTTGTTACTCTCCCCTTAGGCATGATGGGGTCTCTGAAACTGATTATTCAGGCATGGCGGATGACGGCATCTCTTGTTCCCATGGTGACTACCCTTGCCGATTTACTGAGCAGTCGGCTAGGTCCCAGCGGGTGATCCCACACCGTGTGTTTGGCCCCATCTGCTTGCTGCACAATGCCCAGGTGGAGATATGACAAAGAGCCACTGAGTCTTGGGCTAATTATAAAACTGATTAGAGGAGACAGATAGCATCACTTAGTGTTTGTGCCATTATGACAGCTTTTTCAAAAAAATCTGCTTTTGCTTAGGAGACTAGTTAAAGTAGAGAAGATCATTTAAAACATTTTATACACTGAGAGAGGACTTTCAGAGAGTATTTCTGTTGAGAGATTTATCAGTTCTGATAAAGTGATGAATCAGTCTTTGAAACATAAAAGCGAAGGTGATGACCGTTGATGGAATAGCTACATATCTACTGACCCAGAGCAGATATAACTATCATACTAAATATAAACAATAATGCATGTAGTCTGCTATTCACCCATGGTAATCGATCGACAAACCTCTGATTCTGGTTCGAAGGCAGTAACTGGAGCTTCTCTTTGCAGATGGTCCTCAAGCTGTTGCCTCGATGTTTATCTGCAGCTCATGCTGTTCTCGGAGTTCACCCTTTTCCTCGCCTTGATGTCCTCATAGTCCCAGCAGGGTTCTCAAGTCTGGGCATGGCCAGGTAAGAACAACACGGTGCCCGGTAGAATCGGAGAAGTATAAGGAGTACTTAAAGCAGTCGTGGCGGGTAGGCTTGTATTTTTAAAGTTTATTTATGGAGACGTTGTGAGGGTCTGAATTTTTACACCAGCCTCTTGTAAGTTGATATGACAAATGTCTCTTTGCACATCAATATTTGTGGAGCAGCTTGTTTTCCTATTATCTGCAGATCAACTTCTACAAACATTTTGAGTGGAAATATTTGGGCAATATTCTAATGAAACAGGACATCAAAGTCATCGCTGGCACTTTTATTTTTGCTTTTTGTGCTGATGCTTCTAGTTTGTTTTTCTGTGTTGCATGATTAATGGCACACTTCACATTTCAAAACCACCTCACTATATTTCAATCTTCTTCATGGAGATTTAGGAATTCTTTTAAAGGAACATCAAGAAGGGCAACAATGACACTCTCTTCACCTCGTCACTTGTCATCCCTCGTTTTTTCGCCATCACAACCACACTCAGCACTGGCCTGATCTTCTGACCCGCCAGCATGTTCATGTTGCCTATTAAAAGAGCGTATTTCAGCCCTATGTGCGTGTTTTGAATCTGAATGCTGCCTCTATTGAATTTTGTCTAAAACAAACATTCAAATACTCTAGCAGCACTCGATGGAAGCCAGTTGGCAAACATCGGCATCTTCAGCCTCTCACTAGGCCCCTCATTAAACCCTTTTTCCACACACTATCCCGGCTCCTCTCATTGGCCCATCATTAACCTTCCACTTTCATTGCTTTTTTCTATTCCCTCTAATTCTTCATCATCTATTTTCCAAACTGCTACACCTCAGTTTCCCTCACCCTATTCTCAAGACACACCACCTCATTCATCTCATAAGCATTTTCCATCCCAAACAAATCTTTACCCCTGAGCAATTCCTATTGCATCTCATAACTACCAAACTATTTCTAATGCTTTCTACAAGTCGGACAGCTACTCTAAATGCAAAAATTGTTCTCCCTTTTCTTTAATTCTTTTCTCCATGACCTCCAAACTTTTACTCCAAACCTTAACTTCTCCATGATAAAGGCTAACCTCTTCTCTGGGTACAATTTCATCAACTTGTTGGGTTCTCTTTCACCACCAGAGGTTTCAGGTGGTCTTCATGCTCTCTGCTCTGCACAAGACCTGTGTGTATTTATACATGTGTATTTAGAGCGGTTTTAGTAGAGGTCTGGGGGCAGATGGGTGGGCATGAATCCGCAGATTGACAGATTCACCGTCCTTCTCTTTATAGATAATTCTCCTCAGTGTATGTCTTTGTTCTCTCTTTAGACTCACCATGTGTCTGTCTTCAGCCCCTTTGCCTTTCTCTTCCTCGCCACATGTACCCCTCTTTTGTAGCTGTTTTTTTTAAATTTCTCTTCTTTCCGAAAAGTAGCGTCCTGCTTCTGTCATTTCTTCTTCGGCTCTTATTTTTTTCCCTTTTATCCCCCGTCTTTCTCTCCTTGCCCTCAAAATACCCCTAAATCCTCTAGCCTACTGTGTTTGCCTTGCCTCTCTGTCCTCTCCACTTGTCTGTGCGGTCGATCACTCCTCAGTCAGGCCTCGAGCTCTCTGCAATAGTCCTAGTTTCTATGGAAATCAAGTTTTGTATTTTGTCTGCGATGAAGTCGTTTTAGCTATCATATTGCATGGCTGCAAAGATGACTGAATGTCAACATGGGAGCCTTTTGAATGGAGTTAAAAGTGGAAATTGATGAAAAAATAAAGACCAACGGTGACCTTTTTTCAAATTGTGTTGATAAAGTAAACTGATTAGGGTGGTCCATGAACGCTGTCCCAGTGTCTGCGGTCTGTAACCACAGTCTCTCTTTCTCTCACTCCGTCTTTTTCCCCTACCCCGGCGGCCTCCCTGGAGAAAAGTGCCCCAGACAGGATATGAGCTCAGACCTGAATATGTATTCAGCGTGAATATTTGACGTTTTAGCCAAGAGTGGTCTCCATCACAGATATTTTGAAGGACACGGTGCGACAAGAAGGTGGCAGTCTGGATTTAGTTCACAACTCTGCATACTTACTTCGACTGCACTGCTCAAAATAGAGTTCTCTTTTGATCTCTTTCCCTCATCGTGTGAAAATCTGTCTCCCCGCTGTATTTATTTTGAATGAACATCAAGTGCTAACACAGAGGCTGCTCTGCTGTGGCTGATGTCTGACGGATGTTTTCTTTCTCATTAAGGGGATAGCTCCCAGGCACCTATCCCTCCTGCCCTGGCTATTTTGACTCCAGTTAGCTGCAGATGACAGAGAAGAGATTTAGGGCCCTCATTAGGCTTCAAACATCACCTGCACCAACTGCCTATTAAACTCTGCATGGGATTCAACCCAATGTCAGCCCTCTGCTTCTTCCCCTCAGTGCGGGTGGTTTTTGGTGCCCTGCATGCTTGGGCTCTAAACCACAGGGTATGTGCCATAGGAGGGCGGGAAGGTCAGCTGAAATGGAAGTACAGATTGAGATGGAGATGAGAGGGACAAAAAGAGGGTAAAGGCTGGGTTCACGACAGGCCAGCAGACCCCAAGGATGTGGGAGAGGATGTGTGGATTATTCCCAGCAACAAAAGCCATTAGCCCCTGGAAGGACTTCAGAGACTGGCGCTATTTAATCTAGAGATTGGGAGGTATGTGGGCCCCACTGCTTGGGAGCCGGGCCAAGCACGGTTTTTTGTGCAGTGCCCCTGTGGAAACAGCAGGAGTGGAGGGGGAGCTGTGGCAAGGAGGCAGGAGGCTGTTGTAGTGTGATACAGAGGAGGGAGGGAGGGAGGAGGCGAAAACAAGGGAGGATTCACAGTGGCGTGAAGTTTTTATACGGAGATACGAGGAGGGAGGGCAGGAAACCGAAGATTAAGGAGTCAAGTAAGGGCAGGTCTGCGTTCAAGGGCTGCGCCGCCTACACTGTGCACCCACAGGGCTTTCTGACTCACACACGCACAATCTGGGTGATGAAGCCAGTCAGCAGTTTATAGGGTTTCCACATAATCAATTTTAGTATGTTTTATGCAACAATAACAACATCAATCTGTCATATTTTAATATATTCCTTATGTCTGAGCTTGACGAGGCACGTTATCAACAGATGCACGTTAGCCTGCAGACGCAGACTTCATGAACAAAACTATACGTATATTCTTTGTCTGGCTATTCACTTTAATATTGTCTGATTTCTTTGTCTTCTTTCTTTTACAAAATAGGCATTGGGAGTTGAATGAAAGAGCACTATTGTGTATTTAGACTATTAGTAAAACTTTGAAGACATCCAGGAGTCGATGAGCAGACAGGAAGAAAAATACAGTGTGGTTAAACATCGATAGAGAGAAAAGATGTTCCAGAGACAAAAGGAAACGAACACTGAAAAAGTGCGGTCAGTGAACAGGAAAGGGGAATCCCTAAAAGTTAATGCTCTAGTTTGTAAAAAAAAAAGTTTATTGTCCAGAGTGGTTGTAGGACACAGGGGAAACCTTCCCAAAAGTCTAGAAATCTGCTTTTGCTTGTGTTTGCTTCAACAATCGGGCCTTTATTGTAACACGCCTTAGCTCATACTATTTTTTTAATCTTTTATTTTCTTTTGGATGTGTAATCTCATCACATCGCAATCACGTCATTCGGTTCCGTCTGGGAGTGACAGGAAGGGCACGGCGTTTCCTCCCCCTCTCTTTCATGCTGAGGTCTGTGTGCGTCCCAAAAGTACCGGCTGGACTTGAAGTGCTAATCAGAGATCACCATGTTCGCTGCATGCCCAAATGAAGACATGTCTGATGTCCCAGAAAAAGAGAGAGAGAGAAAGAGAGCGGTGCTTTCCCTGCATTTTCTTTTTAAAGTAAACTTACACTAGTGTTGAAACAGGTCTTTTCTCATTGAGTGGGTGATGTTGGTTTTGTTTCGCTTCAGTGTAGACAGGCGGATTCCTGTGCTTGTGTTAGGATGAATACGACTATTGTTCAAATAATAGTGGAAATGTGTATTTTGTGTTTGTGGCAATGACGTCAGTGGAATGCAACAAAGATTATGTATCATTGCCTGTTGTTTGCTTGCGTCCAATGCGGTGACACTGGCACATTTTTAAAGTTGTGCTAACATGTTTTTGACATTGGGATTATCCCAAATTATAGCTTTAGCTCAGACGGATCAAAGGCAAGAGTTTGTTTTTGCTGATTTTTTTTCTGGGAAGTTTCTCTGTAGGGCCACCCGACACTACTTGATGGCGGGCTCTGATTAAACCTCCTCCCCTACGCACATATTTAAACGTATCAGCCTCTCTGCACGTCTCATTGCACTTTTATAGCCAGTTTCCTTAATTATTGCTGTTTTCCTTAGCAGAATAATACAAACACATTGCACAAACACACTGCTTGCAAACATTTATTGTCTAAACAGTTTTTTTTTTCTTCTTCTTGGAGACCTCACCTCACGTGGGACGGCGTGGCTGCCTGAAGAAATACAGAAAAAAAGGATCAAGTTGTAAAACTGCTAGTTCCTTTTCCAGTACAGCTAAACTAGGCAGCCATATAACTGTCAGAGGCACTAGGTCAAAATTATGACTGGTGTATACCTCTTGACCTCTCTTAAGTGGCACTAGAGGATTTTCAGCCTGACTTCAGTTGACTGCATTGTTTGTTTATGGGCTAGCAGGAAGTTACACTGGTCATAGGTCCCTGTTGGGAGGAAGTTGGGAGCTGAAGAGCCAGGGGGGTAAGAACCCCGCAGGATAATCCCCTGCTGCCCTGGAGCGCTTTGGAAAACCACCTGAGCTCTTTTTCATCTTTTATAGGACCAGGCCAACATTGTTCCATGTTACAAACCATCAGAATCAAATTTGACATTTATGTCGCCCACCCCTTAAAACAATAACACTAGCTTTAAAAGTGATCTTACTCTTTTTCAAAAAGTTTCATTTATTTCACATAGTTACATCAGCTACATTTTTCCTGAAGTAAGGCTTATTTTCCACATTTCCCTGAGACAGCAACTTTTCTAGGTGGGAAACAATCAAAACTGTTGCACTAGCTGCAGATTTTTACAAGCTGATTTTCTTGGTTAACATTGAACAGGTAGAAACTCATGCTTTTCTATGGTTACAATCAAATTAAATTTTACCCTTCACATGTAAAAGCCTGAGTCCAGAAAAGTGGGCATTGTTTTAAAATTTGACAAAGATGAAAAATCATGGTTTGAAAATCATCTAAACCCTATTTTTAATTTAAAACAGTGCAATAAAGTAAACATTGAAATGAAAATGAAAAACATAAACTCATTAGAAATGAGCATGTCTGTGATTGTGTGGCTTCCCTCCTTTTTAACATCACTGCGTAAACTTTTGAGAACCATGGAGACCGGTTTTGAAAATGAAATGTTGTTCCATTCTTGCCTGATATCGGATTTCAGCTGCTCATCAGTTCAGGGTTTCCTTTGTTGTGTTTTTTGTTTCATGTTGGGCCAAAATGTTTTCAACGGATGACAAGTCAAGACTGCAGGCAGGACAAATTAGCAGCCGCACTTGTGCAGAATGTGGTTTGATTTTGTCTTGCTGAACTCTGGAGGATCTTTTCTGAAAAGTTATTGTCTAAACGGCAGAATACCAAAACTGTATATTGTTCCATAGCATTCAGAATTAATGGTTCCATTACGGATGTGCAAGTTAACCATACTATGGTCACACATGGATCCCAATACCATCTCTACTGGCTTGTAAACTGTGCACTAGTCCCTCTTTTCTTAAGATCCAAGGAAGTGGTGTCTATGATTTTCCAAAATTATGTCACATTTTGATTTCTCAGACCACAGAATGTTTTTCTACCTCAGATTAGTCCATCTACAATAGGCCCACAGTACAATGAGTTTTGTACAAATGATTGTTTCTGGATGTGATTTTGAGCCTTGCAGCAATTTCCACTACAGTCTCTCACATAGTTGTGATCCATGCCCTCAGCTTGACCTCACAGAGACTGGAATTCCCATTTTTCATTTTAACCCAGTCATGAACCTAGTAATCTTTCTCCGGATTTTCTTTAGTTTTTTCTCTTGCACAATTTTCTCAGTGTTTTTTTTATCCCTGACCAAACTTTTTTAATGTGCAGCTTACATCTAAAATGAAATGAGCAAAGATTTTTAACAAAAAGAGTTTTTGTTTTTTTCCCAATGTCAACATTTTATTGAATGCCTTTGCACTATTTTCACTTTAGAGGGTTTAGAGTATTTTCAAACCATAAAAATCAGCTTTTATTAACATTTTATATCGTGTCCCTTTTTTTTCTGTATTTGCGGTTGTACAAAGTGCTCAGAAATAATAAAGAAATCCTGCACATTATTTAAAAAACACGCACAGCTGATCCCTAAAGAAATGTTATTAAATAGGAAGTAAGGTTTTTATTGCTCTTGACCTTCTGAAACATAGTTATAAAGTAACAGACCGTAAAAATGTAAATTTCAGTAATAAGATTTATCTCAATCTGCACAAGTTTGGGAAACAAGTCTTTCTCTTTTTTGCCTCATTGGCCATGAATCCTCATCACTTTGCACCCTTCCTGAATTGCTCCTCCTGCCTCTTTACTGACCTGTATCGCCCTTTTCTTCACTCTTCCTCCTCTCCTCTATTTCTTCCCCAGTCCTCCCACAACTTGTCCTCCCCTCTTCCTTCTGATGTCTCTGTGGATTTCTTGATTTTCTGCTCTCCTTTTCACTGGTTTGATCCGTGCAGTAACCCTAGAAGTGTGTGACACAGACCTGCCATTTCAGGAGGCAATTGAGGGGTTCATGAAGGGGCGGGTGTGATGTGGGGGGTCGTATTTTTTTGGCACAGGAGACAGCTGTTAATCAAACAGTCAAGGATGAGGTGTTTCTTTCTTCCCACCTTGAGTAGATCTCCCTTTCCTCTGTTGCTGCACAAAAGAGCCTGGTGAGTTGAAAAGGCAGCTCTGCATGCCTGCACCTGGACACAGGGAGAGGGCGGGCCCTGTGCACACTTTTAAAAAGATTGCAAGTACTTAAGATTTTTTAGGTGAGCTTTATTGCTTTTTCTCTGTACCTCCTCTGTTTCCCCTCCTCACAACTTGCTTAACACACATGGGACAGCTCTAGGCCTCCAAAATGTTTGCCACTACGATCCATCTCTCCTGCCTTTTCACTTCCTTTCTTCCTCTGTGCTCTTAATGAAGATAGCAGGACCCAGTTAAGCAAGTGTTTTGTTATTGCAAGGACATTCCTCTCTGGTTATCTTGGGCCTCTCAACTTCCCTTTCTCTATCTGCAGTATAGGTTTACCTGCCCTCTTACAGTACCTTCTCACAGCAAAGGAAGACATTTTTAACACTTCAAATGCCAGATACTAGACATTTACAGGATCTGAACAACAGTCTCTGAAGCAGTATACTGTTCTTTAGGCCATCTGCTTTAGGGTTCAGTGTGCTGTGTCTTTAGTGGATGGTATCCTGCATGCCTTCCCACAGAGCAGTTTTTGGTCTAAAAGAGGTCTAATAGACGTCTAAATGTAGCCTAGACAACTGGTCTGAAATCAGGCTACCACAGGTCTAAAAATAAAAGTTTTTTAGACACCTAAATTTAGACCAAGTTTAGACCAAGTCTAAATCTGGGCTATATCTATACTACACTGTATATTGCTCAATGGCTATCATAATTATTTTGGTTAAGTACTTGGAGATCAGTTATACAACTCACAGTTGCTTTTTTAAATAAATAGTTATCGAATAATGGGTTAAAGTGCAATGTCTAAAAATATACAGAATCTAGACGGTTGAAATTAGGTCTAAAAAAAAACTAGACATCTAATAGCCGTTCATCGCTCAGTTGGTCAGTTGTAACAAGTGTTTATTTGACTGACTGTTGCCTTTCTATCATCTTGAACCAGAATAGATTCTCCATTCTCCTCTGACCTCTCACATCAACAGGCAGTTTTGTCCACACAGCTGCCACACACTGGATATTTTGTCTTTTTTGGACCCTTCTCTGTAAACCCGAGAGATGGTGGTGCGTGAAAATCCCAGTAGATCAGCAGTTTTGGAAATACTCAGACGAGCCCATCTGGCATCAACAACCATGCCATCTTTAAAGTCACTTAAATCCCCTTTCTTCACCATTCTGATGCAGAGTTTGTATCTGCATGTCCCATCATGACTGTAAAATGTAAAACTGAACACAATTCTGCTGCTGCTCACAGACATCCTGGAAAGTCAGACAGTGCATTACCGCTCGTTCTGGGGCTTAAATTGTGGGCACACATGTGGACCACTACTATAACCTCAGAGTGTTTGCACTGTCTACACTTGTATTCAGAATACAGCATTGTGCAGTCAAAAGTAAATGCAGAAGATGGTGGGTTTCATCTTATTGGAAGTCACCATCACAGAGCAAGTGACAAATAGCAGGGGTAGGAGAAAAAATCAATACAGCATAGAATCGTGATATTTTGTCTGGTGATATATCATATCGTCTCATTTACCAAGTATCGATTTTTTCAAATTTATTGCTGATATGAAGTCAAATTTTCAACAATGAAAAAATAAAATCAACTGTTTGTCTAGTGAGGTTGGCAGAGGTGACTTCGTGGAGCAGGAGAAAGTTAGTACAACAAATAAATATAAGGTTTGCAAGATGTGCTACATGAAAATAAAATACTGTGTAAATGTGACAAACATAAAGGACAGCCAAATGCTAAATTAGCCAAACAGTTGGAAAATTGTGCAATATATTGTATCCCAATACTCACTGTATTGCAAAATGTTAAAAATCGCAATAGTATCGTATTATGGCCTAAGTATCGTGATAATATTGTAGCGTAGAGCCACTAGTGATTCTTCCCCCTCATAGATAAGACAAGAAATAATCAATGACTGTAAATCAGTTGTGTTTATTTGAAAATGTTACTCCTTACTTACTGTTTCCACCTGTCGTCTCTGTTTCTCCATGAGGGTTAAAAGTTTGAGGGACTCTGATTTAAAAGCAAAAAATAGACGTAGAAATCCAAATAACAAAAGTTTGATTGTGTCTTTGAATTTTCTATAAGAACAAACACAGTATATTTATATGGAATAGACTCGTATTTATCCAAATGTGTATATCCATTTATTTATGTGTATCGATTTATACGTGTGTGTGTGTGTGTGTGTGTGTGCTTGGATCTAAGTGCAGCATTCCTCAAAATTATAACCGCTTTGTTATGCTCTGTTTTACTCCCAAGTGTCATATAAACTGTCGTTGTTATCAGTGGCTGTTGAAAGGGATGTCGGTTTATGATGAACCGCCCTCAGATGTGAACCTGCTGGCAACAGCTGGCATATAGAAGTACATTTAACAGTAACACAGACACACTGTGCCATAACTCTGGATTAGAGGCTGTGGCAAGACAGGCCTGTCACTGCACACCCATTCTACGAACTAATGGATGAGTCCAGGGGACCCATTGCCCTAGGTGATGGATGGGTCCATTGTACGGTGTAGGGGACGCTGCTGCAGCTCTTGGTGTGCATCCTGGGGCTTGTGTGTGAGAGTGGAACCTGGAAGCTGGGGGTAATTTCATTTGTCTGTGCAAAGCCAGACGGCTTAATGTCCATGGGACCTCTGTGCTGAACCGGCTAAAATGAGATATTTGGAACAAAGTGCGGTGAAATGCTCAGTGGTAATGCTTCCAATGTCTGGGTGTGCTTTTAGCCTTGGGGAGAGAGCAGTGCTCCCAGTCGGTCAAGCAGCTTTTGGATTTGGCTGTTTTCAACCCAGTCAGAGGAGAGGGCCAGTGCATGGCAGTGTGAAGTTTTTATTTGTTGGCTGGTCAATTAAAAAATTGGTCTTGACTCAAACATAATTATTTAAGACCATTGGGATGATGAACTCTATTCACAATTAATTCCATTTATTCCCACACAGATAGAGTTGTTCAAGTTTCTTAACTATAGGTTGAAGGGACTGAAGCAGAACAGAAAAATAAGCATATTTCAAAAATCCAAGTTCAAAACAAGAACCAAGATATTAAATATCCATTAAAATCAAAATTATCAATGTTATATCCTACACAAAAGCCATCCAGTGAGCCCCTCCAATAGCCTTAGAAATGGAGTTTAAAATTATAGTGTTTTGTTAAAAAGGCTAAGCGGTATAATATATCATTTGTGATGTATTTTGTGTTTCAGAAACACCTAAAGAGAATAAGAGGCAGTGAAGATTTGTAAAACAACAAAGAATTAGTCATCCAAAACATAAGAGGAGCGTAAACAAGTTACTCCAAAATCAATCCTCTAAGACGCCGAGAGCCAGAGCAGGAGCAGTGCGCCGCTCTCTCTATTATTAAAAGCCTGGCAGCAGAGTTCTGAGTTAATTGCACCATATCAATTAACTGTTTTGAATGACCGGTGGGACAAAAGCACTATTGTAGCCGGGCCTTTCTAAGATAAATGTTTGAAAAGTCTTTCAGCACCCTTCTTGTGTAGAAATGGACAAAACTTTGCCATATTCCTCAAATAGAAGGAATCTGCTCTGCTGCATCTTCTTACCCACAATCTGATGACTGATGTAGGGCCAAACTGACAGGCTTGGAGTGAACTAGGTCACTGGACTGAGGCAGCTTTCCTGTGCAAAACATTTCCTTGATTTAAGATCTCTTATTAAAGACTTGTTGGTAATAAAACCACGGAATAGATTGTGATTACATTTTTCGCTGAAGTTTCTGAACACTCAGAGGTGCCATCTTTGCTGATCCCCTGACTTTCGATAAAGTACCATCAGCATCTTAAAGCTTGCATACTGTATTCCAACATCAGCCAAACAAACGGGAACACATTAATATAGATATTTAGACTGTTTAGAGGATGAGTCTTTATGGCCTTTGAGATAAACTGTTTCTCAAGTGCAGACATGAGGTGAACATGTTGGAGTCTCAGTGAAATACATCAACTTAGCATTACGGTCGCAGTTCTGGTGACCCCTTAGTTTTCATTCACAGCCCCATAAGGTCAAATGTTAACTTTTTCCATCACTTTTATAAACATTAAATATACATATCCGCATTCTGAAATGCAGACATAAGATTGTGGACTTTGGGGACTCTGTACTTAATTAAAGCTGATATATTTGATTTATTTTTGCCTGTAGTCTGTCTTCTCCAAGCCTCATATGTTGTCTAAGCCTATTTAAAAGATAAGTCTTGTAATCTCCTTTATTTTTCTTTCTGTAAACAAATCCAGTAAAAGGACTAAAGCAAACTAAAAATTGATTGGGGTTGTCTGTTAAGCACAAGCCTGACAGATTTTATTCCCATGGGCGATGGAATGTCCTTTTTGTACCCAGACACATCTGAGAGGTACACCAGTGGCCATTAAGTCATCTTTACCATGATTAGGGTTTACTCTGATTAACTTTTGATAGTCCCAGTAAAATTATTGTGTCTATAAAGAGTGAGAAGTATAGATCTTGGATGTTTGCAGTATGTGTTGCAGTGTGATGGTGACAGAGAGCCACATGAAGGCTGTAGAGCTACACGGCGTCAGAGCATCACATACCAGGAGCTGTTTTTTCAGTCTTGGAATTTCAAGACAGTTCAAACAAACCCAGACCATCTTTGACTTTACCCTTTCAATCTTCTTCTTCTCAGTCTCTCTGTTTGGTCTACACTCCTCTACATGTGTACATACCTGTTGATTGTTCTTGCACCTCCTTACTGTACTCGTAGAGTGACAGTCGCTGCGCACATTTTCTCAGCAATAATGTTTACTTCAAACACTGTCAACGCACAATACATTCATCAGCTGAAGGTTTCTGTCTGACAGGTAGGCAGTCTGGCCAGGTGGCAGCCTAAAGCGTCTGCGGAGGAGACAGCTCTGCTCACTAGCTAATTTCACTTCGATCTCTCCTTCATCCATCTTTCCATTCTGTCAAACACTTCTCGTACAGCCCTGCAGTACTGAGCCGTCTCACTTTCCATCTCCTCACTGTCTCATTCTCTCGCGTTACATAAGAGAGGGAAAAAAATTAGTCTATTCATTACCCGACAGGCAAGAAAATATCTCAAATTATAATCCTGTGAAATAGATTTGTCTTTTCCTTGTGGTTAAGACCACAGAGGAAGTCAAAAGAGGATTTCTCAGTACTGTGTGATGATTGATGATGCTTGCCTGCAAAACAGCTACAGTGACAGAAGAATGTGGTTACTGTCACATAAATTACATGTCGACACCACCCTTTGGCAGATTGACAGACGCTTGTTGTAGCCTGATGAGTGCACTGTGTTGGCGTTTACGGAAACACTGCTTACACTATTCACAATAATCTTATAATATCAGACTGTGCAGGAATTGAAAACTTTGATAGAGGTGTGTTTTAATAGTGACATTTGTTTCTGTGTGTAGGTATGTGTGTGTACTCTTAGATGTTTGACATGTTGCTTGTTAAGGTGACTGTCAGTGTCACTCAGATTTTCTACATTTTTTCTTCAAGATACCAACTACATGAGATCATAAACAGAAATAGAGCCTAGCTTTATAGACAAACAAGTGTCTGGACTGTTTTAAATTTGTTCTCCAGTATCACTGCTCCTGCATCCTGCGCTCTCTCTCACACACACACAGGCATACACACACTAACAAATACACACAAAAACATTCCTCTCGCATGACGCCAGTTTTTGGACTCTGCACTACACAAGGAATAAACTGCGCTCGACTCTAAGGAGAGGATAAATCAGACATCTGCTATCACTTCCCGGCTGATAGGGATTCAAAGTAGACTTGTTGAAAGTATACAGGGGTTTGTGTTTGTGTGTGCATGTCTGTGCTTGTGATTCTCTGCTGCTTTAAGAGGGAGCTCAGCAAGCCTTATAGTCTTCATAAGTGTCTCTGTGTATGTCCACGGGCATTCTTGACCTCATCAGGTTGTGACTTACATGTATCCCATCAGTGTGAAACAAACCCGACCTGCGAAAAGTCAGCTGTCTATGTACGCATGAATGAGCTTTTAAGATTAAGCTCTTCACAACAGCTTGAATCTGGAGTCTAACCTTGAAACCTGCCTCTTACTTCTCATGTGCCGGCACTACAAAGCCTCATTTCTCCCAGACTGGAGCAGCAGGAATCGCCTCCTTGTTCCCACTGACCTCTGATATCTTTTCTGCTATTTATTTTCAGGCTCTGATGTGATGCAGTGTATGTGGGTGGGGTGGCTCTCTGGGGGCCTCGGTCTGGCCCCCGTTCATGTGATCAGGCCCTACATGGAGTGGCATTTGGCCTGGCCCTGCGGGGCCCCGTCTGGGAGCAGAGAGCTGATCTGCAGCCAGCCTGGAATGCCAGACATTTGAAGTCAGACTTGTTAAAAAAGAATGAAGGGTGGTAGGAGTTTGGTCAAATAGGCCCGTGTCTAAAATAGCCCACAGACTTTGTCCGAGAGGGAGGGAAAGAAGACAAAGCGGCTTCCTGTAAGCTGACATTAGGAGAGGCCATCCCACCGACCTTTGCTCAGATAGACAAGAAGAGATAAAGTTATTAGCCATGTGCTGGTTGTGTTTTGAGTGGCTTTTTGTCTGTTTCTTTCCTGTCTATCAACCGGACTCATTCAGCAGATTTGGTCTTGAAACCCACCTACACGGTTTTAAGAAGATTCTGGCATTCACTGGAGTTTTCATAACAGGATTTGTTTTTTGTTACAAACAGAATCGAATGACACTTAAGTGCACTCTTATACAAGAAATATTATCGAATGTAATGGTGTTTATACTGATCAATGATGCTTCTAAATATAACAGAAAATCAGGCTGTTTGTCTTGTACCCCCTTTTGTTTTAAGAGGTACTTCAGTATGTTTTGTTTTTGAGTGTTGTGGGAGATCAGTTTATGATTCGATTTTCATATTTCCAGCATCTCTCCACTTCTATTTTAATCCTGTGAGATTTCTGTTTGTGCACATGGCGCTGCAGTTCCATGCCCTTATGTGGACAGTAAAGGGGCGTAGACCTACGCTGATTGGGAATATTTAGCAAGAGCCTGAAAGTGCAGAGGGTCACACTTTGGTGGTGGTAAACTACCTTAGTAGTCACAGCTGCCCTGGGGCAGACTGACGGAAACGTGGCTGCCATTCTGCGCCTACGGCCTCTCCGACCACCACCACACAACACTCACAATCATACACCAGTGGATGCATTACATTCATCAATTTCAGAGCACAAGTGCAAAGAATTCAGAACCTGTTCTTAGACCGCTCTTAAAAACCTTCTTAAGCACAAATTTAAGAAACACGTCAAGAAGATGCGGGTGAATGAGGCCCGTTGTGTCTTAAAAGTGCTTGCCTGTGTGTTTGTGTCTGGTTATGCAGTTGTGTGCACAATGAAATGCCTGTGTCACACTGGTTCAGTAGTTCAGCAGTGATCACACCAGGGAGTTGACGCTGCACTTGGGGGAATAGAAAAACTCATGACACAGTGACAGATGGAGGATGCTCTATCTTTTCTTCTTTTTCTCTCTGTCTCCAGAAATATCTAAGGTCTTGGATGATCCATTTTTCAGTTCTCAAATTCCCTCTCTGAGTTGATATTTCTCCCAATCGCTCTCTCTCTCTCTTGTTGAATTGTATATCCTTCTTTACTTACTTTGCCTCACTAACTCCCTCATTTACTCACACACTGCACACTCAGCTCTCATCACCTCTTTCCTCGTCCCTCTGTCTCAAGGGGCTGTTTTACTGGTGTCCCAGCTATGAGCTTAGCTGGGCTATGGATGTCAATTACAGGACTATGATATGGCCCCTGCTGCATTATGCATGGAAGTGTCCCACCGGGGAAAAATGGCCTACAGCCAGGAATGATAGATGGAGAGATGGAGGGATGAATAATGGATGGAGAGATGGAGGAGCAAGACGACTCTGCAATCTGTGTCTCACCCAAATTGAAGACTTTCCCTGGCACACACCTCTGAAGCTGCAGGCCAAGTCACCCTGGGTGACTCAGAGTCGTGAGGTTGTCGTGTGAGAAGGCACAGGAGGGCTTTAATCACTCTTTCATTTCGAGCGTTAAAACTCGATGGGGTACCACCATCGCAAAGGTCACCTTAGGTCTTCTTCTGTTACTCTACACGCAGACTGTCTTACATCGAGATTACTCTTGTTTGTTGCCTCTGGACATAAATCATAACACAGTTTGTCGGGGTTTGTTTTTTTTGCGTAATTTTCCCCTGAAAATACTGCATGAATGCAATCAAGAGCAGGAAATATTAACAGTAGAGTCTAAAATTTGTATTTGGCACCTAATTAAGTGTCAGAGATTGTTAATCCATTCCTTGAATCTATTTTGAACAGCATGACTAAAACAGAAGAGCAGACAGTTGATCTTTATTACAACCAAAGGGCAATTTGTCGCACAGCTAGCAGTTAATTAAAAAGCTGACTGAGATTACAAACATCAAATACAGACACGAGACAGGCCCAGATTAATATGTTCTTCAGTAACCAAGTTTAAACAAAAAAACTGCAGCCATAAACATCAAGTCAAACACCAGAAAATAGTAAATAACAATGATGAAGAGCCTCATCTTGAATCTGAAATAACCCTTTAACAGCACCTCAATGTCTCAGTTGTTGAGATAGAAAACTAGGAGGGTTTTTGTCTCATCTGAAGTACCATCTGCTCTCAGACGCCGCATTATGCCATGATTCACTTTCTTTATAGCAGCAAAATTAACGAAGGAATGAACAGAGACTTTTAAAAAGTTCCAGAGTGATGGTAACTGCACGTCATGGTGATCATTTTAGCTCACTGTTGCTGGCCTGAGTGTAGTCTACACAGAGAGGAAGAGAGAGAGACACTCTTCTGCTGCTAGCAGTGTGATGATTTTGTACAAAAATAAAGAACAATACCACGATAAATGACTACGTATCCCAGATTTTTATCGGTAAGTCATCACCAAAGTCCTGCCTGGGGGATGACATAGCAGGATTTTTTCAAAAGATCCAGCCTTCAAAAGAACTAGCCTTTGTGGTGTGTTTAGACTGCTCAGGCTGACCAGAAAAGAGGCAGTCTAGTCTTTAGGGGAATTCCTGTTTGTTTAACCCCGTGATTCAGCTCTCACACTTGCGTCAGTTGGAGAAAGCTCCATTGCCTCGCAACAGGTAGCTGGCTAGAAAACTTGCTGACATACTTACTGTCACGTAACCATTAATGCTATCAGTTTTAGGATAACCTTAACTTTTAAGGCACTTTTGTGTTGCCTATATTATCACCTGTAACAGGATTAAAAGTGTATTACTCTGCCACTGAAGAGTCCCCCCTTCTTGTATGAATTGGTGCCCAAAGATTCACAGAGTATGCATTCTCTGTGAAAAAAACAGATGCTTTTATTTGCCTCATCTGCAAGAGCCTACAAAATAGACTGCCTTCTAAGTGACACTGTGACCCAGCTTGTCATGAAATGAGCTCCTTTGAGGGTGAAGCCCTTGGACTGGGACTCTTGTTGGGGAACTTACAGATACTTCCTTCCTATGATCATTACTTTATCATTTCCTTGAAGTAATATTCATCATAATAATCAATTTGCACTGCAGATGTGATTGTTCTTCTGCCTTAACGTCTCAGTCTGATTTCATTTCCATGAAGTAATGATCATAAATGTTCTTCCTTGAGCTGCGTAACCCCGCAGCAGTCAGTGATGGACTCATCTTAGGTCTTCCTACTAGCAAGCGGCTGCTGGAAGAGAGTAGGTGAGTTGTTTTTGGTCTTTTTGCTAAAGAAATCAGGCAAAGCTAAAAAGATGTTTGGTGGCTAGTGCTGTGTCTAGGACCCTATATGTACCGTTGATGAAGTTAGATGCTGTTCTGAGCGTTATTTGTGGCTATAAAGTGGCGTTTTGGTTGAGGTGCGCCTGTGGATCCATAGACCGCTGTGTATTGCTATCGTGTGGTCGTTATTGAAGTTGGTACAACTAGAGAAGCAAGCGGTTGGGGGTGTCTAGCTCGGTGTTACGGTGTGTTTGGCCCTAACTTAATTACCTTTATATCCCTTTAAGGATCATGTCTCTGAACTTGGGGCAGTACCAAAACTTAGATGTAGAATTTTCTCAGAAGACGTACTTCAGAGTTATGCTGACATTAAAAGATGAGATGATGAGCTGTGGAAACATCCAAAAACATTATGTAAATGATTTCAAATAATATGTGATGAAAAGATTTGAAGGATTAGAAGCCGCACAATGTCTGACAGAATTATCACTCAGTGCTTGATTGACTATAATTGGCACTTTAATCAAGCTTCCCTAAGCAGCTTTATTTGTCTTGCAAGTCGCATTTAGTAATTTGCAAACAGAAGAAGTCTTCAAGAGTTGTGCAATTAAGGGAGTTTTTTTCTTGTACAGTAGTGTCCAACAACAGAACTGAAACTGTTTTTTCATAGTCAGAGGACAAGCAGTCATCCCACAGCATGTCAGTAGATTCAGATCAGATGAAAGGTGCACACACATGTGCAGGTGCTACATATTCATGCCTGTTTTTGTGAATTTTCCTGTGCCTGTAGCCCTGACACGTCCCTGATGTCAACTAATGTCAGTCAGTGTTGCAGTGAGTGTGAAAGATGCTGTTGTTATTCATCCCCTCCGTGGTGGGATGACACTATTTGTCACTGTAGTGATGGATTCCGCACCCCTCAGAGGAGCATGTGCAAGCGCCGTCTCCGAAAGGCTGTCTTTGTGTTTTCCACTCACTCACACACACATAACGCACTGCTGGAGCTGACAACAAAGGCATGCTTATCCAATTGTAGGGGTATAAGATTAGGCTACAAAGAAACCCATAAGGCTAATGTTAGCATCTCCTGCTCCAGTGAGGCCCTTTGTTTGTGTAATCAGGAAAAACATGGGATTAGATTTGAGATGCTGTCTCGGAAATTATGCCCATAAGACCCCTATTGTGTGATGTTGACATGTTACTAAATAGCAGAATGCGAGGCTTGCCCCCTATCTGATAAAACAATCCTCAGGGAAATTAAACATAGTCGCACTCTTCAGATATCCAATTTTGTTTTCCTATAAAACAGCCTGCCTGGAAGACCCTGACCTAACCTCTGTTTTAGTCAGTGTTTTTCTTTAAAATTGACTCGTCACTATAATTAGATTATGGCGAGGAAAGAAAATAACTCTGTCATCTGATGTTTTAAGATCCTAATCTTGCCTTGATGACATGAACTCGTATTACAATTTACCGCCGTTTATTACAGGCAGCAGCATGTGCTTCTATTGTAGCTGTGGGAGTACACTGTGATCCTACAGGTGAAGTAATTGTGGCTTCTGTGTCAAAGCTGTTACAAGAAGCCCCACTGTTAATTGATTTACCAAAAGAAAACCAGAGACTGCATTTAGAATGGACACCATCTGCCTCCCTGCTGGCCACTCTGAGAACAGCACACTCTGGTGGCAGGCTGCAGTATAGGTCATAAGTCCGGCCTCCTCCAGCAATCCCTATGGAGCTGTGGACAAACTTTAGAAATTTATTACACAGAATATAAATTTTTCTTCCCCCTGCTTGCAATGTTGACATGTAGTTACTGCAAGAGTAGTTTGGGCTCAAGTCCTCTTTTTTCTGTGCAGCTCCGTTTTTAAAAGTTATTAGGGGGTTCATGTTTTCTTTGATTAACATTTGATACAGCCTATGGGCGTATGAAGATTGCGTTGCTCACCCGAGGGATACGCTGTTTGAACAGAGCGTCATCACAGCGACTCTCGGCCACTCTACAATATAATACTACTGCACAGTGTCAGTTTCAGGAAATAAAGAAAAATCGCGGAAATACCGAGAGCTTTTCAGCTTCAAATCCATATACTGGGGTAAGGTGGAACCAAGTTGTCCATAATATATACAGTCTATGAAGAAAACACTGTAACATGTGGTTTATGGCACACTTACATAAAGTTAACATGAATCTATAATTTGAAAAATAACAAAATGAAGTAAAAGTCAGTATTTAAAGTCAGGATTGCTTTTTTATTGAACAGGTGGGGTGGTTCAGCTCTTTGTAAAACTCATCTCTGTTGGAAGTGTGAGATTGCCATAAATTGTGTCACCAGTGTAAGGTCACAACTGACCTGGACGTTTAATATCTAGAGAGTGTGAAAGGAATTCTAGACAGTCCTGTTTTGTATGAGCCAGGAGAAAAAGAGAGAGGGAGGGCATTCATTTTGCACCTCTGTGACCTCTTTCTTGTTCTCCTGTTGAAGAATAGTCCGGACTCTCACGCACAGTCCGACTTAAACCCTCTCGGGGGCAGCCACAGCCTGTTACGTAAGGAAGGACTGAAGAATGCTCCACTAAAGTTTTCAGCCGTGACCTTGGCTTTGACTGAGCTCTCCTGTTAGCAGGGGTTAACAGTCACATGTCCTACATTCTTGTGTCTATGTAGAGCTGAACATAAGTATTCAATGTTCAAGACAGTATTAAACAGTATTATTGATTGCTGACAGGAATGGAAGGAATTTAAAATGGCAAATCTGCATGAGTTATCACCTTAAGCCACATGGGAAGGGTTGTGTGTCTGTCAGCCACCTTTAAGGTCTGGTTTAACTTAGTCCAGGAACATTTTGGTTCCCTGGCAAACCATCCTTTAAGTGAGCTTTCTTCTTGTTTCACCAAAAGGTTTGCATTCCTGAAATGCCAATTATAAAAAGTGAAAACTACTGGGTGGATTGCTATGAAATCTGTTTTACCCATTTGTCTATTTTGTCACAAGATGATTCTGTTAACTGTGGTGCTTCCTTTAGCTTTTCCTCAGTTGAAGTTTTAAGTTGTCCTGAAGATGGATGGATGGATGGATGGATGGATAGAAATCAGTCCATAATCTGGTTTGTTACTTGATACCTCACTATAGCTAATGGCATTCCTATCAGCCCTAGCTGTACTCTGTGTATTTTGGGCTGTAAATGGACTGTGTTTGAATCGCGCTCTCTCCTCTATTTTCTCACATTACACTTCTCATACACCCATTTGCACCTCATTCACACACAAACGGCAAAGGCTGCTATGTAAAGCACCCATCAGAATTAACTAATCCCATTCACACACCAATGGGTGCAGCCTGCGTGGGCACTGTGGGGTTGTGAGTCTTGCCCAAGGGCACTTCAGCATGTGGACAGCAGGATCTGGGATCAAATCAAATGTCAACCTCCAGGCCTGAGAAATAAAGCAGATGCAGAGGTGCTAAAAGCTAAACTTTCTCAAGTGTTTGCTTGAGGCTGGCTCTGGTAGAACCATGAACCACAGACACACTTGTTCGTAAAAGCTTGTATATACTGCAAAAATGAACATGTCTGCAACCTGGTAAAAAAAAAAAAGGATTTTTCTCTGAATAAGTGCTCTACCCACAGAACTTCTATGGAGAGTGACTGTTTTTATAATTCATTAGCGTTTTTTGTGTTTTACACAGTCTCTAGATCAAACCCTCACCTTGCTGACTAAACGACAACCAACTCTACCACTGAGTCACAGCCGTCCTTTTTGTTGCTCATCAGTAAATTAAGCAAGCATCAACATGTTAGCATTATAATTTGACCTTGCTTAAAGCCTCTCGGTGCTGCTTGTGCTCTCGCTTCTGGATCTGATGTTAAGATTAGACACTATTTTCATTTGATAGTTGACATAATTCTGAAAAACTGTCTAAACCAGTCACAGTCTAGAAAGACGTGGACGCCTAATGGTGGAATAACTTAAGTGACACATGCTGAATCTCAAAGGAAAACACGTAGGCTCTTGAAGTTATCAGTTATTTGATTAACCAGATTTGTTATTTGCGGCTGGAGCCTATACCAGCATCTTCGGGCGAAGGCAGGGGACAACCTGGACAAGTCGCCAGTTCATCACAGGACTGACATATAGAGGCGAACAACCATCCACGCTCACATTCACACCTACAGGCCAATTAACCTAACCCCACTTCTGCATGTTTTTGGGATGTGGGAGGAAACCGGAGTAAACCCACACAGACACAGGAAGAACATGCAAACTCCACACAGAAACGCCCTGACCCGGATTCGAACCCAGGACCTTTTAATTTTTCATGTTTTTATTTACAATGAGACTCCCGCAGTGCCAGAATTTGTTAAATGTTAGACTTGAGTAACTTTGATCAATCACTCAACCTCTATTCATATAAAGCCAAATCTATATTGCGTTAGGCATGTCACAACATTACTGCAGGGTAGGGGTGGGAATCACTAGTGGCCCCACGATACGATATTATCACGATACTTGGGCCACGATACGACATTATTGCAATTTTTAACATTTTGAATACAGTGAGTATTGCGTTACAATATATTGTGATTTATACAATTTTTTCAACTGTTTAGCTAATTTAGTGTTTGACTTCTCTTTATGTTTGTCTTATTTACGCTGTATTTCATTTTCATGTAGCATATCTTGCAAACCTTATATATATTTGTTGCACTAACTTTCTCCTGCTCTATTATGTCACCTATGCCAACCTCAGTTGATTTTATTTTTCCATTATCATAGATTTGACTTCATATTAACAATTAATTTGAAAAAATCAATACTTTGTAAATGAGACGATACGATATATCACCAGACAAAACATCGTGATACTATGCTGTATCGATTTTTTCTCCCACCCCTACTGCAGGGACTGAGATTGCGTTGGAATAGCTGAGCCTTGTATATGATGAATTACTTGTTATAAAAGTGGTGAGAATCTACAGCAGAAGTGATTGAATGTCATATGATTTTTACACCTTTTGCTGGCAACCTATGTGTATCCTTTGTCAGTAAATCTTTATGGGTATAGCTCTTTAAAAAATTGAATACTTAAGTTTTACTTCTTCTTTAAAATGTTGGAATCATTTCATATAAGAAGAAAATCCCAGCCTTCATGAAAAAACTTTTCCTACTACACAACCTCATTTTCACAGAAAACTCAGCCTTAGATTCATCTGACAGAGTCGTACGCCTGTGCCAATCCCATTTTAGCAGCACAGTATTCTCTGCTGCCAAGTTTAATGTGCAGTAAAAGACGCCTTCCAAGCCTCATCAAACAAGAAATGTACTTTCTTGATTGTGAAGAGAGGAAAAAATGAGGGGAAAACCACAGTCCAACATATCCCTTGTTATTGAGATATCTGAAATGGAGATTAGGGGAAACTATTATATATAGAATGGCATTTACACACTCACATTTGATAACATTTATCCTGGAATTTAACATCTCGGGGTCTTTGTGTTCATTTGTCTATTGTGAAGTGTGCACACAAACATGCAGAAATACTGTATAGTCAAGATCATTCTCCTCTCTGGTGTTATTGAAATTGTAATAAATACTTCAAAGCTCCTTCGGTATGTCATTTAGCATGTGAATGTTTGGCATATTTTATCTGTTTACAGGGGCGCACAGAAGGAAACACTTCTCACTACAGCTACAAACACTTGAAATGATCTTTAAATTTGATCATGAGTAGAACCATGTGTTGAACTTCTTTGTGTAAGGGTGTGAGAGGTAAATCTCTGTTAACATAACTGCTCAATAAATCAGTCATGAATATTTAGCTAAAACAGATGCTTGCAGTTTCCTTTAAATATCCTCATTCGTCAAGCCTTTGGTTTAAGTTTTTGTTTTCATCTTTATAAAGAATTTAGTTTTAAATCATCGTACACTGTAAAAAAAATAAAAATAATGACAGCTTAGAAGAAATCTCTTATTAGCCGCCGTGTGTTGAATTCGTGTTTAGAAACAAAGTCAAAGAGAAGGAGTGGAAACTAAATCTGACCTTTCTTACTCACCACAACAGCTGGGAAAACTTTATGTGTTTATTTAATTCCTTGTATATTTTTCACCTATCTCTGCCCAGTTTTGGGATCACGGTGTTCTTGATGACTAAGCTGCCCTCTTGCTAACATAATTTAGAAAAAAGAGAAAGGGATGGGCAGTGAGTGGCTCTGACGCTCATTAGTACGCACACATGTTGGTTCTTCTAGCATGGCGTGTTCAGGCTAAATTTCCCCTAATCATAGGTGTGGAACATCGCATTAGTCACTCTTTCATCTTTGTAGATGCAGTACATCTTTACCCCGTTTTTCGTAACCAGTGTTTTTTTTCCCCTGTAATCGTCCCCAACTTTATTAGTTTTCGTCCTACATCCTGTAACGTCTCTATCATAAAAGTTTTTTTTGTCCTTCACATATTCCTGTCTCGGTATTACGATTTTTATTCAGCTTTGTCTCGCCTTTTCATTTCTCCTTCCCAGCCCCCACATTATTTTCCTGTCACAGAGTGTGTTGGGCACTGGGCGTCCTGGTTCTGAGAAGAACAGCTTTTCTCTGAGTGGGTCCAGGATTTGCCACGAAATCGCTCACTCCTGGTTTGGTTTGGTTATTGGAGCCAGAGACTGGACGGAGGAATGGATCAGCGAGGGCTTTGCTACTTACCTAGAGGATATCATCTGGGCCAAAGCACAACAAGTAAAGAGTAACTGATGCCTGAGGATTGAAGTTTACCACAGAAAAGGATCATATTTAGGCTGCCCATTTGGAACAGAACAAACACCTGGATATAATAACATGATCTTTGTGAAACATATTAAATTCAGTTTCCTCATTTACTGTTGTAGTCAGGACTCGATTCAAGTAGATTTGTCCATTGTATTTTTGCCATTAAACTACTTTGTAAAGACACTGTTCCAAGTTTTAACGCAATAAAGGCCCAAAATGAAGAAAAATCAACAACTCAAAAACTTTAAATGAGTTTGCCAAACAGAAGAAAAGAGCAAAGAGATCCTCGCAAACCTTAGAAGGACCAACCAAACCTAAATTTTTTGACTTACAAAGAAGTAAGTAGACAACACTGAGTCACCTAAGTCATGTAAAATAATCTCCTAATTTAAAAAATGAACAATTTAAAAAAGGAGATTACAGTTCAGGAGGAAAAGAAAAGCTCCAAATGTCCTCTAATTAATGTCTGTTAACAAGGATACCTGTGGGGGGAAACAAGATTAACAACAGGACAAAGAAAAAGGGTGTAGTTATTGGCAGGAATCTGTTGCTTGCAACACTAACTGCAGCTTTAATCAGGGAGTTGACATCTTTACGGATCTAATCCTCCTACTTACTTTCCCACACCGTCTTGAATTACACAAATGTTATTCTTGTGTCTGCGCTGTTGCATCATGTCACCTTTTAGACATGAGCTCGGCTGATGAAAAAAAAAAAACCCTGAACTGAGCAGGTCTGCTATAACTACTAAAATCAACAAGACAGAGAGAGACAGATCTACTTTTGTGGTGTGGATTTGATTATGTCTTTCTATTTTTGCTGATTGTATCCACCATTCTTAATTTTTCCTCCTCTGGTTTTCTCTGCTGTGCCCTAATCTCTTCTCCACATCTCTCTAACTCTTCGTGTGCCTCTCCCTGCAGCTCTCCTTCCAAGAGACAGCAGAGCAGTCTGACCTGAAGGCACTTCTGAGGTGGAGACGACTCTCTGATGAGCTGCAGAACTCAGAGGAAGCACTTCAAATCCTCAGGTGTGTATTTCTCAGACAGGGACATCTACCTTTACTATGGACTGTTGTTGCCTCTATACGGAAAATTGCCCGTACTCATAATGCATCAGTGAGAATGCATAAACCAGACCATATAGTCATAAAATTTACCTTTAGTACAATTGGAGATTATTCTTTAAACAACCTTCTGAGTGCGACAGAAAAAGTCATAGAGTTTGTGTCAATAGTACACCCTATGTCGTTTGTTAGTTCAAAGTAGACACTTGTAATTCTCACCAATTCAAGCTGAATAATAAACTTCAGCAGTGCCTGCAATGCCACACCTAAAGCACACATAACTGGACAAAAAGATGATCCCTAAATAGGCTGACTCATCGTTAAGAAACCAATGTTAAACCACAAAACATTTCCTATACCTGCCACAATGACTAACCATACATAATGAAATGCCGTGCAACATATTTCAAAACAGGGGAAGCAAAAATGTGATTTAAGTTGCGGTATTTTTCAATTTTTCATCAAGTTAAGATACCTAATGCTCGTTTTAATTTGTGTCTGCACGTGCAGACGCACACGTGAGCTTGAGGTTCATGCATTCCAGGGGTACAGGTGTGGCAGGTGTGGCGAGTATATCCCTGTGTACTGTGCTGTCATGTCTGAGAAAAGCCCTGCACACATGCACGGCGAGAGCACGCAAACACACAAACTCCTCATCTGATACCGACAATGTGGGACCCACACCCTGTTTGTTTTACCCAGGGTGGAAGCACAGTGTCATCAGGGGATTAAAGGTATAAAACCACGCCTGGAGTTAACCGTTTAAGGGGAGAAATGTTAGCACTTGTCAGCACTTAAACTTTAAAATTTTCTGCTGTGAATACAAGAACTCATTCTCTTTTTGTGCAGATAACATTTGTAGCACAGTGCTCTATTGACATTTATTCTTGTAAGCCTTACAGCAAATCAATGACGTATTGATTTAATGGCACTTCTGCTTGGCACTAACTTCTCACTGTGTCACTTAACTAATAATGTGTGTCATCACACAATAGAAAGCAGAAATTTAAGAATTTATTTGTAAGTAAGATTGCTTTTGGCTCTCTGACTAATACAAGTTGTGTTTATGGTAGTTCAGAGAAAAAGAGATTAAAAAAAAAGACTTTTAATGTGACAGGTTGACAATGTGAAATAGTATAACTGTTTCCTAGTGCTTGAATGCAAGTTAAGTGGTGTGTGTTTTGATTAAAAAATTTCACATTTAAACATGTAAAACTTGTGCAACTTGACTGATTATGGATATACTGTATCTTGTGAGAGGAATCTGTCTGTAAATTAAGGGTTAAACTTGAACTTGAGAACTGTGTCTGTCTGTCTGTCTGTCTGTCTGTCTGTCTGGCAGTCTACCAGGGTGTTCCCCTATGAGGCAGACACATGGGCGGTTTGGAGGATCAGGATTAGGTTTCTCTGCACCTGACAGGGTTAAATCAACAACATAAAACTAACATCTGAAAAATGCAAACAAAACATGCTCACACACATACACTGACTACATGCCTGTACTCACTGATGCATACATTTTGACTGATTAAGTTACACGGAGACAAATTTTTATTGAAGAATGGCACGCAAGTAAAAGTCATTTCTAATCCTTGCGACTCTTATATCAGTGTTTAACAGCACCGAGGTATATGGGAACCCTGTTAGAGCTTTAATACTTCAGAATGGAGGTAGTCTGTGGTTCTGGTGAAGCATTTACAACAAATGAATAGACTAGTTTTCTCTAATATCAGTGCACATGAGGGATTTCTGCATGTATGTTTTAGTTGAACTGATGTTTATGATGATAATTGTTAATTTGCTATCAAGTGAGTAATGTCATGGTGTTTTGACAGATGGTTTGGGCTTTATAACTGCCAAATATTCTGCTAGAAATCTCCCTGAGGGACCTGCATATTTATTTGAACATATCTATTAACAACTTAAACAAGGTGACCATGACTTCTGTTGACATTTCTGTCTTCCTTCAGCTCACTCTCTCCTTCAGGCTTTGCAGTTGACACACTTTTAGAAAGAAATGAGGCAAAAGTCACAACCTTTGACTTTTTGCCTGTTATTGTCACCTCTACTTATAGTTGGAGTTACTTTGTTGGGAATCTAGAGGAGCACTCATCAGCTCGTATACTGTTGCCTGGATTACAGGACAGGTTCTTGCTCCACTTTCACCGATCAGAGATGTTGGGGCCCAGTAGCTCCTCAGGCTTCTTTTGCTCAAGCTCAATAACCGTCATTATCCTCTCAACGTCAAGACCAGCCTGAGGCAGAAAGAAACACAATAGTTGGATTGCTAATGGGAGCTAATGTTTTTGCCACAGTGTCAACAGGTAGTGGTAAAATGTGTAGAGTTCTTTTTTAGCAGATTGATTTGTTCAGGTTTCTACACAAGTATGGAAATAAATTTGATCAATTTCGAGGTCTTAAAAAGCATGGAAAATGAAAAATAAAGTATGGACATTTTTTTTATTTTTTTCAGCGTATTACCACAGTTCTGAAATACCGTTTTCTACAATAGAAAAGTAGGTATTACTAAAAATAATTCTAAAACGTAGAGTATGGAAAAGTATGGAAATTCTAACTGCGTAGGAACCCTGTTTGTGTGATCAGGTCGTCATTAGAGCTGCTTTTTACCATTGTTACACAGTTATGACCAATCAGAACCAAGTAATTCACACAGCTGGTAAATGAATTTTAACAACATATTATGTTTTGCAATGATACTTCATCACTTCAAATACCTAAAATTGAATTGTAGTAATAGCTGAAGAAGCTGAAGTTGCTATTGATGGTAATCTTTCTTATGTTTGCCTTATTAGGACACGTATTGATACTATATCAGGAACAAAAAAAAAAAACCTCCTGACATTGATGCTTACTTCGGCTTCATCCCCCAGACTTAAATCATAGTTTGACTGCTATTCCATTTTCTGATGTGGTCCAGACAGCATGCTCGTCCAAATCCTGATGTGGCTCCACCGTTCCTCATTATAACTGTGGGATAACAACATGGTATAAATAAACATAAACTGGCTGTCACAATGCACAGAGACATTTCAGAGGAGCTCATGAAGGGAAAGAAGAGAGCAAATGGGATGTACCAGGAGATATTTGAAAACTCACCAGTAAACACACACATACACGCACACACACACACAAAAGGCTAAATGGCAGATTGTGCTTGCCAAGTTCAGTGGGTCACAATCGACACCCCCCTGATCCAACAGAGGCCCCAGTGGCCAGCGTTTATCAGACCATTTCAGATGAGTTATATTTAGGGCAGCCTGGGCCAGACGCCATTCTCCCTGCTGATTCACTGGGCTGCTGGGAGTACTGCTCTACCTTATCCGGTTTCCACAGTCAACCCAGTGTAATTTGTCAGGATATAGCTCTCGGAGCTATAAACCTCTGCGTGTGCACGCATGTGTGTGTGTATGTGTACGTTTCACATTAAGTTCTGTCAGTAATAGCTTCTGATTTCCTCCCGCTCTTTCTTTCTTTCTCAATCTCAGACACACCCAGGTGTATGCATGGCAACGCACACACGCACATACACACACAGACAAACACCCTCCCTCTTACACACATGCCCTACAAGTCAGATAAGAGCACCATTTATTCTACAATACATTGAGCTATTGTGTGATTCTCCAAGGCAGCGAGCAGCAATTCCTCTTAAAGCTGCAGTTAATCATCTCTGACAAAGAGAGACGGCGAAAGACAAGGATTTACACTTCCATACATCCCTACTCTGGACAGTAGGAAGGGTGGAGTTCCTTTGTCTAACACAGCAGTGATGGATCAACATTTTTCCTCACTGTGCTTTGCTGCTGGTATCTCTGACATGTGTGCAGACACTTTTTCTCCTCTGGAAATACATGTTCTGTCATTGTTTTTGTGTCTTGCCCAAGTCCCTTTTTTCTCTTTTTTACTTCTCTGTCATAGTTAGACACACACCAATACAGTCACACACACAGTATTTTCCCCAGGATACAACCTGTCCTGCTGTCTTAAAAAGAGTCTATTTCATGTTATCAGCAGTAACAGACAGGCACGGGCACCGCAGGTAGGAGAGCAATAATGCAGATTTGGCCGGTAACCCCCCTCTATTTCACAAATATACAAAACTGCTCCCTCTGGCTCATAATATTGACATGCTGCCTTTATTTTCAGACACTAAGCATCATAAAGTGTTCCAAAAATAGGCTCGCTGTAGCGATTTTCTCAGATATGCCATGCACATGCACTACAGGAAGAAACACCCTCCTTTGCATGATGAAACAGTGTCCAGACAAATTTAGAAATTCCAGGAAGCTGATGTCTTCCTTTCTGTGCGGAGCAAACCAAACATTCCTGTCAATCTCCTCTCCTCGATTTCTCCCACACTTCTGTCCTCTCCTCCTCGTCTTGTCCGACACTCTTCTATATTTTTACCCCCCTCATGTTCCAGCTCTGCCGGACAAGGGCTCATAGAGATCAAATATTTGACTAGCTTGTCGCTCACAGCTGAACCCTTACTAGAAAGAGTACACATTGATGCTATGAATCATACATGAATCAGTGCGAGAAATGGCTTTGAGTGTGTGCTTGTGGTCTCATTGCTCATTTGTGTATATATATGTGTGTGTGTGTGTGTGCGCGTGTGTGTGTCTGGCCCTGTCAGGAAGCGGCCCTGTGGAAAAGTGCTAGCCAGTGATGAAGGGTGTATTGATTAGTGGGCCAGGCGCCTGGCGTATCGACTTGGCAGGAGGGTGATCCTTCAAGGCCCTCCTATTGGCACACTGAGTTAATCTGCTCAGCCTGATCAATATGGGCTAACTGAAACTATCATTGCACAGCATCCCACGTCAGGGCTGTGTTTGTCTGCCTTTTATTGGTTTTATGTGTCTTTGTTTGTGTGTTTATGGAGGTTGAAGAGGTGATTTGTATCTGTGTGGCAGGAAAAAAAAAAATCCAGAGCATGCCTCCCTCCTTTGTGCCTGTGGAGGGGGATGCTTTTTGTGTGGAAGTGTTATACGTTCACTCAGTGAGTCATGGGCAGTAAAGTCAGAGCACAGCGCTGTGAGGTCATATAAACAGTATAGCATGCTATTATAAATCTGCAGCCTGATTTCAAGCCTGCCACAGGCAAACTATGGCAACTTGGCAACGTATTCGCCATTGAGAGGACCGGCTGGAGTGGCTGGATTTAGTGTTGCTGACAGCGTATTCCTGCTCTGCAGAAATGTGGTTTTCCTGCGACTAAAAAAGTCTGTAAAAGAAGCGAATAACAAAAAGTGCTTTCTCTAACTACGAATGGTTCAGATTTGACCTAGGTTGTATTCATTTTTGTTAAATCTTTCATATTGCCTGTGCAGTGTTCAGAACATTTTTTCTGTGTTTACAAATGTTTGTACTTTTTTTTTTCATTTGTGTATTTTCATTTCTTTGCTGTATTTGTATTTTTGCAGACCCAACACAGAGAACACTGGTCAGGTCAGCGAGTCTGGTGCCTCCACAGTTAAACATGCCCTCAACCCTGACAAAGCCTTCATGCAAGTCCACTACCTCAAGGTGAGAAATGGAAGGGAAAGACAGGAAGGAAACCAAGAAAATAGACTTTGGTAGTAGGAATAGAAGGAAGGAAAAAGGAACTAAAAAAACAAATCCAGCTTAAAAAACAAATAATTCTCGAGAGGTCTGCTTACAGCAGCACTTTTAGTGTTTGTAGAGGTCTCCTGCTTGTGTTGTCATTGATTGATAACAGTTTTTTTTGTCTCCACATGTCTCGTGCCAGGGTTACTTCCTTCTCAGGTTCTTGGCAAGTCGAGTGGGAGAGCAACAATTCATCAACTTTTTCCGTTTATTTGTGAAGAAATACCACGGGCAGCTCATTTTGTCTCAGGTAGAGTTGTATTTAAAAAAAAAACTAATTTTCACTGAATGACTAAACGAGGAATGGTGTTGCCTTACAGCTCCATGAGAAGCTGTTAATGAAATCTAAGCTCAGATTTAAAGTGTTTTGATGACCTGTCCCCGAGGCGCCGTGTTATTTCCATAAATTAATTGGAGGATGACGTGAGCTTAATTCGTTAATTCTCTAGAAAGCTTTTCAAATTCATCAGCGGAGATCATTTAAGCTAGACATACTGCGTGTTTATTCTGCTGGGGCTATGAAGCTGAGTAGTCACACCTGGACATGTGTGTGTAAGCATGTGAGTGTGTGACATGTGATGTGTTTCACCTGGCTCCTGTTTCTTCAGTGGCAGGCTGAGTCTTACCACTTAATAATGGATGCTACATCAACACTCTTTGACCTTGTACGCATGACTTAAGATCAGGTATGCCTTTCTCTTTCAGTTTTTTTCTGCCATCCACACCTCCCTCAATGCCTCTTTCTCTTTCTCTGTTTCTTTTTTTTTTTGTTCACTTTTAACAGGATTTCCTGCGAATGCTGCTGATTACCTTTCCCGACATGGAGAGGTATGTAAGAGGCTATGAATAATGCTTCCAGTGTGATTCATGAATAATAAAAAAAAGAAGCTTGACGCATTAAAACCACTTTGGTTTTCACTCAAGTATTGGCAGCCTGGTTTCCATTTCCAGACAAATTAAAAATATGCTTTTCATCATTTTTCTTTTTGAACTAAGCCCTAAAGCATTTTTTTTCTTACTCAACAGATGTGCCTTGTTAGTAGATTTTCTGTCAAATACATGAGTATGTGTTGATTTGGCCTCTGACTAACTTGTTCCTGCTGTGGAAACATAGCCAGCAAAAGCTTCCAACACCAATCCTGTTAAGAGAGCAGTCTCATCCCCTCTCATATTAATTGAAGTGTAAAAGGATAACTGCTCCTCCTGCTCTCCTCCTCTCTAATTTTCTCTCTTTCCCTGTCTGCGCTCGCTTAATCATTCAGCTCTCTATTTCTCCTGATTGCCTCATTAACCTCTTCTTCTCCCTGTCTATCTGTCCCTCTCATTCTCCCTGTCTGTCTCTTACCTTTCTTATCTTTTGTCGCCCCTCTCTCCCCTGAATGTGGCCTTTTCTGCCTTTTTTTTCCCTGGCATGTGGAGAGAGCTGCCGCTTTAGCAGGGATTGATTGAATTAAACAGGGGGAGTTGGGGACAGTCAATATTTGAATCTGATGCCTCTTTCAGTAAACAATCTGCTGGAGGAGTTGGGTTTAGGACGAGAATAGAGGGTCAAAGGCACCTTGTTGATAGGGTGCGTATCCTTCCTATTGTCCAGACTAAATAGGAGATATTGTCTTCATAACACAGAAACATAAGAATTAAAACATTTTAAAATCAATGCGTTTACTTATTTTCTCTCTGCGCTCCAAGAAACACAAGTTCTCATGTAATGAACTGTATCCCCACTTGAATCACAGTATTTAAACAGAACGTGAAAAAACTTGTCTCCTCTGCTTTCGTGAGGCATAAAGCTTATTTCTATCTAGTCTTTCTATGGCAAAGTATTTCATAGGTGGTGGGATTTTTTTCAAACCTTTTGTTTCCCACACAAGCCAAATAAATCCAAATAATCCTGTGTAATCCGACTGTATGATGTGGCAGATACTTAGTCTTTCTTTACCTCCCTTGATTCGCCTCCACATGCCGAGAGTGGAAATTTTCTTATGCGCTCAGTGATGAAGTTTCAGTGTCCAATTTATATACAAATTGCTGCTTTGTGTGGAGTAATATCTCTTCTATTAAACTGTAGACTGTAAAGAGGTTTTTATGGGCTTCAATTCACTGACAGACCTCTCTCCACCTGCCAGAGTTGCTAGAGAACATACAATAGGAAATGACGCAGAAGACTTTACGAGTGCGTGGAAGAAGCATAGTCTTGACCTTTTTTTTTATACAGCAAAATGTTGATCCCTCTGAAACTGTTTAAACACTTGAGCAGGATTGTGGCTCTTTGTTGGGCACTCTGTTCCAAAGTTAAACATTTCAACTTTGATATTAAATAGTTTTCCATTAAAATCTGGCACAGATATCTACACTCTTGGTTTTTTAAAATCAGCCTTTCAGTAGTAGATGGAGCAAATTGCCTCCCATGTTAGTTGAACCCAGAGCTGAGCTGTAAAAGCTGAGTTGACATCCATTCAGATGGCCGTTGCAGAAGTCTTCTTTTACTTGAGATACCGATCAATTATAATAATAATAATAATAATAATGATAACGTTTATTTATATAGCACCTTACAAAATCCGGAAAGATAAACAAAGTGCTTTACACATTTCAAATACACAAATACAGGAAAACAATAAACAATAAAAAAAAGTAAGAGAACACAGAAACGATCAAATTGCAAAAGTAGTTCAGCGGATAGAGAGTTCCATAATTTTGGGGGCACTATGGAAAAGGCACGATCCCCCCATTGTTTAAAAGTTGAAAAAGGAACCTCCAACAGGGGTAGTTCTGAGGACCGGAGGGCTCTACTGTGTTGTGCAGTAGAACAGATATACTGGAACAAGACCATGGATAGTTTAAAAAGAAACATTAAAAGTTTAAAAATGATCCTGAATTTAACCGGGAGCCAATGTAGGGAGAGAATGAGTGCATAACTTGCAGTAGATAGCATGTTTGAAGCAGCTGATTGGAGTACTAAATTGAAGGAAAGTCTGTAGCTCTGTGGATGGATGGGGTTATGAGCTAAATGAGTTTAGCTGCCTAAAAAGTCTTTGTCCACTCAAGTGCTGCTAATCTTTTAATAGTTTCATACCTTGCTTTGCCTGCAGTCAACTGTTTCCATAGGTGCTAAGTTTACTCAACTGTAGAGCGTTTTTTATTCCAAAGCACGCTGCACGCTTTAAAAAAAAAATCTGCCTTAAAGCTCCTGTGAGGAACTTTGAGTTTGTGTTGATTTTGGCTCACCCCGCAGACAAAGAGGAACCTTTTTTGCTGATTCTGCTTCGTACATGTGTACGTTTTTCTTTTTTCTTTTTGTAATGCCCTGTTTTACTTTAACAGTCAGATATATGACTAACAATAAATCTCTGCCATGAATATTTACTGAAAGGCCGTTAATCACAATAACTGTCCCCTCCCCCTACCTCAAGCTTCAGGCATTAAAAATTACAACTTGGAAACTATCCATTTTCATGCTGATATTTCCTTTTATAGCGCACATGAGGGCATCAGTATTCAATTTCAATCTGTTTCATAACCAAATGGAAACTGTAATGTCTGTAATAGATTTATAATAGAAAGTTCTGCTGGGTCTCGAGAGTATGGGCCGGCTTCGTTGTCCCTCCCTGTGGAAATAATTGTGTGTGTCTGTTTATAGCACACGTTGTTGTGTTAATTTCTTAAACACAGCATGGGGCATCATTTAAATTACAACATATTAAAGCTAGGGTAGTTTTGTATAATGGGAAATAGGATGCAAATGTGCTTTCACATAATGTCCCATTATCTCCATATTCAAAATGGTGCGAGGTCTTTTTAAAAATAGTTTTAATAAATGTGTGAAAACTCTAATTGAGCTACAGAAAATAAAGCATAAACGGAAACACAAAAATGTAAATTAAAGCGTGTCATTACCAAATGGCGCCTTTAATGTGTTGAGCATCACAGATTAAATAGTAATAGCCTTAGTCTAGCCGTGTGTGGAATTTTCCTTTAAGCACAAAAGCCGTGTGTGTTTGTGTGTGTTAGCTACACTCTCACACACATATACAGGTACTGCATTCGTATAAATCCAATTCATTGTCTGTACATGTCTGTTTGCTTGTCTTTGCATTGGAATATGGGTGTGCCCCGCTTTTTGTTTAAGGTGTTGGCCTCAAACTCTACTCCACCGTGACCTTAACAATATTTTCCTGAAGCCATGTTTTCATAGGGTGTCTTGGGCAATAACAGTCATTGCTATAATAACAGGAATAATACTAACACTTGTGCCATTGTGTTGCAGAAAAGGCCTCACCCTAAGTGCTATTTATGCTGAGTGGCTCGATCGACCTGGGATTCCTGAGGTATGAATTTTTTTATCCATCAAAATAAAGAGTTCAATCTTGTTTTTAGACTCACAAATCATCCTATTGAAAAATATCAATATTCTTCTTTATTGACGTTTGACAAAAACACAATACCACCACAGCTATAACTTTTGCTATATGCATTAGTCTATGCTCCTACTATGAGATCTCTCTTTCTTTTTTCCACAGTTGTCATATTTTCTCTGATAAATGAGCAGATGTGCTAGAAGTAAAAAGATCAGGTCGATTATTGACGTTTAAATGTTTGGGTAAATCAAGTTGTATTTGGCACTTTGTGCGTTCTGAGAGTGTTCTCATGAAACTGGTTTCAAATTAAGGACGAGATCAGAGCTCCCGATTATGGAGTGTGTTGTAGTAATTCAGATTTAATCAGATTAAGATAGTGAAGATCTAACTGCTACCATAATCATATCATTAAAATCAGAAAATATAAAATAGTACATTATTAGTTAAAGGTTAAAAGTATCACTGATATATAGTGTAGGATCAATACTAGTGCAGATTTTTATTCAGTGGTCATAATTTTTCATGTTTTTGTCAATCATTAAGTTCAAACACAGTTTAGTTTTTACTGTAGCCGTCTTGTTAATGCTGTTTCGCTGCTTTTACCGTTGCAGTCTGCACTGAAACATGATTACCCAACATGTGATAAGCAGAAAGTACAGCCTAACAATTCAGTCTTGACAATACCTATACATGCGCAGATTTAGCAGCGGTGTTGCACAGGTGAACAGAGGAGTTTGTTGGCATGTGTACTCTACCTCTAGAGTCCAAGGGTTAGTATTGTTTGGTCCAGATAGATCTGACCTTGTGAAAAAGCTGCTTCTATTGAGTGGTCAATAGAGGATGTCTGTGGAGACACCTATTACCTGCCAGTTTGTGGCAACACTGGTTATGAATTAATGGGTTGGCTTATCCATGATATTATTTACAGTAGATCCTTGACAACAGAATAAAAAGCTAATAAAAAGAGCTTTTACATCATTAAGTACCTAAACCCCTAATGAATGTTAGGTAATGGTGCTCAGATACTGTATAAAAGCTTGCAGTGTTTCATCCAATTTCATATATAATACCCTTTTTGTCTGTTTTTAAGTGAAGTGTTCTGCTCTTTGATTTAAGGAGCAGGAGCGCATTTTTCTTAGCACTTTACAGCTGTAAATACCAGCGTAATGACACTCTTATGATGGAAATTATGTCTTTTATTAGAAGTAAAGAGAATATAAATCTTACAGCCTAAATGACTCGTGACTTTTAGCCAGAAGGCTTTATGAAACTGCCAGACAGTGATGGCTTTCTCTGATAACAGCACATAACCTCACCCAACAGGAGGAAAGTTTTTCACGTCGGTTTCTAAACAGATATCACGATGACATTCGATAACTTCCATAGTGAGGTATCACTATCTGTTCAGTAATCATTGTCAAACAGTAA